ACTAAAACTCCCCAGTTCAATATCTTCCTCGGCCGTTTCACAGATAACACCTATATCTTCCTCGTCGTGCCTCCCGGTGAGGCTTCCTACAACTGTGCCGTGCTCAACACCATGCTTGCCCGTGAAGGATTCTCGAAAGCTGCTGCTGGCAGCGGCGGTGGTGATGGATTCCCTCTCCCTCCGCCAGAATCAGCGGAGGATCATGCGACGAATGGGAATTCTGCTTAAAATAGGTGATGTGACATTAGGTCTGGCTTTGTATAGCTAGGGGATGTTGTCTTTTCCCCCTTTGTTTTTCTTGCTCCCGTGATCTCGGGGATTTATGACAAAATACAGCAGGCGCTGAACGATGGCGTTATGGAGATTAATGTATTTCATTTGTTCTTTTTCGTCTTTTTCTTTTTCTTCTCCAACTTTCTGAGAATTGAGATACCCTGTGGAATTTCCTTGTACTTTTTTTTTCTTGAAGAATATGAAAAACTGTCTGGGTACTATTCCGCAAGCTATTAAGAGCTCTTGAGTTTTATATCAAAATCGACGTCTTTTGGAGTGTTCTATGGCAGTTTCAATTCCCATCAGTAGAGAAAATACGGAGTATATAAAAGCCCATTGGTGATCTAGCGTTGTAGATCATTTCAGACTACGCTACTCTACAAGAAGGGAGAATACGCACCCTGATGCTCCTCCACTTATATCGATTTCCCTGCCATACACCGCATAGAAACTGACTTATTACTCTGACCCGACAACAAGACCTTGAACGTTCATTTGCTTCAAAATACAATACGGCAATGACATAAGATCCCATCCGAACCATCTATGTTTCCTCGCATCCGATGCAGAAAGCGACCAAAGGCAGAAGAGAGAGAGAGTAAGAACATGGGAGGGATTTAATTATCTATCGGACCGGCCGGCCTCAACGGAGAAGGGCATGAAAAAGGTTGGGTGCAACAAGAATAACGAGAGCAAGAAGGGGATGTGGGACGGGGCTGTACAAAATCAATCATTGACAGAGCTCGAACATTTTTCATTGGATTTCTGGCATGCGCATGGCAATATCGCCCGACTGTGTGATGTATCGCACCCAGGGGAGAGAGGGGTATTGCAGCTATGGGCAATTGTTAGCGATGGGTGCAAGAGATAAATAGACCGAGGGGGATCCACTGGTGGCAATGTCTTACCTTCGGTTCGGTGATCTTCAGATACCGCACTTGGATGCCACTAGTCGTGAAATAGGGGATTTCAAACTTGACGTTGATGGGGCGTTTCGCTTTGCCTACGCCTCCGGCTCCGCCCATGCTGCCTCCGAACCCACCGGTCATACCGCCGCCGCGCTCGTCGTCGCCCTTGACGGAGGGGAGACCTAGCTCTGCGCGCATGAGGAATTCCTTGCCGCCGCCAAACTGTTTGATCTTCCAGATAATGGCTGACTTCTCGGGAGCGTAATGCACGGTTCCGATATTTGTGCGGAAGCGCGGGGAGTCTGCGTCTTCGGGCACGGGAACAAGGATCTCGACGTTGTTGGCGGTGCTGCGGCGTTTAAATTGGGCTTTGGCCTGTTGTGGAATCGATGTTAGGGGCTGGTGTTTGTTATACCAGATGGGGGGTATTACCTTGAGCATATATTCAATTCGGGATCCGGAGTGCGATTCAACGACGCACTCCACCCAGATCAACGGCTTCACTTGTGTGTTCAGTCGGTAGCTCATGAGCTCGAATTCACCATCCGGAGGGATGAAACTGATTGTGCGATCATTCTCGAAACGCGAGAGTCGGACACACTGGTGGAACTTCACGTCCTCCATCTCGACTGACTTGCCTCGTGTGGCACGACCCGTGGTCTCGAACATCGCTTTGTCGTTCAACCCCAATCGTAACTCTGGCATACCACTCAGGTAGCACTTCATCTTGACAGCGCCCAGAATCTCAGAGCGCAGGACATTTCCATTTGCAGAGACGAGAAGATTGAGGGACTCGACCACGTCGAGGAAGACTTCGTTTTTGCGGTAACGTATCCCCTCGCTACGCCAGGAGACAGCGTTTGTGACAGCAATGGGTGGTCGTGCTTGGACATCCAGCTTGTGTGACTCTTGGGTGATGTATCTGGTTATGGCGCATATTCGTTAGTGATGTTGTTTCACCACCTCTGCGGTACCATCAAGAGTCAACTGCTTACTCTTGTAGAATCTTGGTCTCTGTTGTCTGCGGGTATCCAAAATCCATCATCTCATCAAGCAATTCGTAAATGACGACAAAGTTATCCCGGATACTCTCCTCCTCCAGCACCTTGAAATATTCGGTGAAGACCTCCACCAACTTGTGGAGGAAGAGTAGAATTTCGGTGGCATTTGTGTTTCGTTTGGTCAATGCGAGGATATAGAGGTTGCTGTGTCGGATATAAAGGTACTAGATGGAAACACCCCTGTGTCAGTAGGTGGGAGCGCACAAAAGGAGACACTCAGGAGTGTGTGGGGTCGTGGCCGAATGCCTAGACTTGGTGGGACGCACGTTGATTCCCTCGTGGGAGAAGCAGGGAGGCACTGCTGAGCTTTCTTCTTCGGCGTCACTGAGGAGGATAGGGAATTTCTCGACTGCGGACATGGGAATATCTCCGCGATAATTGCGGGCCAGTAGGGTCTATACATGGTCAGCGGGGGCTTGTCCCTAGACGAATTGGCGATTTTCCCAGCAGATAGCAGCATCGCCATATTTTCCACAAATTCCAATAGCCTACCTTGCCCTTGAGGTCGAGGAAGAAGAGTGCCGACGCCATGACGTGTCAATGGGGGTAAATAGCTGACAGGAGAGTTGGGGATGATCTGGTCTCTTTAATGTGGGAGGTGAAAGCAAAAAAATAACAAAGCCACCTTATGCGCCTACTGCAGCATTGTCAATCAAACAGTAATAACAAATAAAATAGCAGATGAGGTGAGAAATGAAAGGAGCAGATCAGCGGATGGTTGTGATGCCCGCATGTCCAAGGCCGGAGATAGGCGCTAACCTGAAGGTGGACTAGCGTATAAAGTTCCCACATAAAAGCTGCTCGCGCATTTTGAATTTTCTTCTTTCTTCAACGCTCCCAATAGACAGTTCAAGGCAGTACAAAGTCTTTGTGATTTTCTACAGCTACTCCGGCATTCTGTCGGAGTACTGTGGTGTATTGATAACTACCTTGCGATACAGAGGCGCGGAGACTACGATCTTACGAGGGTTCCATAAGAGCTGGCCGAGTACTTTCTCTGTTACTCGGGCGGCGTCAGAGGAACCGTACATTTCTATAACTTCCAATTGAATCTTTTTTCTATCAAATCACACATTTCTTGTAAATTGTACTTTTTCTATTGTAAATTTGCTCTGTTAGGCTTTTGCACTATCTCCGATGAAATGGACCCAAGTAACTGAAAAATAAATTGATATAAAAAAACAAGTCGGTTTAAAAGTACATGTACAGTTGTATAGAGGCTGGTTGAGTTCACTCCCCACCCAACCTACCACATATGGAAATATCTAACAAAATAACGCCCTGAAAATGCTCCAAAGGAGACCAATACCCCAAGCCTCAAACCCTTACGAGACGGACTTAAGTCCTAGGGGTTCAAGTATCCGCTCACGAGCCACCTTGGTGGCAACAACTCCTCCCTTCTCTAACGAAACAGCACCGATGATAGCATACATGGTATGCGCGAGAACGAGCTCAATACCGGAGGCACGGAGATCGTTGGGCTGCAGTAAAGAGTCTCGTTAGCTAGTGATCATAACACAAAGGATTAAGATCAAGGCATACCATTCTAGGACTCCATCGGAGAACCTTCTGCAACTCGTACTTATTTCCAAGATCAGCGAGCTTTGATCGTTCGGTGAGGATCTTCTTGGTCTCAGCAGAGAGGTTGTTCAATCCATCCAGAGCCGGGTGAGTGAAAGGCACGCGACCAAACTCGTCCTTCTTCTCTACCGGTGCGGCACCTGTGTATGGAGCGTCCTGCGCCAAAGCCAGCGATGCTTGCAGTTGCACAATGCGCTTTCCCAAGAAGGCCAATCGATCGTTGAATCCGCGGCGCCCTTGGTCGAAACTCTTATGTGTCACTGCCAACCACTTGGTCTCATCGGAGAGGAGCTTGTCGCCGCCATTGCCGAACAAGCGAATGTAAAACCGGTCAAGCAGTTGCGGGTCGGCATTCACATGGAAGGTTGGGCGCTTGGAGTCAAGATGCAGACTGAACGGGGCCTTTGCCGCGGCGGGAGTGTAGGACCATCGGGGCTTTTCTTGTTGACTGGTCTCCTCCGGGGTGGAGGTCGCAAAGGTGCGAGATGGGATGACACCGGCAATTGGGCGAGCGACAAATTTGGATGCAGCGCAGGCGGTCCTGGCCGCTCGGGAAGAAATATTCAAAGACATGGGGTCGGTGGTCTCTGCGTGTCAACTCGGAGTTGATTGAACGGAAAGCAAAGAATTCGGCCTGGGCGGTGTGATACTGCCGGATATAGCCTCAAGTACACAGACCCCATGAGGTCTATCTATGTCCACAACTTGGATCGTTTTACACCGTTGTAAATTTCACAAAAACTACATGGTTGGACTTGGATCTCTTCAAATTGCCATTTCGACGGTTTGACATGCGGTTAAACAACATTGGAAGCCGGAGGCAACCGGGACGTTCACCGCTGCTGCGAGGTGTCTTTTGCTCGAATATTTTACTTGTAGTGCATCGGATCCGAAGCAAACTAACGCAGATTATGGCCATTGGAGCCTATTACAGGTCATCGGGGCTATGGTGACTGGAGGCGAAATCTATACAAACTTTCGACTGCCATGCATCGTTGCATGTACAATCAAAACGTTATATGACTCACATTAATCCAGGTTCTCTCCGATTTGAATTCTTTATGGGCGATTATGCTATGTCATCTGTGAGAGATACTTGAAAATACACCACCTATACCGCTTTTTGCAGGGTATACTCAGCCAAATATAGACTTCCTTCAACTTGTGTCAGTCCGCTATGACACACGATACGCATTTGCCCCGGCTTCAGACTACTAGCAGCATGGGCTCATGGTTTCTGCATGCCCCCATTGTTGAAAATTGGGACTCGCCTGGGTGTAAGTGGTCTCGCAGATCTCTTCACCACTTTGTCGAGCAACATCCTTCTCTGGATAACCTCACCATTACAAGAACGAACAGGAAATTTGTGCACTCTAAACTTATAGGCTATAGGTCCGATTTTGCTGCCACGTAACATCGCCCAATTACAAGACTGGCTAGCGGGCAATGCGAGCAGCGGCGGAACAGACCCTGAGCGCGGCCCAACCATCAGGGACATAGGTCTCTAGCCGCTGCAGAGGAACGGCGGAAAGTGGAAAAGAAGAGAACAGAACCGCCCAGAAGGGCTCAAGGCGATCAAGTCTCACTCAAGAGAAGCTTTCGTGGCCTTCTTGGGACACAGTCGTTCCGCGAAACATGCCGGGTATGCAGAGGCCATAGCTCAAGCTTTCGGGAGCACAGGGCAGTGTTTCTTAGACAGCTTGATTGCGGATATTCGCAGCTGGAGGGCTCGGTTGAGGCACAAGTGGTTGGCCCAAAGGACCCATCCCTCTCTGGGCTGTAGAATAACGGCTCTGCTGTATCAGCGTACTCTGATCTCGCCTCCTGGATTAGGCAAGAGACTGTCTTTACAGGGAGGCAAAACGTGATCCACGTGTGTTGGTATTCGGTCGTATTTGGCTGTGCTCCGTAGGTAGGCTTCCGTTTTCTTTTTTGCCCCTTATGGCCAGTGGAAGCTTCTAAGGCTTGCATAGACATTCTTCTCACGACTGAGCAAGTTCACAGCCAACAATGGGCATTGTGGGAGGCCTGGGTAGCAGAGCCTCTTTGATGATCTTCGAAAAACCGTAATACCGAACAAGAACACAAACTAGTCGATGTTTGACAGCCTCGAATTCATATACTTCTGAAAAGAACAGACGGCTGTTCAACCCAAACAATATTTATTTGGCTAATAACATCGGAAGTAGCCAACGGCAAATCATCTAGAACAAACCTAGTGAGACAGATTTCTTCAAGAGGCTGCAAGATGCCGAAGGCTCAGGCCGCTGGTGAAACTCCGTCTGCAGCCTTCTTCGGGGGCAGCGGTCCGGGGGGAAAGGATCTATACCCGTCCATTGCGGACATTATGCTATTTGCTTTTTAAGGAAGGATTCTAGGTCTCAGGAAGTGGATCTACTTCTCATTCCTGGTCCATGCTTGCTTCCGGGGAAAAGCAAAGAAATAAGATGAAAAATAGAGTACTTAGAACAGCGGGTGTGACCGTCTGCGGATACTGTCTAACGGTTTATACATCAAATATTTAGACGGGCCCTTGCAGACTCTACCGAGATATTGATCCTGATGGATAGAAGCCAATCCCAAGGTCGGCGGATAGCAACGGCAATATGGCCATCGTCAAACGGCTTCTTGTCTTGATCCTTGATCGGGATGTTCGACAGGATAGCGGTGTACGACTTGTGTGGATGGCGTGCCCCTAATTTAACTTGAGTTCTCGAATTGCTTAAATAGAAGAGACTTGCCTGTCCGGGTCTGTAGTCTTTATCTTGAATAACACTGCAGATCTTCGTTTTGTGTCCGTTGCCTGTCTTTCGTTGAATACATATACTTCCGTCCTCCATCAGCCCCGATTCGTGTGCTCTACTATACTATAGCCACCTTCGTTTCGTGCCTTTTGAGTATTCAAATGGATTGCAATACTGCTTTTGCCCGTGGCTTCCAATCCACCCCTTCATCGCCGATCCAGACATGCTATATCTTCGCGGAAAGCATCCCGGCTTGTGATCACTCGGTGCAAGACCCTCCCTCACCACGACCTTTCCCACCCAATCCTCCTCCTAGTCCTGCTTAAATGGCAGTTTCTTGGCTTTTCTTTGTTTGGCGTTCAGGCAATACGGGACAATAGGTGAGTTTTGCTTGTGCAGCCATGTGAAGTACATATTTCACGAGATATATATAATGGCCAAGTCGGGAAATGATACGAGCAAGAACTAACTTACTTTACAGATCATACTCCAAGGCATTTCAACTACAGTCGTTACAATGGGGATGTGCATTGATGGGCAACTGGGATACCTTAATGCGACGTGTGACGTTATCAATGCAATATCAATTACGGGTGGAAAATGGCAAAGTCATGAGAGGAACATTGAACCCAAAGGAGACAAAATGGGACACGATGCGTGAGAGTGAATATGGAAATCGAGTGACGGGTCTATACTTAGGGTGCCTTTCTCATTCGCATATCCATCATCGGGCAAGGCAGCTTAATGAAACTATATCACTCGAGACAGATTGCATTTGCCCATCGACACATAGATGGCAATAAGAAAGACCCAGAGGTAGAACAATATAGTCTCGACAAAGCTGGATTTGGCACCTACTTTAAAGATGAGCATACTTGCAGATTAAAATCGTGCGAGTAATCTAGCCCAATCTACACCCAATTTCCAATGGAGATGAAGAAAGGTCTGAACAGAAGGAAAAGAATCAGCGCCTTTTGAGCTCGCGCCAATTGACCTGATTCGTGTATATTTGAGGAAAAATCACTTTAATAACACATAAGGAAATTCGGAGGTATGAGGTACGGAAACATTTAAATCAAAGCAAGACCGACAGCACTGGCAATGCTGAGGCCCACCACAGTCCAGCCAGTCTTGATAATGACAGGGTTAGTGAGGCCACGGCCGAGATCCCACATCAAGTGACGGAGACCGTTCATGCAGTGGTAGGTGAAAGGCAGGGCAAGGGTGGTCTTGAGGAGGACCTTGGCCGCGAGAGGGAGAGCACCCATGGCAGCGACCATGGAGGCTGATTCGACGTGCCAACCGAGAGCGGGAGAGGCGAGGTAGGCAGTGGCCCAGAGGTACAGAGTACCGGAGAGAGCGACACCAGTAATACGGTGCAGGGAACTGCCGATCCAGCCAATCTGGGGCTTGTAGATGCTAAGGTGGGGGGCGACAGGGCGGTTAAGACGCTGCTTAACGAGGATCTGGCTGGGGTCCTCGGTTTTCGAGGAAGAAGCGACTTGTCTATAGACATTCTCTAGTTAGTATGGGACTTCCGGCGATTGTGGATGACGTAGGATTTCGCGAGGGGCGCTTGATTCGAGAATGGGCGGAACAATTGGAACTTGTCGTTTTGACGCTGGGTAACTGACCTCGTCTGGATGTTCTTGCCGAGGGCAACGGCGACAGGGGAAGCGCCCATCATGGACCGCATAGCGAACGGCTGCTGGACGGCAACTGTCCGGGAATAAGTTAGATCGCAAATTCGGATAAGCTAGACAATGGGTTCAACATACGCCGTCGCAGCGACTGCTGAGCAACCTTCTGAGAGAACATTGTGATTGCGGAGTTGAGATTGTTCTGTTTGATCGAGATCAGAAATCCCAAATGGCTCGCGAGCGATCGGAATCAACGGACGACCTCGGGTACGGGAGTTCTAAGTCACGGGACTGACACCCGGTAGTCGGCGTCGACCAATCAGATTGGATCTATTACCAGCCGGGATATTGTTCTTCCTGACGCGCTACCACAGTCACGTGACTACTCGCCTGTTTTCCCACTTTCTTCCGTCCGCAGCTCTTCTTTCTTTCTCTTCCTCAAGAGTCTCCGCTCACGTCGTCTACTGGTTTTGGCTGGGATGATGTCGTCGTGTCTAGCTTTCCCTCACTGACTGCGGCTTTCTGTCGTGGACGCCGAGGGATATTGAGGCTCTCAGAAGGAGAGTCCCGTCGTTAATCGCCCGTTCCACTCTACCAATGAGGGGAAGGGGTTTCATATTCAGGGATACATGCTATATGTATCAATCGTTAGATGTTTGTAGACTTACTAGGCTCTTTGGCTACAGTACAGTTGTTCAAGAGATTGTTGCAACTGTACTAAAAAAAAGTCTGCACTGGCCATGTAAAAGCATTCAGCTGGGGCATTTTAAATTGTTTTGCATCATTTCGATGTTCACTCGAGCTATGCAGCTATCTACCACACATCACGAATAATCGAATGCCATAATGATCGCTACTTTTTACTTGCCTCCACAACTATGTACGAAACGCTGTCAGCTGTGAAATCGGTGATGGGCCTGACCATATAAAGTCATTGCTTTCTATCACATGTCATGGCCAAACATGTCCAGAAGGTAAACCACGTCGATATATTCTCTTCCTTCCTAGACCTAGGCTTGATATTCAGTCTACAGCTTAATATTATTGATTATTCACAATCATACTATAAACCCTTTGAGGAACATAAGGTCGGCCCTCCTGCTCAGTAATCCTAACCTGTGCCCGCAGCTGCAACCTCGGCTCCTCGGACCTTCCCCACAGAGCTCCGCGGCTGTGAGATCGGTGTATTATCTGGTCTCTTATACATATTCAAAGACTTGATTCTCTCTCTGGCCCTGAATTTTGAGAAGCGATCAAAAAAGCAGTCCGATCATGTTAGTATATCTGGTCCCTGTTGACGTTGCATGTTGTTTCTTTGGAACTTACTGACTTCGCGATTATCAGATTAGATACTCCGATCTAACAAGATGCCTTTCAACACAGCTTTGACACGGAAGCTCGGTATCCGAGGTGCGTTATGAAACCGCCATTTTCGCAATTATCTCCAGCTGCTGATCGAATATATAGTGCCCATCGTGCAGGGTGGTATGCAATGGGTTGGATACGCTGAGCTGGCCTCGGCTGTTAGCAACGCAGGTGGACTTGGACTTGTACGTATACGCTCTAATGAAAGCCCTAGTTGCACACAGTATCTAACACTACAATTTAGCTCACAGCTCTCACCCAACCTACCCCCGAACACCTCCGCAAAGAAATCCGCAGATGTCGCACTATGACCAAATACCCCTTCGGAGTGAACCTGACCCTCCTCCCAGCCATGGTTCCCCCTGACTACGCTGCGTATGCCCAAGTCATTATTGACGAAGGAGTCAAGATTGTTGAGACCGCCGGTAACAACCCAGGTCCCGTCATCACCCAGCTGAAGAAGGCTGGCACCATCATCCTGCACAAGTGCACCACAATCCGCCACGCCAAGTCTGCCGTCAAGCTCGGCGTAGACTTCCTTTCTATTGACGGCTTTGAGTGTGCCGGTCACGTCGGTGAGCACGATATCACCAACTTCATCCTTTTGAGCCGTGCGCGCCAGGAACTCGGCGTTCCGTTCATCGCCTCAGGTGGATTCGCCGATGGTCAGGGCCTTGCTGCTGCCCTGGCGCTCGGCGCTGAGGGTATCAATATGGGTACTCGCTTTATGAGCACTGTTGAAGCTCCAATCCACCAGAAGGTTAAGGAGGCTATCGTTGCGGCTGAAGAAACTGATACTGCGCTTGTGCTACGTCGGTGGAAGAACACCTCCCGCCTGTTTGCCAATAAGGTGGCTAAGGACGCATTAAAGATTGAGCAGGAGAGCAAGACTGGTGAATTCAGCGAAGTTGGGCCCTATGTTAGCGGCAAGCGGGGTCGTGAGGTCTTCATTAATGGTGACGTCGATTTCGGCGTAAGTTGATTCCAGAATTATGCATGTCTTGTGCGTTTGCTGATCCTTCGTCATACAGGTATGGACTGCCGGTCAAGTCATTGGCTTGATTCACGACATCCCGACTTGCGAGGTCTTGCTCACTCGGATTGAGAAGGAGGCCTTGGAAGCGATGAGCCGGACTAGGTCTTTGTTTACCGATGCCCCCTCTAGCAAGCTTTGAAGAGCTTTATGTTACCAATGTGGTCTTATGTTATTTTAGCCTCATACTGTTTGGAGAGACTGTTTGGAAAGATCAAATAGAACCAATTTGAGATCTGATTTATTTTTAATGGCCTACATTTACATTTTGGATACTTTTTTCTACTTCACCTCCCATCCATCACGAGTCCACGACCCACGTCATGTCTGTTCAAAGAGCTGCGTATTCACTCTCCCAAGGGGGTCAATCAATAATAAGCATTCCTGCCCGACGGTCCGTGACCTTATATCAAGGATCTGCAAGCACGCAGATCCTCGGGTACTCGAGCATTCCTCCAACTCCAACCTCCAACGATAATGCTTACAAAACCATGGTGGAGTCCTTTTTCCAACCTCTCCCACTGGAATCGATAAAAGAAAGAATGAACTTTTCTCGAAACCCAAGTCCTCTTATGCGAGGTCAAAAAGAGAGTGGAGACATCCTTGCGTGCAGTCGATCCTCTGGGGAATGCTTGAACAAGCTACCGTTTCCGGCTCAGGCAATTGGCTCTGTTTCAGTTATAGCTTCTCATCGTCGATTGTGCTTCCTGCGTCGTGGCCTTTGTGCATGATATCATTCCCCTATGATTGGCCTCCGGACAACCCTTATCAACTTATGTGATGCTTGGTAAACTGTCCCTGTAAGTGTTTTTATCTAGAGGTTGAGGGAACATCTCCAAGTGAATGTAGCCGTACCCGACTGCTTGCCCAAATAGATTATGTCTTATTGCGTCGCACAGCACATACAAACTGGCATTACCCCGTGAAGATCCAGATAGCGACATACCTCGCCCAACGTATCCTCAGTCCAGAAGCAAACACGGCCGAGTTTAGTTTCTATCTCTCCCCTTCTCTCTCCCAATCAGTCACTCGATTCATACCATTCCACCAGCTATTCCAATCTTCGCCAATATCAAAACCACCCGACTTTACATCCAGACGCACGCATAGATCTATACCTATAACCACACTCGCAAACCCTTCCAACACACCCAGCTTCCCAAAATTCAAAATGGGCTTTATATCCACTCTGGCTCGCCGCATGCGCATTAAACGCTTCTCCAAAAGACTCTCAACGACAAGCACCAAGCTCCATGACGAAGATTCAAAAGATCTAATCAAAGCAACCTCCGAAACAGCCTCGCTGACACGCGCAAGCCTGGAATCAACCTCGACAATGGTCCACCACTCGGCGCACGAGCCCGTCCTACCCAGCGAGTCACCAGCAAACCCTATGCAGATGAGACCAAATAATGGGAATGCGCGGACCTTGTTCGATGTAAATACCACCTTCGATGTAAATACCACCCCCCACTCGCCGGAACGGGCTCCCAGGCCGACATCCAGACCCCCACATCCGATTTTGAAATTGGATTGTCGCTCGCCTGTCGAGGCGCCGAGGAAAATGGTGCAGGGGCCTTTTGAGATGACGGAGGAGGTCAAGGGCGGAGCGTTGGATTGTTCGTCTGCGATAACGGCCGACAAGGGCTTTTCGCCTTCTGAGAAACCTGTGTCTGAGAAGAAGGATAGAATGTCCATGTCGGCTTTACTGCAGAGACATTGTGGGTTGAATATCCCGCGCTCGTCGATTTCGATTAAGACTTCGTCGCGTGGTGTGGCATCGCCAAAGTGGTTGGATTCTGCTGGGCTTACGGAGGAGGAGAGATTGGTTGAGAAGCGGAATGAGAAGTGGGTAGAGGGAGTGCAGGATGAGAAGAGGAGAAATAGCGTATGGGGTAGTGTTGGGCTTGGGAGATTATAGAAGTTGGTTCGAGTGACTCTTAATCAACCATGTATCTATGTTCTTGCAAGAGAGTGGACGCATGTAGAATACTCATCCGACAGATCCCCTGTGGCAGCAGAAAATCCCTGAACACGCTCCACCAGAACTTTCTTTGGGCAATGGAGGCAGCGAATTGTCCAATAACAAGAACTACGTGATAATATACTGGTGCTATCACGTCTGAAGGACAGAGCTGCAGAACGGAGCTCGATTGGCGTATGAGGCCTATGGCTCTGATTCTATGGTTGAAATCGTAAAACTTTTCTTTCGATCATTTCCTATCCAAGAAGAGGAATGTCATCCCGGAACCTCAATATATCAATCAAGTAGACCCACTAGCCTCGCCTTCAGTGATCCCCTTCTCCAAGCTACCAGCAACATCCGAATTCAGGAGCCATTCAACAACCTGTCTGCCTGCAGACATCTCACCAACACCCTCACCGGATTTCTCATCACCCTCGTTCTCACCAATAGTCATCTCGATCTCCTGGGTCTGACTATCATTGCCCTCAGCACCCTCCACATCCTCATCGCCCTCAACAGCAGCCCACGCCGTCCGCTCAGCGAGGAAGACAGCGTCGTGACCAGCATCGTTCTTAACATCAAGGTCTGCGCCAGCTTCAACAAGCGCCTTAACACATTCCAGGTGCGCATTAAGTGCGGCCCAGTGCAAAGGGGTGTTGCCAGAGTTGTTGCGGTGGTTGACAAGCGCGGTACGCTGGGCAGCGTCTGCGGATGACAGCTTCTGGAGCAAAGTTTTGAGGATTTCTGAGCAGAGTCAGTAATGAACACAAGAAAAAGACGCCGCAAACCAGAGGAAAACCAATATCTTTGATATGTTATGTAAAAATCAAACCAAGTCAAACAAGTCACTCAATCAACATACCGGCGTTTCCATTCGCAGCGGGGAAGTGCAGAATGCAAGATCCCGAGCCGCCCTCGCTCTCATCTGCCATGTCAATGGCAGACGCCACAATCTGGGACTCGTTGCAGCTGTGTTGGCTGGCAAGATTGGCAAGGTCCTCATTTAGGGCCTCGAGGTCACCTGCTCGGGCGTCATAGATAAGATCGTCGACCGCATCGGCGGAGAGTGCAATTGGCACTGAAGGCTTTGCCTGTGATGTCGTAGAAGCGGACATGATGTGTGATAAAAGATGAACCAAGTCTTTGGTATGACTCTTTTCTTTCTTGTTTAGTGGGGTTGTTTTTGATATCCCACTTTATTTGATGTAGCTAGAGTGGGGTGTCAGTAATAATTCGGCTGTTCACGACTTGAAGATGACGAGACAATGAGAAGCAGACAAAGTGTGGTATCTGTAAAATCAAAATTGTTCTTGGAAAAATCGGTGGTTTTCCATAATACGAGAGTATGTCCCGAAGATATATCCAGTGCAGATCGAGGTCGTCGATAAGGATTTCAATGTGAATGACAACAACCACGAGATAGGAAACGGTGATCGAGATATATTCCCACAAGTGTATATAATCAACCAACAGGAAGTAAAAATCTTACCTTTGCTTTCGGTTCTTTGCTTTCTAGCGTGGAGTATCCCGGCAACAAATGAAGCGATCACCGCAAAAAATAATTTGATATCGCAGGTCATGTGACTGATAGTGCGCTATCAGTCAACGGTACAGCGAAAGGCGTCAAATGAACATGGCCAATCAGTACGCGCTACTGAATTAAACTACTGAAAAGAGACTATGCAGAGACGATCGTTATGTTGATACATAGTACATTGTACAGAGAACTTTACTCAATCATGAATAAGGCAGACGGACTCTCCAGCCTGCCTCTATCCACATGCAAGGCAGAACGCCAAGAGAAAAACAAATCAAACAAGCTCAAACGCCGAGTCCCACATCCGGTGGGATGGTATCAAAAGGCTCCAAAATTGCAATGCGACCGGTGGCAACGAGAGAATACATCAAACAACCCTCCCTCCCCCTCAGAACTCAAACAAACAGTTAGCCACAAGCGCCTAGTCCCTCAGCCAAGCTCGCCTCTTCTCCTCCTTCTTCTCGCGACGCTTCTCCTTGAACTGCTTCAACTCTTGCTTTGTCAACTTCTTAGCACTGCGCTCCGCGCGCAAGCTCCGGCCATCATGGCTGTTTGCTGCGGCATCAACGTCGAAGAAAGCGTTCATCTGCCGCCGAGACTTGTTCTCGTCGTTATGGTTTTCCGGATTGATTGTTGCAGCCTGCCATCGTCCAGTGAAGCGGTTGAATGTGCCAGTAGCTGCATATGCTGCGGATGGGTCGAAACCGACTCCGCGCGTGGGCTCTGCTGGCTCTTCATGGTATTGCGCATATGGTGCGGTGGGGTCATAGTTGCCGTGGATTGCGGGATTATAACCACCAAGTACTGGTTCCTTTTTTGGAGCTGCGCTTTGGTGGCTGTCCTCGGTACCGGGTGCTGCTGGGATTGCTGCAGCCGCTGGGACCTGGGGTACGCGGGGATTTTCCCACTGCGAAACTCCGGTGAAGCGGTTGTAAAAGTAATATGCCCCTGCCGTGGCGTCCCATGCAGGTTCCCATCCATCATCCTCGGGCTGTGCGGGCGGAGCCTCGTTGGGAAGTGGTGGTGGAGCTTCATCGGGGAGTGGTGGTTCAGATGTCAGTTCACCTGGTTCGCGTTCATCGGATTGCGATTTTGACGCATCGGTCTCCGGATCGTCGGTTGGTTGGGGTCCTTCATTCTTTGGCGTCTGGTCTTCCTGACTATCGATGTCATGCTTGGGTTCCGTCGCAAGGTTCGACGCAGCAGGGCTGGGTGAGCCACTGGCACACTGTTTTGGGGCAGAGTCCGATGCTTCTGGTGAGGCAGACATGCTAGGCATTGAAAGCAATGATTAGTGCAGAAGGGTAACCAATTGACAGAAGAGAAAGAGAAGGATGCGCCTGTCGAATATGGTCCGTGCGGGACAATTGGGGTCACCGCCTACTTGAACGGGAAGATCTCTGCGCTAACCCTAAATGAGATTAGCGTAACAGGTTGACCGGCAATGGCCGCCTCACTACGCCGTACAAGTGTGATATGTACTTCAGTTCAATCCCTTTGAACAACAGCTCACTTCCCTCTCAGAATGACTTGAAATGACTGATGTGCTGAAATCTCTCCTATAGCTCGGTTGCGATTGGCACCATGCTAGTACCCACTTGTCATCTCGGCATTTTCACTTGGTCAGCCTCCAATGTTGATTCAACATGTCAACTAACCTTGGAAAACTCTCCACTACGTGACTGGTTCATCCTGATCATCCATGTTGTTGGCCTGCTCGCCATCCTTGCTGTGGACCCACACGTGACCTAAAGAGGCTGAGCGCAATGATTGATCTCTCAATTGCTGATATAGTCCGATCTCTTACTGATTTATACAGTACAACCTGCAAGAGTGGGTTCTGGCTATGCACCCAAGAGTCATCTCAGAAGTGTGTTTCCAGTAACATATTCTCGGGAGCAAGAATACACCTTGCCATCCATAGTGCGCCATTCCTCCTCCGCTCCCTGCGAGGTACCTAGGGTGCTCCAATGTCGAAATTTGGCCACACTTCTTTTGATGTATAATCAATGAGAGAAAAGAAGACGATGGTTAGTTATTAGGCAATTGCTTGGAATGCACGGGCAAGAATGTCGTTGAGCTCCATGGTTCCATGTCGTAGATCTCTTGCACTTGTTTTGGCGCCTCGTTGCAGATAGATCAGGTAAACAACAGCTGCAGGCTTCTATGATTTTATTATGTCGACTCAAAAAGGAACTCTCAAGCAAAGTCGAGGTCTTTCAGCTGAAACCTGAACATTCGATCTGAAAGCTTATGATGATACGCAGGTACTTGGTACGGATATATATTGATATAGTCTTTGGGGGGAAAGTGTATGTTATCATTAAGCATGACAAAAACCAAATTCTTTAGGGCTTAGAGAGGCGATTCAAATCTCTTGGCTGGCATCTTTCATCATGGCATCGAGCTCATCTCAGATCTCACCTAGGATGCTCTCGATCGATCGACTGTTTCATAAGCAGAGTATATGGCTCGAAAAGACTGTGTAGGATGGTGCAAGTTGTTCCAAGTTGTTCCATGGTGAAGATTCATTCCAGATTGCTGCTCCTTGCTTGATATTCCACCCCTTTTGACTTTCGGCGATTTTGAGCGAGATCTATAGATGGCGTACAGTTATCGACTGTTCTAATTGGTCCTTGGGGTTGTTGACTCTGGAATGTCCCCCCTGGTTAATTCCTAGAGCCACAGCGATGTGAGTGCCCTGCTTTCCATCAAAACAAGTTGTTCTACGATGCACTTAACCTCCCACCATTGGATTGATCCCGAATTCCGGGACCAGAGTGGCTTGCATTCTCATCTTGTTTGTTGATAGTAAAGCTTGACTGTGGGAATATGGGATAATTATTCCCGACAGATTGTTTGAGTTTAAAAGGGATCGTATCCTGACGGTCATTGATGCCGAACATCCAACATCCATTCGACAAACTTCGCCAACCGCGTCTCTTATTTTCATTCCTTTCAGACCCACGCTCAACTCAAGCGTCATTCCCTCGTTCTATTATATTATTTACTGGCTTTAATACAGTGTTCCCCCATTATGAAGGGAATCACTCTTCTTTCGCTTTTTGGTGCTGCTCTAGCTCATCCGGCGGGCCTGGTGAGTACTTTGGATTCCACATGTCTATAGGCCAAGGCGCAGATCTGACGGAAGATTTCAGTGGTGGGGTACCGATCTCTGCTACACTAGCCCAGAGAATACCGACAATCAGTGCTCAGAGGCTCAGGAGAACGGCTTTGACTTGTCTGAGCTGTTAGACGATGACGATTGGGTCTTTGGAGGCAATTGGGACTTTGGAGGCTTTCACTTTGCTGGCCTCGAGGCCAAGAAAGACTGTCATGAGTCTGGCTACGGGGTAGGTCTCATAGGTCACTACCACATATTCAAAGAGTCTTGATTCTAACCCCTTAAAGAGCACTTGTCTTGGTGGAACGCTTTCTAGTGATGATGACTGGACAATCAAGATCTCTGCCGAGGATGCTCCATTCTCAATCCGAAACTTCCATCTGTCAACCTCCGAGGACACCGATGTCTTGATCATCTACGAGATGTCTGATGGTACTTCCTGTCGTCATGTCGCGTCGAGCTCGTCCGATGGAATTGATGTCGGCAATGACCAGTGTGGTGGTGCTGTCTCAGTCGAGTTCACACTTCCGGAAGACAGCAAGTTCGGGGATTGTGAGCTAGAGATCTATTCAATCGACTTTGACTGCTCTACTGGAACCAAGCAGCCTGAGCCTCCTGCGCATTGGACCTCTCCGGTTACTCCTGAGGTGTCTACCATCAGCCACTTTGATCCTCCTCACACTCACTCGGAGCCCACCTCAAGTATCTCCCTGTCCACCGCGCATTGGACCCGGCCTGTCACACCTGAGGTGACTACCATTAGCCACTTTGATCCTCCTCACACTCACTCGGAGCCCACCTCAACTATTTCCCTGCCTACCACGTATTGGACCTCCTCTGTTACGCCCGAGGTTTCTACTATTAGCTATGACGACCCCCCTTACCCTCACTCGGAGCCTACCCCAACAAATTCCCTGCCCACCGCGTATTGGACTTCCACTGTTACGCCCGAGGTTTCTACTATCAGCCAATATGACCCCCCCCACACTCACTCGGAGCCTACCACACCAGCTTCTCTGCCTGTCACACCGAAGGATCCTATCGTTAGCCAGTCTACCTGGCAGCTGACGACCTCAACAGTCTGGACTACACAGGAGTTCACTATCACCAAATGCGCACCCACTGTCACTAACTGCCCTGGCCATTCGACTGTATCGGTTACCTCTACATATCCCTTGTCAACCACGGTCTGCCCAATCAGCCCCGTCGATCCGGAGACCAGCACTGCATCTCAGGTTGTTTACACAGACCCTCTGATCACGGGGACTATCCAGACCACGACCGCTACCGCCCCCAACCCACCCGCTGTCACTGTCCCCTGCCCCAACGTGGTACCCAAGTGCCTCAACACCTGGCTCTCCATTCCCAAGTGCGACTCCAACAGCGATGTCGGATGCTTCTGCCCGTCCACTGAGTTCACAGACAAAGTCAGCTCGTGCATTCGGGCCTGGAGCAGCTCTAAAGACGAAGAGGATTCCGCCCTTGCTTACTTCGCCGGCATTTGCGCCCCCTACGTCCCAAAGAACCCTGCTATCGTCGACATCGTTTCAACCTCCACGTCGACTTTCACTTCTTTGGTCTACGCCCACACCACCACCGCTGATCCTGAAACCACACCTACTTCTGTCGAGGCTGTTGGCGTCACCTCATCTGTTCCTCAGACTCCCTGTACCACCATCAGCTGGGCCTCGCATACCGCAACTGTTCCCCTGGTTGGATTCAGCACGGTCACTTGCTCTTCCACAACCTCCGTGAATTTGGTTGTGGTTTCTACTATCGATCCTCCTTATAACACCGGTTATCAGCACATTGCGTCCTCGACGATGGCAACTAGCTGCAAAACTCCCACCCCGCTTAATACACCAGCTGCCCCTACTGCCACTTTCTCCAAGCCCAACGGTGTCGTCACACCAAACGAGCCCACGGCATCCGAGCCAACCGAAACTCCCACTTACGGCAATGCGGGATCGAAATTGCCTTTGTCTAGTTTCTGGGCTTTCGGTCTTGTGATTTTGGCTCTTCTCTTCTAATCGTTCCCTTGTTCAATTTCTGAGAAAACGAACTTCACTTATCTTATATAATCCATTGTCATTTGTTTCTTACATTCTCCAAATTTTTCTTATAGCTCGCAATATTACTATTGTTTATGACTCTGATACAGTGACTACCTACATACCTAGTTTGGTAAGCACTCCATTCAGTAATCTTGACACCTGTAATCCCAATGGGGAGTTTGCCGGAAAGACAGTGATGGTCAAATCTCCTATAATATAAAAGTCTCGTCATATTATTTGATATTTGAAACTCATTTCATCATCATTGATATTCAAGGAATATAATACATGAAAAGAAGAAGCCGCAGCACCCAAGACATCGGAAGTACTTCTGAATGGAAATCTCATATCACATTTCGCTTGAATCCCCAGGTTGAAGACAACAAGTTTTGGATCGGTTGAGCCCGGGGGCTGCCTCATAGGGCCGAAGAGTGAAGAAGGAATACACTAGGAGGTCGGCTGGAGGCATCCCCAATGGTCCATTGGCTGCGTTTGAACTTGTAGCAATGCACTGTAATTCCTTTTGTCATAAGATTACATTGATGGACGGTGCAGAGCTTGGAATGCTGCTTTGATATACATGACCTTCGTATGGTCTCATTTACACATCAATTCAGTCACTGCGGACCTTGCCCGCTGCCACTCCGACAGAAGACGAAACATGCGCAGGCAAAGTAGGGGGATCGATCTCCCGAACTTTTGCATCAAAGCCGACCTTGAAGCGCCTGTCTCGCCAGACAATGGTTACACCGCCATATACCGCCATGATCCAGATGGGCAGGGCCAGCAGTTCGCGGCCAAGCCAGGCGGCAAACCATTGCATGAACGGGCGACGAGTAGTTTGGGACGATCGATAGCGCTGGGGCCGAGCAAAAGCTGGGGTATCCTCATCCAACTCAATGCATTTTGCCGAATGCAACTTGATATACAATGTCCAATCGACCAGGACCCAGGAGATGATGCCAAGTGCGAACAAAACAAAAAACGCACTCCACGTCCCAAGATGGGCAGCGAATTGCACGCCTTTTCGCTCAAGATACGGAGCCAAGGCAGTGGTGATGCCCCAGGCGCCATAGATTGTGCATAGAAATGACTCGGTGCCAGGCTCGACAAGCGTAGCAAGCAGGACGGTAAATTTACGCACTCGTAGCCACCGGACACGACGGGCGATATATGCCGGCACGCTCATGTTGGCAACAGGCTGAATAGCCATGTCACCAAAGACCATAGCATGCTTGCCCCAACGCTCGCCGAGCTCTTTTTCTTCCCTCACCTGCTTCTTCCATAGCAGATCACCAATCAGATGGTCTTCGCAGATGTTGTCGGAGAAGAAATCGATACCAGGATGGCGAGTCTCGGGACCGGAGGGCGATGAACTGGTGAGATAGTCGAGATGGGAGCGGCGGAACATGTTCGATTTTCCCACGATGCATGGCGCAACGAGAACTGTGTTAATCGCGGTGTACATTTTCGCATGTGCGGAGGACAGGAAAAGCTCTTCCAAGCGACCACCTCCAGTCGCGATCATGGCTGTAGGCCCATCTTCTGGACGCACGCACGGCATCGCTGCAGCCGCTGTATCAGCAGCCGTGGCTTGCGGGTTGGCATCTACGAGCGCCTGTCGCTCTTCACGCAGGTTGCTCTCTCCTGTCACATCCACAGCCACGGGGAGATGGTGCACGAACTTGTATTTCTTGCTGGATGAGGGTCCAGTTCCACACAGTCTGTCTACCATCCGGGCACAAACTCCCTTCCCGACCCAGACATTACAGTCAATGATCCAAACGATATCTCCTTTCGCTTCACGATACGCGCGGCTCATATTTCTGATTTTAGGATTCGGCCCGAGCGTATACGCATTGATGCCATCCTGCTGTAACAGCGGATCTTCGTCTTCGACGAAAATCTGCGCATCGACATGCGGGAAATCGGCGATTAGTTTGCGGAGAGTAGGATAGGCCGGGTCATCGCGTGTCGATACACAAAGACGAATGCTAAGCTTATCGCGCGGGTAGTCCTGCCGAAACGTGGCAGCAAGGCAGTCATAGAGGTGCGGCTCGAGACCCTTGACAGGCCGGATAGCGGTGACGTGCGGTGAGTCGGAGGCGTTCGTTAGCCGTGACCGATGCGGCTGGCTGAGAAAGTATTTCCATCTGACCAGGAAAAAATAGTGTCAGTGATATATGTTATATCGAGATAGCAGGTTGTGTCATACATCTGAAAATATCCGAGGCCGCAAACTCCCTGTATGAATGTATACCAGATCAGGGCAATCCAACCAATCGCGACGGACACGTTGACCGCGTCATCGTCAGGCCCGAGGAATGAAAAGGTAGGCTCTAGCATGGACCACGAAGGAAAGGCGACATATACACAGATGCAGATGAGAACGACATTCTGGAGAAGAAGAAGCAATCGGATGCGGGTGGGAATCATTTTTGTCTGTCTCCGCCGAGAAAGCTACAGGACACGTGCATTGGACCAACCAGAGGGCATATCTTCCAAATACTATAAATATTAAATTAAATAGCTGCCTGCTTAACAGTTGCCTGCTCGGAACCTCCGGATGTAAATATAAGTACTTATGTTGTTCAATTGCCGAAATTATATTCGTTTAGTCTCGAATAGGAATATTGAAAAAAAAAAAGCTCCCCCAAACTCCAAGACCTCTCATGATACTGAAACCAAATGCAAAACCCCATTAATCATATTTTCTTCTTCTTCCGGACCAAGCTCGCATTGAGCACATTGACACCAGCCGGCTCTGGCGGAGCTAGTTGTGTGTCTCCTGATTCATTAGGTGGTTGGGTCTGATTCACACCAAGCGTGTTGCTCTCGCCCAATGACTTCTTTCGCTTGCGGATCAGTCCTAGATCTAGGACATTGTTGGTATTGGTATTGACAGGCTGAGAGATAGTGCTGCTTATGGTGTTGCTGCCGACAACCTTCTTTCCCCATGTAAGCTCATCTGCCAGGGAAGAAACTTGGTCAACGTAGAGTTTGGTACTGGCGACGACTTCTTTCTTGTCATAGAAATGGTCTAGAACCGAATCCATCATTGTTTTGTAGTCTGCTTCGCTGAGGACGACCTGTCCACGCCCGGCCTCTGGCCAGTCGAAAGGGTTAACAGTGCTAGATCCACCATCATGGAGAACTTTGGGGGATGTGTCGGCAGTCGTGGAATTGGTTCTTGCCTCCGTCAAGGTGGCATTTTTTTCAGACTGGCGAGAGCCATTCTGTACTTGCTCCTCGTTCCCAATGGTCCCAAGAATCTCTGTTCTATTGGAGACCAGGCTATTGTCAGAGGAACCACGCGTTTGGCTTTCCATTGATGTCGAGTTCATCAGACCAGGAGGATTGATGACCAACCACAAAAAGCCGACTAATCGACCAGCAGAGCATTCTTGGCGGAAAGACATCATCTCCCAGAATTGATCCAAAGACCGTACGCTGCGCCAGCGCCCAGCATTAGCAATGACAGGCTGACCTTCCTTCTCCTCGGGAAGTTCACTGTCCAAGTCGATGAGGAACCGAGTCTTGGGATCATCGGGGAAGCGAGGCACCAAGCAGCGAGGAGGAGCTGAGGGGTCATGGCACAATTGCTTCAATGGGTAGCTGTTAAGCCACCGTGGCCGATCCTTCGCATCCGCCTTTGCTGTAGGTGGGAAGAAATTGCGTGTCTCAAAGCGGTCACAACTTGGAACAATTAAGTATGCGGTAGCAGAGGCCTTGAAAGCCTCGACTGTTTGATCCAGTGCTTTCGTTTCTTGGGGAGCAGATTCTGGCTCGTGCTCGCGTAAAATCGGATCTAGCACACGACACCACCACTTAATGAGGCCCCGATCATCCAGAACGTGCTTTTCGGCGTTCTCAATGCTGCCCGGGAATAGGTACTGATTCTGGGCGCGGGCGAACAGCGACACGACCAGACGGACACCGGGCCGTTGGCGGGTTCGAGCCAAAAATGAGAGAAATGTGTTGGAGACCAGTCTCAGAACAGACACCTTGCGCGGCAATTTTAGAAGATGCAGAAGACCCGTCGAATCAGCCTTGGAGACGAAGATGGTGGTCAAGTGGGCCGTGTTGTAGACCATCACCTCCATTCCAAAGATAATTGTCTCACCGTCATCATTGGAGTCAATTGACACCGATAGGAAATGATTTTCACAGAAGGTCGGCTCGGAGACCTGGCCCGGCGCCGCTGCAAAGAGAGCTTCGCATGGAGTGGGTGTTGAGGAGACATGGCGAACGATGACCTCAACCCCGGTGGGGAGCATCTTGGCCAAGAGATCTCCCAGATCTGCCGCCATTCTCATTCGTCCAATGAGCGTCGTGGAAAAGGTGAAGAGAGGAGCTGGAGACCGCAGAACTCGATTTCGCGCCCTTGGAGATCACGTGCCAGGAACATATATGGACTGCCGGTTTAGGAAGATCAATATATAGATATCCAGTCAGTGCTCTTTGATTAAGTTGTTTGAATGATAGTGAGAGAGTGAAGATTCCAGTAATGAGATTGAAGCCAGACGTCTATATAGAATGCTTGAGTGAAAGAATATGAGGACGCTTTGTGCTTGCAATCTTGGAAGTATGTTTGCTCAATACTAAGACGAGCCACCCTTCATTTCTGGTGTTTGAACATGAGGCATCTCCGTTTGCCCGCCAGATATTCCCTATACTTCTCCAGCCTCCATGACTTACACTTATCATTTAACTCAAACTGTTACTGCTAGACACAGGCAGAATCGCAAATATTACTAAAGTAAGACCAATTTGATGGATATCTCGCCGGATACAAATTGCATAGCCTCAAAGATACTGACATCAAGTTTAACACTGCACAGCCTAATAACGCTGAGAATACCTATCAAGATGCCCCATAGACATTCTGGGGACTTCATAGGTGAGCCTACATTTGTGTTACCTCGCTATGTTCAAACAAGTCACTAAATATGCACCCCAGTGCCTGACATCAACACACAGGAGGTCTGCGTCCAGTTACAGATCCGTTACGCCTGTGGACATTCGACAGGCGGCGAGTTCATCAAATGTCAACGCCACATGGAAAAAGAGGATGAACGCTGCGCTGGTCGCCAAATTCAACATATAGATGTCAAGAATTCACCACACAAGTGCCGTTTATGCTTGCGAAGTGAGTGAGAGATGGCATGGTACAAATCCGGCAGGACTTGATGAATGGCTTTACCTCGGAAGTCTTGGGGAAGGATGAAGATGGAGAGTTCAGACACATATTACTATCAATGATTATTGACGGAGGAACCTGGACTTTCTATTTTTGAATCAAGAACACCACCAGAAGGATAAAGGGAATCTGACCGGCGCTATTGACCCAAATCCCAGTAGAATGCCACCCGAGGGGCAGAAAGCGTAAATATACCAAAGTGCAAAAGTGGCCGTACTGCCATGATGTCACTTCTAGGGCCTGATGCTGCTCAAAAGTAAGAAGCCACGGCATCGAGATCATCGGCATTGAGCAGAATGACCCCCTCTCTCAAAAGAGTCCTCCACACAAGGTTTCGAGTACGAATCGGGAAGTGCGGCGTATTCCAATATCTAGCACCGATTCCGCGCTCATTGGCAGTGGCGATTTGATCTCGGAGAGCTTTGAGTTGGTACTCTGAAAGAATTGGATCCGTATCGACAGTTATCTTGCCGACGGCCTTTTGGAAATCTGTTGATGCAACGGGCGAGATAATGCCATTTACACCGGCGTATTTGGGATCATTGAGATTTGCGAGAGGGGCATCGAAGAAGTAGTCTCGATCTTTGATGGGTGCAACCATGTCGAACGGTGTCTCCCCGGTGCCAATGATAGTGACGGGTCCATTGGTAACGGTCTTGCCATCTTTGACGGTAGTAAGGTAACCCTTCTCTCGTAGAGGCTTTAAAGCAGCAATCACAGCTTCAAAAGTTTCCGGGCCGGAGGTCTTCACATCAATGAAGAAGTAAAGCGTTTGGTCGGGAACAGTATCCCACACGCCGCTGTTTCAACAAGCATTAGTAGTGAGGCCATGTGGGACCCTGACCAGAAACTCACTTTTTGGTAGGCGATTTTATAAAGGGACTCTCCGGATTCTGGCGCTCCAGGACATCTAGAATTGGATTGATATACAAGGATTCAAGAGTTCGCGACGCTGTTAGGGCGGATTCGTCATGACCAACCTTGCTTGGTTAGTATGCTGCCCAAAAGAAAGGACAAAACATTATATGATCACAAACTCACATAAAGGGTACCGTTGTATAGCCAGACATCAGCTTCGGTAGATGTGCAGCCGTGTGAGAGACCTGCGCATGGCGATGTTAGGGGCAATCAGATATTAGGCACTAGAGCTCCCGCATACCGGTATAGAAAGGCTCATCTCGCCAATAGTCACTTTGGTATAATCAGCATATGACCACTCACGAGCAGGCACCACGAAAAGTATCCTTACTTATGAGAATGAACAGGAATCTAGATATTCGGGTCCCCACGGTTAACAAGATTGTCCAGATGGCGGAACACTCACAGAGCGTTTATTAATGTAAATAACTACCAGATAAACTCACAGGTAAGAGATCTCTTGTTATATCAGTGGGATACCCATAGTCTGAGCTGCCGTGGGTGTTTCCTAATATGCTCTGTAGGCTAGAGGTGATCGCCGCAATGGCTGGATCCGGACCCGCGAGGAGAGCCACAACAACACCAGAGAGGAATAACATAAAGACAGATAGCATGAGCCGACGAAAATACCTTAATTTCGCCTTCACGTATAGGGCTGGAGTTATGAAGAAGTTGAAATTGAATTGATTGAAAATCAAAGAGGCAAATTGCAATGACGATCGGGACTCGGACTCACGTGTTTCGCAAGGTATTTGTGTCCATAACCCTACCGTCGAGACGAGATATTTTATGATTTTGAATACGTACCCTTTCTTTTCTTAATATGATCGATGTGTAGAATATTAGAAAAAACCATCCAAATGAACACTCAAGATGAGAGGTCTAGTGTTTACTTTGTACAAAGGAAAATCGAGAATGGTAATGTATGGTAACTGGCACGAATGCCAGAAAGTGCTAAAAAGACAAGAAAATCAAGACTAACTCCATCATTCAAGACTCGAAGATGGATGATAGCAAAATTTTCGAAGAAGAGGTCAAGTTACCAAATGAAAACTATGTACGTCACGGAAAATATGACCTTAAACCTCCCGCACACTTGGGGAAGAGGCAGCTCCGGAGTCTTGTGAATTTCTACCTCGAAGGCTGAGGTTTCCGATACGTTGGACCAGGTTAGTGCCCACAGCATCAACTGCACCTTTGGGCGCAAGCAAGGTAGGGCCTTGAGCGGCAGCCTCTTGGACTCTGAAGAGTTTAATAGCTGTGCTGTTCCAGACACCAACTGTTCCTGGAGTTGCACCAGAAGCGGAACCCACTACCATCTCGCTGGAAAAGATGAAGCCCCACAGCAGTGATTCATACCAGCCCATGGAAAGTGCAGACCACTCGAATGATTGCACGCGAACGGGGGTTGGCTCGGAGATAATACTTGTTACCTCCGGTTCTTCAGCAAATGATGGGAGATTGTGGATTAGTGTGCGGGCCTCCGGGCTAGCTGCGCTTGCGAGCGCTGCATCAGGGATATGAGGTGCAATGGCTGAGATGATGGTGAGGATCGTGTGCAAAGGAAGCTCCGGCAACCAAGACTCGAGCTTGGAAATATTGTTAGTAGCGAAATATTTAGGGGAAAGGTGTATCTGTATAGACTTACCCATGGGACGGTTGGTGTGAAGCCGCTGGCGGAGGGGGTGAAAATAGCAGACATGCTTGTCTGACTGGTCATGCTATTTTGTCGGGAGAAAGTGGGATGCCCAGCAGGTTTCTTTCCCCGTGCCTTTTCGGACATTGCTCGCACCTGGTGCGCTCCGTTCTCGTCTATAGTGGATGTCACAGAGGGTCTCCGTGAGGTTTGAGCTGAGAATGATGATTGTGATGGAGTCTGTGCGCCGTCTTCCTCACGGTCCTCATCGGAGTCGTCATCGCCAATTGCAAATGGGCTGTTCTCTTCGGGGATCCTAGTCAACGGTGATCGGGCACCCGAAGGAGTGTGGAGATCATCCTCTGACTGTGAAAGTGTGGGGCTGACAGCTATATCTGAACTACTGCCAGCTTTCCTCTTCTCATTCTGCCGCTCGATCTCTTGCTGGCCACTCTCGAGAGTGAAAGCTCTCACAGCTTCGAAGCGTTGCTTATATTTTAGTATCGAGTAGACGAGATACGGATTGTCTAGATAAGATTAGAAACGACCTTGCCGACGGATAAGATCCGGGTAGGGAATTTACCGGTAAATTTGTGCTCGAGGATAATGTTGATGAAGTCGAGCAACGAAGCAAGAAGAGTGTGGTTGGTCTCGTTTGCCAACAAGAAACTGGGCGCAGACATGGAAGAGAAAAGTTGAATGACCTTCGAGCAGGCGCTCGGAGAAATGCGTTCGATATAGGGAGCAATGTTGTTTAGGATGATCAAAAGGGCAGGATATACAGTGTCAAGATTCCCCTTGCTGGTTGTCATCAACGTGTGAATCGACTGAGGCGGTTAGTTTGCTATTATTATTTTGGATGGGGAAAAACAAACCATGATCAGATAGTCGGCATAAGACCCCCGGAACTTGAGTAGCCGGATCGACTGTGGCAAGGTTTCTTGGGCTTCGAAACTGTTGTTTAGGCTCTTCCCAAACGTTGGCTCAGCACTCATCGTCTGAAGGATGAAAACACACATCCGGACCACCCCTTGTTTGGAAGCATCCATTCTATACTCCATCGCATAGAAGATACATAGAACAAGGAAGTCATGGGAGCGATTGGAGTCGATGATAAATGACCGGAACCTTTTGTTGCATTGCAAGGTCTCCCAGAAAAGGACCAACATCTCAGGGGCCCATTTCACTGATTTTTGACTCCCGGGAAGATAAGAAGCAGTGGCTTGCATCTGGTTTGATCAATCAGCATAATGTCTGAAAAAATGATTGAGCAGAGGGTATATACCGGCTGGTTCAGAATTCTTGTCATGCCATCCACCAGGAATTGGAAGTCTTGAGGTCTATGTAACCTGCCGAAGTAATGGCGATAGTAATTCTTCGGTGGAGTCCCACGGCCGTCTTCTGGGATGGGATACATCAAGAGGACAAGAAGAAGCTGCACGCAATAGATCACTAATATCTGCTTGGGATCTTTCCAAACAACGTGGTCATATGGGACTCTCCACGACGCAGGATTATACTTCATTGCCTGTTTTGGATTAGCATGGCTCCCACAGCCGATTGGACAGAACATACTGTATTGAGAAGGGAGCAAAGGAGGGTCAAGACAGCCTGCTTATCTTGGCAAGTTGTGATGTAAGTAATTGCCTTGACGCCTTGGACGGGCAATGTATCTATACCAGTCAGCAAATCCTGGAATAACTTGGCTGAATTGGGCTCTGGACTCACTAGGTGGCAAATACATGGCCTTTCCAGTCAGTGTAAGCATAAGCCGGAGAATCTCGCATCGGTTGCTTTCCAATGTTTTGTTGGACCCCATAGCCGTGTTGCAGCCAACACCACTCTGCCAGATCGAGAAAGAGACTTTGCTCTTCGCAGTTGGAAGTCGAGGGATTGTGAAGTCGGCAAAGAAGAGCAAGTCCGTCAATGTGTCTATCAACTCTTCGGCAAGAGGTTTCACATCTTCGTAATCCTCTGCGCGTGGTGATGTCCCGTCTTGGTTATCCTCTGGTTGTGCTTCGTCAAAGAGCACCTCGCCAGAAATTTGTGACTGTCTGGTCCTCCTCTTCCTCCTTGCCCAGAAGAAATTATCCTCCCATCCCTCTAGATGCTCCGCTTCATAAATGTAGGGGAGGAGGCGAGTGAGGATCCGAATGCAATTGAGGACATCACGCTCAGGGGCGAGATCCGGGTCAGGAAACGAGGGGTGGTTTTTCAGAACTGTCAGTCGCGAGGTGACTGCGAGAAGGAGTGTTTGGAAGTTGGGCAAGGCATGATCGCGCGTGCGTCGTATGTCGGCCGGTGTGAAAAGGCTGAAGACATCTTCGGTTGATTCAGGAAGCTCCCAGAACTGCCAGTGTGATTAGTCACGATTTCTTTAGGACAGATGATTCTTTCGTATCAAAACATACTCTGGTCCAGTAGGGGTCGTCTGCGGGGATCTCCTGTTCCTCCGAGAGGCGGAAGATGCCCTGTTTGAACACAAGCTTGGACTCCGAAGCTCCCATAGCGGAAGGAAACAGCTACTAGATCACGCCGTGGGGGGCTGCATGCGGATTCTCACAGCAAATGTTGATGTGTAGGTGAGAGGGTGTCTATTTGCCAAGTGCTGGAAGTGGTTGGCGGTCCTAATCGTCCGGGCGCGGGATCTTGGCCTGAATACGGGGTAAGTATGGCAGATCGGATGGATGCCGCCACCAGTTACAGTGGATTAAAATCATAGCAGAATTCTAACTGATCTTATATAAATACACCTTATCTATATTCTTGCCATTTGTCTGCATGTATCAGAAAGCACTTTGAGGATCTGTCCCATACCTAGGGACGGAAAAGGTATCCAATATCCCGATTATTGGAAATAAACAAAGATTTGCCAAATGAAAGCAGCTTGTAATAATAAACCTTGAATTGGTATCCTTGTAATACATTGGCAATGCAAAGAACCGCTATGACCTGAAACACCACAATCATGAATGACCCAAGCGCCCATTCCCAAATTTGTTCAGAAAACCGCAGAGAATCAGAGAGCTCCTCCACTGGCTGAAAGCCGCCGGCTCCTCTCATATAGCCACTTGTTCTTGACTCCCAGACTTCCCCGTTTTCCCATGAGCGGAGAAGGTGTGCTTGGGCCCATGCTCGAGGTCGACTCTCCAAAGGAGTTACTTCGAGCCAGAGGGGAGGCAGAGGACCCAAAGCTCTGAGATCCAAAGCTCTGCCGTTGAACAGATTCTCTGCCTCCATTTGACATGGTTCCATTCGACATTGCCTTGTAAAGTAGAGGGCTGGAGGCGGGCGAGAAGGGTGTGCTGATAGAAGAGCGTCGCTCAGAAAAGCTTGCATTCGCGGACATAGGAGAGCTCTGTCTGCTTGCAGGACTGGCCTTGCGTGAAGTGGAAAGTCGGTATCTGGGTGGGGTAACATATGTTGTCCCAGGGGTTGCTGGTGGTGTGACGGCGGGATCCAAGCCCAGAAGTGAGCGTTGAGTGGGAGTAAGAGGAATGTCGGAGAGGTCATCCTTCGGCCGGAAGAGGGGATAGAGCGCCACTAGGATATTGAAAACGAAGAAGAGCTGGAGGATGAAAAGAGGAATTTCTTGATACATATGATTGGTATCGAAAATTTGGCGTGAACTAAAACAAGGCTGTTAACGCGCGACGTGATCCACCGGAGTTCTTATCGTACTCACTAATTTTTGAAGGTAGATCCAAATGTCCAGCTCATTGCCAAAGCTGCACTATTCCAGACCAGCTTCTTCACCTTTTTCTGATCAAACGTGGCCGCATTTTGGCGCCGAACAATCTCATCTAGTTGGGGGTGTCGCCATTTTCCAGGAGTCAAGTTACCCTCTGGGGTGGGAGGCGCCAGCGGAGGTGTCGCTTTCGGGGTGGAAGGAAGAGATTGAGTCGCCATTGCTAATGCAGTAAAGCTGATATTAAGGCTAGTGAGCGAAGTGAAATTGACTCGAGACTGGAATTGTGAATTTAGCCATCGACTCGTATACGATTAGACTGTTTTTTTCATCCTCTTTTTGACAAATAGGGATTGCACTCACTGTTATTTTGAACCTTTTCAACACTAAACTGGGGGAAACAAACACGAGTAGCTGTTAGTTAGTAATGCATATACCTATTGGCGATTGTGATTTTAGAATGTCATTATTGTTGACCATAAGACGGATTGACAGTCCCAAAGTGGCTGCGCTCGGCGGCCGAGGAAGGGGGTTACACGGGCATAAGTTGACCCGGCCAAGCTGACACACCTCTTATCGTGCCCCTCAACGTCATAGTCGCCGATTGTTGACACTTCTTCCTTTGCACACCAAAATGGCTACTGATACTTCACTCGTGGAGAAGCTAGATGCTTTGGTGGCCGATATCTTGGCTGACTGGAATATATACACTACTATTGTCGCTGGGATAGTCGTCACCTTCGGGCTTTACTCTCTCATCTCATCTAAAGATCCAGATGTGCATCCGTTCCTCCTTGCTCGCCAATCGACCGCATCCCCGATACGGCAACAGGGTGAATCTGCTACTTACAGATGCCTGGAAACCCCACATGGTTTACCCCTTCGCTTTGGACTGAATGTCAAGGACCCGGGCGCTCCGAAATGGACTGGTGGCCGAAGAGGAGACCTGCGCGACATTTGGAAGACCGCTATGCGTGGAGCTCTGAATGAAGATGGTACTATGTCGAAAAAGCAAGGCAAGATCTACACCGTTCTAGGTCGAAAGGCCATCGAACATTCTTTGGACCAGGTGACCCAAGAAATCAACGTTATCGGTCATCATCTCCATAAATCCGGGGTGAAAACAGTGGCCGTTTGCCTTACAGACTCCATCGAGCTTCTAGCTACGATCTTTGGTGTGTATCTTCCTTTCGTGCGTTATTCTTGATAGCTAACCTTGTGCAATATAGCTGGTGCTTTCTATGGATACAAGACGGTCATCGTGCCGCACAACCTTCCTGCAGAGACACTATCAGCGCATCTACAACATGCTAACGCGGATGTTCTTATTGCTGAAGCCGGATCTCTTGACCTGTCTCTTATCGCCAAGGCCAACGACCAATTGTCGCTCGTCCTTTGGGTCGCCAAGTATGGCAATCGACATATGGACTGGAACGCAGTCCCCGAGGACGCCAAGGATAGTCTGAAAGTTGCGGTTTGGCATGAACTGGTCGAGGAGTTCAAGGAGCTCGCTAGCTGTGATGTTCCTCAGTATGACCCAAAGACAGAAACCCCCGCCGTCATCACTGTTTGGCCGTCCTCCTCACAGTCCGGCAAATTTATCGATTTCCAGCCAGAGGTAAGACTGACCCAAATTAAGTGGTATCACACTCATTAACATTGAACTAGAACCTTGTGTCTGCCATTGGAGCGATAATATCCTCTATCCCTCGTACCCAGAGTTTCAACCCAAGCGATATTGTTCTTTCTATCGACTCTCTTTCACGGTCATATCCGCTTTGCACAACTCTGGCTGCACTGTTTGCCAATTCATCCATCGCTCTCAACTCTGTCGCTGGGGAGAATGTCGATTTTGCTTTGGCTACGGCTGGGGTATCTCCCACAGTCATTGTCGCTTCATCGCAAACCATGGCTGAGTACCACGACAATATCATGCGCCCACACACTGGTATCATTTCCTCTCTTGGACGCTGGCTTCAGGCACGGACTTTGGATGCAGGAAATATGCCAACGCGCAACTTTTTCAGCCAATTGGCTCGTGTCAGCCCGACCTCTGAGCTTTCGCTGGATGAAGTCCGCTTGCTCTGCATTTCTCACCGCATCGATGGCAACCCTGCTGCCCAGCTTACCTCTGAGCAATTGACAGAGCTTAGGATCTTCACTGGGGCTCGAGTTGTGTATGCCTTGACCGGTCCCGGTGTGGCTGGTGCGATTGCCCAAACAAATGCCTTTGACTATAGATGCCTCACCGGTCCTAGCCACTTTGGCGCTCCGCTGAGTAGCACAGAAATTACTCTGACCAATGTGCCTGAAGGCTCACCCGACGACACAGTAGAGGGACAGGTATGACATACTCAACTCCAATGATTGCACACAGAACTAACGTTAGCGTCTTCAGCTCACCGTCTCGGGCCCTGCTGTTGTCGGCGGCACTGTTACCCTTCCCTGCCGAGCCCGCATCAGCAAGGACAATACCTTGGAATTGTGTTCCTGAGCGTGTCAATCAGTTGACCGACTGAAGTAGCATTTCCTTGGAGCGTATTTGAAACTCGAAGTCCTGGGACGTTTGGTAATGAAACTGACCAAACTATTGCGTATTTCTGAGATAGCACTTGGCGGGATCAGATGTTGCGGGAAATAAAATATCTATTCTCTCTGAAATACAGACCAGCTCCAAAATATCTGGGAAGTACAGTAATATACATGCCGATGTGGCTCAATCAACACCAAAAGGAATCACAACCAAGCTCATGCGTTTTCATCAACCTTTTATTTGAGCTTTGGCTCGAGCAATTGCTTGACCACCTTGTCACCAAGCACGTCAGCGTTCTTCACTTGCTTCAATTGGGAAATCAGGACAGGCTCAAGCGCATCGCAGCGAGCCTTGAAAGCCACGGTCTCTTCTGATAACTTGGACATATTAAGGCTCAAACGCATGCCGTTGTAGAGGGCAAGGTTCTCCTCGACTCTCTCAACATTTCCAAAGCGGGAAGTCGCATCATCCTTGAAATTTCCCCGGGACCAGGCTGCATCAAGTTTTTGAGCGTAGCCACGGACTAAGGATACATCGGCCTCCTTGATCTTCGCACAGGCAGCACTGAGTTCCAAAAGTGTACCGATAACGAAAGGCTGGTGTTTAGGGTCTTCCTGAATGTTCGGAACGGAGTGTTCCTCAGCATCCATCAGGCTAGCTGCCTCCCTCGCGAGTCTCAGAGCTTTGACGGTTGGGACCCCCTTGAAGTCCGCTTTCGCGGCTGTCTTGTGAAGCTCGAAGAACAGACGACGGGCGATGTTCCTGTTGCTGAGACTCAAGCCGGTGCGGTTAGACTGCCTGGCGCACTCGATAATGGTTGAAAGCTTGCCAGCCTCGCTGGTTTTGCGAATAATGTACTCCCACCGATCGCTGGTGATGACATAGTTTGACATCCGGAGTCCACTGAGGTACGGGAAAAGGTTGCTGAAGTTCTTGGTCGCGACCATCATGTTGAGAACCTCGAGTGCTTCTTTCTTCGAGGGCAGTTCGTGGTGCTTCTTAGGCGTGAGGGTGAACTCTTCGTCCTCGCTGATCTTCACGACAATCGGCTCATTTTCCAATTGCTTGGCATATTTCTCCCTGAAAACACTCTTTCTCTGTCGCTTGGGAAGACCAAGAGGTATGAACAGCTCATTGCGGAATCGATCCAGGGCTTCATTTAACTCGGGTGAGGGTGTTGAGGTGAAAGTTGGGATTGCTGTTCCGGTCGTCTCCGATGAGAAATTGATAATGTGATGGATATATTAATGCATACCTGAGTTCGAACCGTAGCTGCGGGCCTGCATTGGTCTCAGAATGGACTGGCGCACCGAGCCGGTGGTGCTCTGGCGGAAGAGCCTGCTCATGGCGATTTGCGCCATCGTGTATGATCAGAGGCTATGTATGAAGCGATTAAGGGTCTGGGAGTAGTAGTCGCTTAGACGATAGAATTTCCCCCAAAACAACAAGAGAACGAGGTTGATTGGTATTCTGGAGTTGGAGGAGAAAAAACAATCGCGTTATCGTAGAAACCCCCGAATGGGTAGCAGGAGGCTTGGCGGAAATTCTGCCGATCCGGCCAAAACTCGACTCCGACTTTCTTGACTTGACATCCACATCACAACTATGGCGGCTCTACCAGCAATGCGCCCGCTGGGCTGCTTAAGGTCCTTGATGAGGGCTTCTGAGCCTATGCAACCCTTAATCAACCGACGATTCATTTCGACAGCCTATTCGAAGAGACCCGAACGGGTACCTCTTCCCCCAACATGCCTGAGCAATTCCTAACTCAAATACCTCTTCGTTTCCGTCCGGATCCCGGTATGTCCTTCTGAATTGAGTTATAATCACGCGAGTTTTACTCATTGTCGCTCTCTCATATAGAGCGCGAGCCCCTCAAGATCTACCCTGCTCCGCCATCTGCTCGCAAAGCATGCAAGGACCCTATCGCAGCGGTCACCGAATCGCAGTTGGCAGTTCTCGACCCCACCGGTGAGCGCAAGGCAATGTTCGACTACCGACGAAACCCGAAGAGTGTCAAGCCCGGCGATATCGTACGAGTGACATTCAAGAACGGCGACCCATTCAACGGAATTGTTATGAGCATCAAGTTGCGCGGAATTGAGACGTCCTTCCTTATGCGAAACGAGCTCACCCGTGTCGCTGTTGAGATGTCGATCAAGGTCTTCAGTCCCAACGTGAACAGCGTGGAAATTGTCCAGCGATCGGAGAAGAAGCGCAGAAGAGCGAGATTGTACTACCTCAGAGACAAAGCACACGATCGTCGCAGTGTGGAGAACGTTGTGGCCAGCTATGTTCGCCAGAAGAAGGCTTTCTTGGGTGGTGGCAACCGTCGGAGGTGATTGAGTTAAGAGGACGTCTGGCGTGACCCTCATTTGCATGCATGTGGCTGTATTACTACCTATCATTTTGTACTTCATCTGTGTCTATAAATTGCGAATTACAACTTTGAGCTCTTTTTTTTTTTTAGCATTCTCATACCCTTCATGGATGTCTTGTTTCGACAAGCTCTTCCTGGGAATTTAGTTTTCCTGGATCTCTAGCTTGGACAACACAAGTGTCTCGGGTTGTTCATTTCACAGTGTTCTTGTCCTCGTTCAAAATGTCGGCAATTTGATATACACAATGCAGTTCAGTTCTTGGATACCTCTTCGAACGTCCGGTCCTTCCATACTTGAAAGAAACGCCTCATCTGCACATCCTGGTGAATGAATGTATCCCGCCCTTCGTCCAAAACGAGGATTCTCAGACCATTACCAGAATCTGGCCCTACTTCAAGTGTATCAATTTTCCCATTGGAATCTCGCGAGTCAACAAACCCTCTCCCTTCATTTGCATATATCAAGACTGCTGGTGCAGTCCTCGAGTCCAGATGGTTGCCGAAGAAGTAATCTTTCTCAAGAAATAATTCTTTTCCATCCTACAAATCAGTTAGCACGGCGATCGATATTGAATGATACAGCACTTGCAAGGATAATGGTCATAGCTTCGTTTTCAAGTCCTCTGTCATCCTGTGCATAGGCCCGATGGAATACAGCTCCATCCGGCGTGTTCATCGTTTTGGCGAATCCATCAATCGTCATTTCTATAGAACAGGACGCTCTAGTCTCCGGGGGATATTTTATCTGGATGGATGTGGTGTCAGAAGGAACGGGCTCATGGCATCTTTGGGGTATTGCCGTAGTTAAGTGCAGGAAGATGATTCAACCAAAGGTTGCTCTGTATCGTATATCAAGTCTGGTATGTTCTGCGATACTTTGTACAACTAATGACAATGACCCGTGACGACTGGTCATCTCACAAACACGAATTCTACCTTGTTCAACAAGGATATGAGTAATCTCATCTCTCCTATAGCAACTCTCGATATGTGGCAGTCCAATGATATCCCGCATACTATACTAGAGTCAATGTCGTACTGGATCGTGCGTTCGTCTTACCACTGTCCGGATGCCATTGGGCAATCTAACCTGGGGTCTTTTGTCGAATATCGAAATAACAAATGAGGTCTTTGCGTTCGGGTTATTCTTCTCGCTTTGATCTCCCTGACTTCTATTTATGATGACGAAAAAAAAAACAAAAAAACCATGTGTTGTTGTTGTTGTTGTTGTTGTTGTTGTTGTTGTTGTTTATTTATTTTATTTTTTTTCAAGGCACTTTCAACAATAGGATGCCCTATACTAGAGCGGATAGCACTGGGGTCCTTTGCTTAATTTCATATTCCTCACAAACACCTTACGGAAAAAGGACTAGGGCTAGTTGCCAAAGTGCCGTGGAATAGGAATGAACCAGCCCAAAAAAGCTAGTGATATACCTGTCTTTATAGATGTCTTATCTTTCATCTTGGTAGCGGCTTTTTCGCAGTTTAAAAATAGGATTTGAGGGTCATTTGTGCAATTGAATCCAGGTACATTATACTATATAAATGCTTTGACAACACCCACTCCAATGTTTATCAACGTAGATATATGATGAGGGAGGAATCTAATACTTAATAGATATATCGGAAGCTGTTGTAGACCGTTAGCTTTCTCCTTACCAGAATTGGAGGACAGCAAGAAGAGACATACTTCAGGTTTTCCCGGTCCGTCAAATCCAAGAACGCAGTCGCATCCAGATCTCTGCCCTCGAGACCACCCTCCATCTGAGATTGGATACGATCGCGCTTTTGATTTTCCCAGCGCAGTAATAGACCAAGGATGCTGATCAAGACAGCTTCAATCAAGTGCGAGACAATCATAGACCAGATGCCAAGCGAGTATGTAGGTCTATAGCTCGAGTTAGCTCTTAAACTCTAGAAACAGTAGAGTTAGTCCATGGGAAAAACGTACGATTGATCGGTCTTGTAGAAGAATGGCCCGGCAATGTTTCCAGTGCAGTATCCCAAGAAAAGCACGGCGTTGGTGACGACTTTCTTGGTATGACCTAAGCCCAGGAAAGCATTAGTCTACTTAATGCTTGGAATAGAGCACTTAATGAGGACATGTTTTACATACCAGCGGTGTTGGCCATCTGCATGCTCAGAACGAGTACAAATGCAGCGTTATATGGGCCTGTCAAGTAATAGCAGATTAAACGACCCACACCGTGTTCGACGGGAACAAAGCGAAGACCAAAGGAGCCGGCAAGGTTAGGAATCAGGAAGATGAGGACAAACACGCATCTTCGATTTTCGTAGCGGTCGTTAAGAAACACGCATGTCAAGATCGAGAGGGCAATAATAACGCCGTACGGAATCTACAGCGTATATTGTGTTAGCTGAAAACTATGTGACTACCAGATTAATCATACCTGCATGAGAGTGGTAACCAATGTTGAGAAACCGAACCCTTTAATGATGATGGTACCGAAGTTCGAGATACCACCGTTGGGAATATTGCCTATGTAGTTGTTAGTTGGAACGGATTTGGATGTGGGACAAGTCACATACAAACAGCCCCGAGAATGAAGAATATGTAGAGCTTATAGTCCATAAAAGCCTCCACAATCTGATACGGCTTGAGATGTTTGTTCTCGACACCAGTCTGATTTTCTCGCAAACGCTCAACAGCCATGCGACGCTCTCTTTTGGAAAGACCGCGAGCCGTGACAGGTGAATCTGGGAGGAAGATAAACATCACAATACCCCATGTAGAGCACAGGGCGCCACTAAAAAGGTTAGCAAAATGGGCAGTTTCAATAGGGGCAAGACGAAATGAACTTACATTACGAGAAACTCGTATTTCCACGACGGTAGTGCACCACGAATATGACCAATTCCGTAGCCCAGTAGTCCACCCAATGCAATACCGAGACCATTTGCTGTATACCACAGACCGAGACGAATTGGCTGTTCACGACGGGTATACCACATGCTTGTGATGAGCATGAAAGCTGGATCAGCACAGGCCTCGGCGGCACCACCAAGGGCTCGAAGAACGGCTAGGGTTTCGAAACTATTGCAGGCAGCTTGGATCATGAGGAAGACACCCCTGAAAGGGAAATATTAGTATCTAATTGCATTGTCTGCGATACTAGTCGAACGAACCACATGAAAATATTCGCGCCCAAGTATTTCCCTAAAACACGAATCAGATGGATATCCAATGAAAATTTTAGGCATGTAATGGGAGAAATGTACCGATTGGAAGACGCTGCATCAGAAAGTTGGTAGGGAATGCCCATGCTAAGAAACCAAAATAGAAGATACTGCTCAGCCAGCTATACCGAGTTCCATGTAGATCGAGATCTTCCTGAATCCCGAAAATAGCAGCATAGCTCAACGTTGTCTGTTTCCCATTAGCATGCTCATCAAATATCCTTTCAGTTGAAAAAGAAGCCTAATCAACGAGACTAACCTTGTCAATATAGAAGAACGCATAACAAACAGCCAAGTAGGGCAAGATCATGAAATCAATCTTCCACAACAGCTTTCTCGCTTCCACTGGATCGACATCCTCGTGGAGCTCGTCCGGATCATCAAACAGCGCCATGGCGGTGTCGCCATCGGCATTTTTGGCTGACTTGAATCTGGAGTGTACTTGATTGCTTTCTGCATGGCTGATAGTGGGAAGTTCGGCGACGTTTGACTTTGAGTCAAGGTCTGGGGGCATATGGTTCGCCATATTGTAATCTTTTCTCATCTGATATGAAATGGAGAAAACAAACCTGGGATTGAGCTACAAGGGTAGATATATATAAACTGCAAGACTAATGCGGAACGGCACAGCATGAAATGTATAAAGTGATCATAATGACCTCGGGACGAGGCCGAGTCTCTTTGTCCAATGTCTTGAAAAGCCATCTCCAGTTTCCCCGCAAATTTCAGAGCCGAACTGCCTCAAGGGGCCTAGCGAAGGATTATCTGAAAGGATCTTTGCGGGGAAACCCCGGGGCCCCACACGGGGGAGACGGCAAGTGAGAGATGACCCCGTCAAAAACGTGGGGAAGGGTCTTGGCTGACGAGCTGTTTGACCAGTACACTCCAGCTAAATGAGTCTGGCTACAAAAGGACTGTCATTGTCGGTGTAAGTCCGAGAATTCGGGTTTGATGCCGCTGTATCATCCACTGAAGTTAACCCCATTGCTGGTCGATAAGGCTTATTATGACATTCTATCATCAAAGTGACCACAGCAGGTTTTGCCTAAAAGCTACCGCTAAAGTCTCCGTTTTTGCTGCTAAATTCGAGACGGGAAAAGCAATATGCCGAAATATATAATCGTGGATGAAGGGAAAACCAAAGAGAGTAAGAAGAACAAGTCCGTGGGTAGACGATAACAATACCTCGAGCCGAGCGAAACATCCCGCAGCAATTCTCAAAACTGGCGAAACAATCTTTATAATAAAGCTGAGAATACTCTTCCGCACTTATAGCGCGGGGGTCCGTGAAGCTGCCAAGAAAAGCTAGCGTTGCAAAGCTAGGGCATATATCGGATTGTATTAGAATTGATCCGTAATATGCACAGACTAGTAATATCGCCAGCACTAAATATAAGAGCTTGGGTCGTAGGGAATATAGATCTTTCATTACACTATCGTGGCAGTACATCACAAGATACACTGCACTTGCAGTGAGCCGACAACTTTCAAAGAGCTGCTAACTTTGAAATTTGTTGATGATGGGTGTACTGAAATCGAGGGAAAACACCATCATCTTACAACGTATCAAAGTAGTATGTATTTATACAGCTATTTAGTAGTGCTTGGTGTGTTACAGTCATGTTGATTTGGAGACCGGAACCTATGCCCAGGAGAGGAAACTTATCCCGAGTTTATGCTTCATTTGGTGTTAGATCATGCGCGCCGAATTTGCGTGCTGAGATCTTCTGCTGGAACATATGATCGAGCTGCTCAAAGGTCCTGCCTTTGGTCTCTGGCAAGCAGAAGTAAGTCCAAATAGAGGCAATGATAGAGAAGCCACCAAAGATAAAGCCTGTCTTTCCTCGAAGATTACCTTCATCAGGGTTTATCATGTAAGGCACGGTAAGAGTCATGATCAAAGTCCAGAAGTTTTGCGTGAAAAACCCAATGCTGACGGTGTATGATCGCAATCGAGTGGAAGACATCTCTCCGCAGATTACGTATCCAAGAGGCCCAAGGGTGAGATCATAGAAGAAGTTCCAGATAATGATCAATACACACTGGCCCATAGCGATCGAGGAGTTGTAATTCGGTACCACGTCGAGAATGCCAATGATGAAGACGATAGCAGTGAGAACGAGCATACCAGGGAAAAGCACTCGCCGACCAATGGTATTTATGACGAACCAGGAGCAGATATTTCCGAGGACGCCAACTGCAGTTACTCCAACGCCCATATCGAAGGAGGCAGATGTAGGGATGCCGGCGACTATTGGGAAAAAAGAAATCATTAGTAAACAAAAATGACTTTGCAAACTTGAGAGACTTACTCTGGAAGAAGTAGGTTGAGTAGCTTAGCACAAAGTTGACACCACTGAAAGAGTTGATAGTCCAAACGGCCATAACAATCAGGGTTCGACGAAGATCAGTTCCTCGGAAACAATCCAGATAGCCAGCGGACGATGCTGACTCCTCTTCAATGCGAACTGTTTCTTGGATCTCAATGAGCCAGCTGTCGATGCTTCCGCCAGTCTGGAATCGTTCAAGGGAGTTTTTGGCCTCGCTATGCTTGCCCCTTTGTACGTACCAATAAGGAGATTCAGGGCAGAACCACACGCCAGAGAGAAGAATCGCCGGGAAAACCCACTGGAAAGCAAAGGGGATTCTGTAGGCAAAAGTGTTTGATTGCCCACCGAAAGCTTTAATGAGGCAGTTTCCGAGGAGCTGACCGACGACAACAAAGACGTTCACCATGGCAATGGTAATCCCGCGAAGCACGACAGGGCAGGCTTCAGAACAGTAGGCACAGGCAGTGACGAGGAACATGCCCAGTGCGATTCCATTGACTAACTTTCCAGCAAGGAGAACTCCTCGTGTGAATGCAAAGAACTGTAAGAAGACAGAGCCACTGGAGATGACACAAGCGATGGTCAGTGTCATCCTTCGACCCATGTAAGGCGAGAGAGGCCCGCAGAGCAGACTTCCGCCCATTCCACCGACTGTCGCGATCATGTTGAAAGCAGCTTGCCATTCTGCCGGAAGGATTGTCGTGCCATCAGGTTGAGTGTATCCAAACACCGCGCGGAACTCGGGTGCGGCAAGAAGACCACCACTGACCTGCATGTCATAGCCCCAGAGGATAGCAGAGAAGCAGAAGAATAAACTGTATAGCATCGCATTTCGGTAACTGGTCAGAGCTACCTTCAAGCTCATAACAGATCCCGAGATTTCATTGAGGTGTTCAGGCTTCTTGATATCGGTGGGATCCAACGTCGGTGTAGCCTCTAGATGGACACTTTCAACGGGTTTCTCTTGATCAAGCCCCATAATGGAAGAGGGAAAAGACGAGGGAAAAAAAAGACAAAGGTGCCCAAAGAAGATTTGAGAGTGAATCAAGATAATCCAAAGTGTTCTCCTGCTGCACGGTGGGGAGTCTCGTTGATTTAATATTTCCAGCTTCTCATACCATCTGCCTACTACCTCCGCATTTTTCCCGGCTTCGGGGTACAAATTTTCGGCCCCGGGTCATGCTCACAATCTGGGGAAGTTAAGTGACAAGTTTGCCAAATTCGCTTTGCCGAAGGGGCTAAAGTATTAAGTTGGACGAGAGTGAGACACTTTTGGATTCCCGATATCCCCGTCTAGATCCACGTTTCCACGTGATTTGATGGGATTGGACGTCTTCACCCTTTTGTGGACATCTGAAATCCTCTCAACTTTATGATTCTCGGACGGCTCCGATTGACGCGGTGCCGATACCCCCGGAGCTGCTCATTGGCTCGAGAATATCCATTCTCTCCGCAAACCCAACCCCACAGCCCATCGGCTCCGATAGACCCGGGACAGTAGCCAAAGAAACGGGGATACTACATGCAGACGAATGGATTGCCCCTCTAGGGTCCATAAATATGTAACAAAATCCGACGCGCTTCGAGTTGCGACGTCATTTAGTCATCTAGTTCAGCACTCCGGTATAAAGTACGCACAATAGAAAAGCTGCCCCAACCTTCTTGATCCGAGTAATCTGGACTCATACCGTCAAAACCCCCATTCCACCATCATGAGTTCTTCTCAAGATAAACAGATGGCCTTACAGGCTGATCCCAAAAGGCCCGATTTTATGAACCCCGAGGTCTTTCGCAGAAATACCCTCCCTGCGCGGTCTTATCACATCCCCTCAACATCTTTACTTCTCAATGGGGCCTGGGAATTCAATATGTCCCGGTCACCACCGGAGGCACCAGAGCCCAGCGAGAAGGCCTCCGACGAGGACTGGTCTAGTATCAACGTTCCAGGCCATTGGCAGTTGCAGGGTTGGGGAAAGCCGAATTATACCAACACACAATTCCCAATCCCAGTGTGCCCTCCTTTTGTACCCACCGAGAACCCCACGGGTACATACCGTCGAAAATTCCAAGTGCCGGCCGAATGGAAATCCGACAACACAGAGATACGTTTGCGATTCGATGGCGTCGATAGCGCGTACCATGTTTGGGTGAATAAGTCCTTGGTCGGGTATGCGCAGGGCAGTAGAAACGCCTCTGAATTTGATGTCACACCGTTCTTGCAGGAGGGTGACAATGAAGTGTTTGTGCGGGTGTATCAATGGTCAGATGCTACATATATTGAAGATCAGGATCAGTGGTGGTTATCAGGTAAGATTTAAATTGTGATATGTGAGGAATGGAAAGAGAAGTCTGCTAATCTTGAAGTATCACGATAATAGGAATTTTCCGAGACGTCACATTGATTGCGTTCCCAGCCAACGATCGTTTGAATGACTGGTTCATTCGCACAGACCTTGATCCAGAGTACAAAAATGCCACGCTTCTCGCAACGATCGACTACCAAGTCTCCGAGCGAAGCACTATTGCGCTTAATGTGATTGAGTCGGTGGAAGGCAACAGTAATGTCATTACTTCCACAGAGCACAATGTAGAGCCAGCAACATCTACAGTTGAGCTCAGCTTGCCTGTTGCAAACCCCCAAAAATGGACTGCGGAGCGGCCGTATCTGTATGAAGTGGAGATGATCCTGGTAACTCCCGGATCCAACAAGACGTACAAGACTACACAGCGCATCGGTTTCCGCAAAGTCGAGCGCAAGGGTGGCTTTATCACCGTTAATGGGAAGGCTATTCAATTTCGTGGAGTCAATCGACACGATCACCACCCGCTTTTGGGTCGTGCCGTGCCAATGGACTTCGTGAGAAAGGATCTTCTTATCATGAAAGCTCATAACATCAATTCCCTCCGCTGCAGCCATTATCCCCCGGACGCTCGGCTTCTGGACATGGCTGATGAGCTGGGTTTCTGGGTTATTGATGAGGCCGATCTCGAATGCCATGGCTTTTATGATGCTGTCTCACGTCCAATGGACATTGACGAAACCCTTGGCTACGAGGAACGCAAGGCAATGACCTTCCCCAAGTGTGGTGCCCATACGTCAGACAACCCTGTGTGGCGGGCAGCCTACGTTGATCGAGTTCACTCACTGATGCAACGAGACAAAAACCATACTAGTATCATTATCTGGTCTATGGGAAATGAGTCTTTTTTCGGCACATGTCATCGTTCCATGGTCGAGTATGCCCGGGCCTTTGACAGTACTCGCTTGATTCACTACGAGGGTGATATGGATGCGGAAATCACGGACATGTTCAGCTACATGTATCCAGAAATCGAGCGGTTAAAGTCATTGGCAGCAACCGAGGGAGTGTCAGAGAACGGCGAGTTTGACAAGCCTATCATTCTTTGCGAATACGCTCATGCCATGGGTAACGGACCAGGTTTGCTTACGGATTATGAGAAATGCTTTGACGAGACCCCGCGTTTGCAGGGCGGTTTTATCTGGGAATGGGCAAATCACGGCCTATACGTCGAAGGAAACGAGAAGAAAGACGGTTTTTATGCATACGGTGGTGATTTTGATGACTATCCCAACGATGGAACGTTCGTCATGGATGGTCTCTTGAACAGTGTTCACCAACCTCTGCCAGGTCTGCTGGAGTTGAAGAGAGTTTTTGAGCCAGTCAAGCTGGAAGTCCGGGGACAAGTCTTGGCCTTGAAAAACCGGTACAACTTCTTGGACCTAAGCCACCTCCAAGCGTCATACAAGCTGGAATCATTTGACAAGCAGTAAGCTGATAACTCTCGTTACAATGAATTGATGATAAGCTAACCTTTCGACTCAGAGCAAAGATTCTGGCAACTGGATCGTTGGAGCTGCCCATTGTGGCTGCTGGGCAATTTGCTGAGATTTCTCTCCCCACAGAGCTCTTCCAATATAAAGCCCATCCAGCCTACTTAACCGTTACACTTGAGCAGAGAGGAGCGGTTGAATGGGATCAGGGTGCCTATGTCGTTGCTTGGACACAGGAGTTGGTATCTAAGCCAACGGAAAAAGTCCCGGTCAATAGCCTGAGCTCTGCACAGGAACTTATCTCAACCAAGTCCACCAAGACAAGTGTGCATGTCACCGGGGCCAACTGGTCCTTCGAGTTTGATCGAATTAGGGGACAGCTCAAAAAGTGGACACTGAACTCGACTTCTATACTTGAGCCACATCCAGACACAGGGCTTGCCATAGTGCCGGGTTTCTGGCGTCCTCCGACGGACAACGACGTGGCTTCCGCCATGCCATATTGGAAGCGATTTGGAGTGAACTGTCTCACAAACCAGTTCCGGTCTTTCAATATGTCATCAATGGAGCATGGGAGTGTTTGCATCGAAAGCGAGACGTTCCTCTCGCCCCCAGTTCTTTCCTGGGGATGGAAATGCGCTACGAGTTATATCATCCAACCCAATGGCTCATTGGCTATCACCACTAGCTTGAAACCCACTGGAGCTGCGCCGACAACTGTTCCTCGAGTTGGTCTCAATGTCTGTGCAAACTCCAACTTGCAATCCGCGCGTTGGCTTGGGCTTGGTCCTGGGGAATCGTATCCCGACAAGAAAGCTTCTCAGAGGTTTGGTTTGTGGAATGTTGATAACATAAAATCCCTACACACAGATTATGACATTCCACAGGAGAATGGAAATCGTGTAGACACTGCCTGGGTGGAACTTCGCGCTGCGAATGGCACAGGATTCCGCGCAAGCCCGCAGGAAAGTACTGTGGTGAATGGAGGAACGGCAAGCCTAAGCTGGGCGGCTAGCCAGTACTCTGATAAGACCATTGAGGAGGCACGACACCCTTGTGATCTGATCAAAGATGATGTGATATTTGTGAGGTTGGATGACAAAGTTGCAGGCGTAGGCAGTGCGGCCTGTGGGCCCGGGCCTATGGATGAGCATTTAGTTAAGGTACAGGATATGACCTTTAGTATGCTGTTGGAACCTGTATCGTTGTGATAGCGACTTGGGTGTTTGTTTGTTTACCATACGTATTTCACACCATTCATTGAGAATGTTAAATCTGACAGCCTTTTCAAGTTTTTATGCCAGTAAATATCTTAAAAACCAGGCTAATGCACAATTCCTTGTAAAATCTAGGACAAATTTTGATAATGAACTGCCCATGACTAGTCTCATTTCAAATTTGCCCTGCCTTGTCAAGATTTGAGGTTGCTAGGGGCTACGCTTGGGGCGACGTTCGGGGCTGCACTTGGGGCTTAGCCGCCCGCGCCTTCCCCGAGTCGTGCATAGCCTAGAATCTTTGCGCTAATACTATCTATGTGAACCTGGTATAGATTTACGTTATAAAGAGGCTTACGTAGCAAGTATTGCTTCCGAATCTCACGAGCATGGCCATGGAAGAATGAGGTTGTCAAAAAAAGAATATCCTGTCGCCCACGTGTAGGCCTAGGGTTGTGGGGGGCCATGGGAAACTGGCATCACGTGGCCCGGTGTTGGCATTCACGACTTTTCCGTTCGTGTGTTCACCGCTTGCGCCATTGATTCGCTCAATTGCCAATAGAAGCTCATTGTCGAAGCTTAAAGTTGCCGCACCTCCTTGATATCAGTATCCCGACTCGAGATGAAGAGATTCAGGGCGGCTCGAGCGGTCCGTTTCACATTCTCCGTTGTCGGGAATCAGCCAGTTGGGAACATCGAAACTAACCCAATTCATAGTGCGACTCGTGCCGTCAGCGCAAGACAAGGTTAGTCATGTTATATATGAATCTGTGGCGTATGATAATTGACAGACTTGATAGATGTGATGCGCGGGATCCTTGTGGGCCCTGTGTAAGCTTAAGCCAAACATGTCTATACGGAACAGAAGCGATTTCGTGAGTGAGTGGGTGTCATTTTGAAAATCCGCAACTAACATCGAGTTTAGAAGAGGGAAAAGTGACATGATCTTGGATACGGTCTTGCGAATGGAAGCTTCCATTGAAGAACTTAAGGGCATGGTTGTGAGTAACGAGTGACCAATCGTTAGCTCTTACTGACGATAAATTCTAGGATATGGGTTCCGGCTCAAATGTAATGGGTGGCATACAGGCCAATTCAACGTCTCCTAGTTCGACGATCACCCCGAGGTCTCAGGATGCACGTCATCATCCAGGCAGGTGCAGAACCAGGGACCCCACTGAAAGTGCTGTGCTTTCGTCGGGCCATCTTTCCTCGGCAGAGTCGCTGTTGAAATGGACAGTGTTTCGTGACCATCCTTCTATACTGGAGGAGGCAAAGTCCTCGTTTTTGTCGCTCGAATATGGACGATCGTCATTTCAAAGCAAACTTTATGGCATATTCCCTAGCGTGGGTTTGTCAGATGTCAAAAATATGGTAGGCATGTTCCAACGCACATATAACTTTTGGTTTCCTACAATCAGCTTGGAAGATCTGAAATCCTTGCAACTAAGAATATGGCAAGAAAATCTGGAGCCTAGTTGTCAATCATGTCTCGCGTTGTTGGTAATGGCCTTGGGTTGCGTTGGGGCTTCCTTGACAGAGGAAGAGGACGGTTCCGAAGACAAGTCTCAACAACTGAAGCTCCAGGGGGCATCATGGTTTACTGCCGCAATGAAAATGCTTCACTTGGCTCACATTGAGATGAATGTGGAGGCATGCCAATGCCTCCTGCTGACTGGGTATGATAATATTGTTACGTGCTAAAATGGCCAATGCAGACAGAATTGACCAATCCCTAGTCTCTACTTCTCCTTTTTGCAAAGACCGCTGCAAACATGGTCTTATGTGAACAGTGCGGCAACTCGCTGTCGGTTCTTGCTCTCTTGCCCCTTCGAGAACCCCGAGCGTGATGATCGAGAACACATCACCCGAATATTTTGGTCGTGCTTTGTACTAGAAAGGTAAGAAAAGACGATAATACATTGCCCTAATTACCGTCTGACTAGAAATAGCAACTATATCTCCGAGTTGCCATCGCTTCCGCAAAACTGTAATGCTGAAATTGAATCAATATTCTCTCTTCCGGGAAAATTCCACTCACATGAAGCTATCGAAGATGAAGAAAAGTCGACCTTCTACTTCCTTGCATCGATAGCACTCCGTCGTCTACTGAACCGAGCTCACTATATGCTATACGACCGTGACATTGGCCTTCAAATTGATTCGAACAACTTCTACTCTGTGAACCAAGAACTTGCTCGCCAACTGCAAGACTGGTATCACACACTACCTCCAAGTCTACAATTTTCTGAAGACGGAAAACCTGCAGATGATCCGCATAGTGAGTATTTGAGGCAGTGGTACCTTAGTTGTCGAAGTGTAATCTATCGACCTTATCTGGAATGGGCTCTCGCTAACCCATCATGGGATCTCAACAACAACCTACGTGTGCTTGATGGATGTCGGGTTGCTCTCGACACATGCCTGTTCAAATTAAGGTACATGAAGCAGGTGCCATATACTGTCATGGTAGATACATGGCCATGCTCGCTTTCGTAAGTGGAGTTTCGAACTATTCTTGGGTATTGTGCGTCAATTCTGATACAATAAATTTTCTCGTTAGACTCGAAACAGCGATGTTGACACTCATGGGCGGCTTCTGTCATCCACAGCTAACAATGCAGCTTCGTCATATTGCCTTGCTAGAGCTAGGGCCTCACCTGCAGCAGCTTTTACAACGATGGATGACGATCCACGGATCTTCTGTTTCTCCTGGTGTTGAGAAAGCGTTGAGATTGATCATGAAAGCTCACCAGTTCTTTGAAAGCAAAAGTGCAGAATTTGCTCCTTCCCAAGTGGAAGAACAGCATCTTTCTCCTCGGTCCCTTCGAATGTCTCTCAGATAGTGCTTTGTCAGTCACCCTTTTGTAAAGGCCGAGCAAGCTTCGAACAATCAGCATAGCTGGGAAAAGATGTTTGGACTCCGAGCTAGCTGAAATCATCTACAAGGCGAAGTGGTCGAGGAGCATGCGTGCTGGCTGAAGTCTCATCACATAGATGCTGGCCCTGCCGCCCAACATTATTGCTCTCACTCATAGTCAGTCGCTGCAGGGTTCGCCGCATTGTTCCCCGGCAATCGTGTGTAAGCAGAGTCAACGACATTGGAATCTTTTAGAAATACCCCGAAATTTGTCATGGATCTACTTTCAGCGGAAAAGGGGCGCATGAAGAATGAGCGAGACTCCCAGATCAGTGTGCTAGTAATGCACATTGCCTTGGGAGTCAAATAAAGAAAAGGTTTCATTTGATCACAATCAAAAAACCACCTTGCGTGGATCACGTTCCAGCATTTCTTGGGGGCTGAGAGTCTTTGCTTTTCCAGAAGGGACCAATACAAGAGATCGGCACTGCTATCGATGCCCTCTTTGGATTCCCATCAGCGGGCATGTTTCAGCCATTTGTCAAAACTCGTGGTTTCTCTACAAGTTCCTCTTCTTCCGCCATTCAAACCTCAATTTGGCATTTTGACACCACGCTCTCAACCACAAGGTCCCCCTGATGGGAGAATTGGAGAGCAAGGGCCAAGTACATGATGAAGAAAGTTGCTCTTTTCGGGATTTCCGATGAATTCGTCCATCAACATTCTCGCGACTTCCTCCTGGTATCCATCAGGAATTGAGTCGTATCATCACTTGCCTAACAGGAATAAACCCTTCTACTCACCATCTAAGGCTCCCTTCATCGGTGTCAACCCAAAGTCTTGTTCGCCATGTTACGCGAGGCGGCTCGTAATTTCGGTGATTCCAATGCGTACTTTTGATGGTTTCTTTCCTGAGAATCACCTCATGCGTCCAGATACACGTGGAAACTGGGCTTAGCACAACCTTTCAGAATAATTCTACATAGATACATAGCTAGATAGGATTCTGCGATGGGATCTCACTAGCGTTTTGCTAACGCTTGTTAGTCTTTACCAGACACCTCCATATCACCAACTCTGCAAAGCCTGCCTATTCAATTCAACTTACTGTTCAGGGCTATCTCTTTTTTCGGACCTCTTGAATACACTGGCTGAGGGTCTGAGTAAGAGCTATTGTCTACAGATAGACCAGAAACACCAGATATGCGTCTGCGGATATACGCAGGTCAGTAAGTAGTATTAGCACAAGGCACCGATGTTTGGAATATCACTCATGCACACTTGAAATTGAATTTCGGCTGAGATGTTGCATCTAATACTCGGGTTTGATCTGAAAGTTGGTACAATTCAACCATTAGAATGCAGAACAGTTCAAGGATAGAGGAATCTATCCAGTCGCCTAGAAGAACAAGGGTGTGAAAAATAAGCGCCCAGCCACTGTATGATAACGGCGATGACGGAAAAGGTCAAAAGTCTCCAACCACCTACTCGACCGATGATTCGAGGTCACGTTCCGTCTCACCTTCCATATTTAGCGCTCGCGTAGCTTTAGCCGGTTTCCTACTCGGTCTTCTCTCTATTCATATATTCATACATTCATCGCACTTATGCATTTCCTGCGGCATTAACATTCTCAGCATGATTTCTCTCCGCCCAAACCTTGGCCTAGATGAAACCACTTCAGTCTTTGGGAAGAGATGCCCCGAATACACAGAAAAGACAGAAAAGGAAGATTCCAGCAAGAAGCCTATAAAATATCAAGGCCAAGACCCTGAAGCGAAAGCAAACCCCGTCGATGTGCCAGATCTACACCCTGCAATGACCAAGGCGATGATCAATATATTCCGACAGAAGGGAAACGAATATCAAACTTGGATCAATGACCCAGACGACACCAACTGCCAAAGGCCATGTATTGTTTCGCCTTCGACATTAAAACTGGACGACCTGATACAGCCATCCGCCGACGGGAACCGATGGGATGCATATTTCAATGCGTGGGTGGACGCACCCGAGGAAATCGGGGATCCCTGTCTACTCGATCTCCCCACTGGACAGGATTATCACAAGCTATATCTTCGAAAATTAGGAGTCGAGAAAGATGGTTCTGTGGGTTGGAATAAATACCACGGACGTGTGGCACATACTGCAATCTTCGCTGATAACAATGTCAGACTTGATGGTCCTCAATGGTCGCAAATTGCTCAAGCTCACTACCAGAGCTTCTTCGATATCGAATCTTTGAAATATGTCTTTCGGATGACGGTCGTCAATGAGGAGACACATACCTTTGTGGATAAGGTGCTTTATCCAAGATATGGGCTTGAGCTTGCTGGAGATAGTCAACTGAGAACTTGGCTATATGATACTGATGAATATCAGGAGATTATGGGGACTCCGTTGGGAAAAGCTGTCGGTGCCCTGGTTTTGGGGGCTTTCCCTAGAGGTACACGCTGCATTATTCAGATTGTTACTTGGCAGTACGTTGGAGATCTGCAGATGAGATTTGATATTTCACGGGTCACTTTAGGCCGAAACTAATCGAGATGGCTCTATTTTGAGCCTTTGAGCAAGACGTGTTTGTCTCCAGAGACTTTCAGATGTGATTATTCATGTGCTCCTCCGGTGATTAGATCTAAGTGTTAGAGTTCCTGTATATTCTTATAATTCCAGAGCTTGTAAAGTCTGGAAAGCCCAGTGGTGTTACTACTCTGAAATAGTTGTTCAACTGTATTTCTTCCAGTTGCCCTCGGCCAGTGAAGACTTCGGAGTTGCTACAATGTCATTACTTTTCTTAAGGAATTAGAGGAGGCATAAGTAGTATGAAGAAGCAATCATGCATTTTTGAATTAAATTTTGAACCACAAATTGCTGTATGGATGGGAAGGATACTCTACGCAAAGACACTCTACGGTTAGTAGGTCTCTTTTTTCGGGGGTCAGCAAAACCATATGTCGCTGTTCATCGCCGGTTGAAATTCAAGAAGCGAGACTGTATAGAATCCAGTGAGCATCACAATCACAAAGATGTCAAGGGTATATCCACTTACCGCCAAGAACAAGATAGCCAGGTTGGACACAATGAACGCAGCAAAGATGCCCAGATCCCGCCACCTGTTATCAAAGGCCATGCTGAAGGTCGCATAGAATTCATCTCCAAGTTTGTACGCACAGTACTTGCAAGCCTGCACCGCATCATCCACAATGTATCCCTTACCACCACGGTCAAAGAATGGCTTCATGTACTCCCCGCAGGTGAGATTATCAGGGGCATTGAAGAGGTTCAGTTCCGATTCTGCGCAAACCACATCCCGACCATGCAGCTCTGTCACGACCATTCCGCCGATCAGACGGGTGAATGGGTCGAGCTGGTATAGCCACGCACGCCAGAATCCTGGCATCTGCGGCTTGGGGATTGCAACGCCACAGAATAGAGAGAAGATAATCACGATTGGTGGGTTGAACTGAGACGCGATGAAACTGTTGGGTGTCAGAGCTGAGATCATCTGGCCCAGAGTCACAGAGAACATCTCCGTAATGAGAATTATGAAGAACTGGTAGCCGGCTCGGCTAGACTCGGTTTGGAACCCGGGGATGTAGTACAATGGGAGGAAGAAGCAGACGGCGCATAGGAGACTGTAGGGGATCTCGGCGATAACAAGTGACAGTGCAAAGGCGAACTGGCTGTATGTCTTTGAGGCTGATTCACGGTAGAAGATTAGACGAGCCATGTCGTACCGCGGTTGGACCATTTGTAAAATGATCGCAGGCAGAACAGTCACATTGAAAATGACGAAAATGCGGTATTGAAGCGAGGATCGGGAGTCGTCAAGATTCAAGAATACAAGACCGGTGATGATGGAAATCACCACATGGGTGTAAAGCCGGGTAAAACCATAGTTTCTCGAGCGCCAGAATGATAGATTGGTTCGTCGACCGACTACCTTGATCTGGTGCCAGAGAGGTGAAGCGTACTCTCTATCCACCTTACTATCATCATGGTTGTCCCGAACAGCCTGCGCACGAACTTCCTTGATCTGGATAATTTCCTTTTTAACTGTCTCCAGCTCAGGAGAAGTGCGCCAAATGTCGCCCCAGTCACGGTCTCCGATACGACGTGTCTGACCAGCACCGATGGCATCAAGCATCCACTCAGCCACGTTAGAGTCTGGAGGGCACTCGGCCCCATTGCGGCGGAAGTAATCCAGCAGAACCTGGGAGTCGGGGCCAATGTCGCCGTGATAGATACATTCGCCTCCCCTTTGGAGGAGAAGCAGACGATCAAAGCTTTCAAAGAGAGCGGCGTTGGGCTGATGAATGGTGCATAGAATAGCCTGGCCTGCTGCTGCTAGTTTCCGAAGGAAACGAACAATGTTCCAGGCAGATTGACCGTCCAGACCAGATGTAGGCTCGTCCAAAAACAGGAGCAGTTCAGGCTTTGCCGCCAGTTCGACGCCGATTGTCACTCGCTTTCTTTCTTCAACCGAAAGACCGGTTTCAGGTGTACCGATGATTGCATCTGCCAGATTTTCAAGCTCCAAGAGGGTTAGGATCTCTTCCACATAAGCGTACTTTTCAGATTGTGGGGTTTCAAATGGCTGGCGCAGATCCGCAGAGAAACGCAGCGCTTCTCTTACTGTTTGCATGTCCTCGTGAACATCAAGTTGCTCTGCGTAAGATGTACCTCTTTGGAATGCGGTGCCTGGTGGCTTCCCGTCGACGAAAATATCGCCGGTAACCACACCAATGTTTTTTCTTGCCGCCAGCACGTCCAGCAGCGTTGTTTTTCCTGCACCGGATGCTCCCATCAGCGCCGTCAATTTCCCGGGTTGAACATAACCATAAACGGAGTTCAGAAGACGCCGGGTACCAGAGGGCACAGGCACCTCGTAAGAGACATCTTCCCAGGTGAACACAGACTTGGAGCTAATATTGAGGTTTGATCCTGCATCGGATTCAAGAGTTTTTGCCTGTCTGCTTGCCTTCTTCTTCATTAAAGCCTCATTTAACTCTTTCCGCTCTGCGTTTTCTTTTTGGTAGAAAGTGATGGTCTTGCCGCCTGCACCAAATTGAAGCGTTTCTCCAAAGTACAAGTTCGAACAGAGGAATCCAATAATCAAAGCAAGCATAATGCCAAAGTTTCGCCAAAGGTCACCTTTAAGATAACTAAAGCTTTGTGCAAGGTAGTTGGAGCCCGGGACAATTGGGGACCCAGGCTTGCCTCCTGCTAGGGTACAAGCCTGGTGTGCAATGTCGCCGTAACCAGGTCCAGTTGGGACAAGGGAGTCCGTCGTACATGTCAGGGTAAGATGCTGGAACTCGTTCACCATCAATGCAGCGAATCCAAGGCCAAAAGGGTTGATGAAGTAAATCCATCGCAGCCACACCTGGGCGCCAGACCACTGAATAAGATATCCGGATGTCAAGACGAAGAATGTAATAATCACTGATGCGAACTTGATGGCATAATCAAAGTCAGGGCATAGACATCCGACGGTTCGGAAAAACACTGTCATAGTCACGTAGCCCTCCAGAATAATCAAAACAAATATGAAGAACGCTCCAGCATCCAGGACCAGCCCGCACATAAAGTACACGATGATACTGAATACGAGAATCCTTGCGATGGCAAACGCCGTGTCAACCAGAATTTGTGCAATGAAAAGTGCGCTAGGTCGGTAGAATGTGAAAGAACGGTGCTTGTTGACAATTGAGCGACCCATCATTGTGGCTGCAAGTTCTGAGAATGCTTGGAAGCCGTTGAATAGCAGACTTATGAACAAAAGACCTCCTCGAGTAAAAGCACCGGCACTGGTCTTAGGTTGATGGAGCCATACGGTACCCAAGATGATGGCGATACCAACTGAGGTAGCCCAAGAGACGGACAAAGCAAACTTGTCTTGCCATTTGAGGAGGAACTGCCGTTGCATCAAAGCCCAGATTTGCAAGTAGAAGGGGATTGAGTATACAGATGATTCAGAAGTGAATTTGCGCTTTGCCTCTTTGTTGGCGATCTCAAAGTCATCGTAGATTTTCTTTTCCTTCTGAATCTGGGCACGGTATGCTTTCATTTCCTCTTCTAGCGTTTCACTAAAGACGGATTTGTCAAAGGCCTCGACTAGCGCTTGTGGCGTAGATGGCACATCGTCAGCACTTCTTCCGTCTTTAAACTCTCTCTCGAAAGGGTCGGTGCATCCCGTCAAGTAGTCAGGGGTGGTTTGGCGAGGCTTTTCGCGGAAGCCGAGGTCTTCGAAATATGATCTTGCTTCGGATGTAGGACCGAAAAATACTTGACGGCCATTATCAATCACGAGGACCTTGTCAAACTGTTTATATATGTTCTCGGAAGCTTGGTAGAGTGACACGAAGGTTGTCGTTTTGTAGATGTTGGTCAAAATCCGCAGTGACTTCGCGAAATCGAGGGCAGTTGAGGCATCCAGGCCACGAGTGCTGTTATCCCACGCCAGTACAGTCGCAGATGTGATCATCATTTCTGCGATTGACACGCGACGCCGCTCACCTGTTCCAGTCAGCTTCAAATCCCATGGAGCTGCATACTCAAAATATGATGCTTACCCCCAGAGACACCACGAATAAATTGATTGCCGATCACTGTATTGGCAGTGTGCTCGATATTGAACATTTTTAGAAGCAGGTTTGTCACTTTCTCTTTGAATTCAGCTTTCGACACACCGAATGGACGTTTCCCGGGGGTTTTCGTGTCGAGGGCGAATCCAAGAGTTTGTTTTACAGTCAAGGTGGGCTGGTGAATATCATCCTCTTGATTGTACACGGCTTCTCCGCGGAATCGTTTGGAGAAAGCATTCGCTTCAAAAGGACCGTAAAGTACTTCACCATCAACGCCAGTGTATCCAACCCGTTGATTCGCGATAACTTTGAGGAAGGTGGTACAGCCTGATCCGGGACGCCCAAGGACCAAGACCATCTCACCGGGCCGTGTGAGACCCCGGAAGCCCTCCAGGATGTTGTATTCTTGGCCTTTCTTTCTCCAACCGAAGAGGTCAATGAGCGTACCTGGCAAATTGAGGAAATCGATGATTGCGTCGGGGAATGTTTTGATATATGTCTTGACACCACCCATTCCACGAACTGATAAGTTGTTCCAAATCACGCCTAGGAGGACGGTCAGTACCTGCTTGTCCTCTGATTCAGGGGTCGGTTTACCAACCAATATGCTTGTCTTTGATTCCAGCCTCTTCGGAGGCAACACGATCTCCGCGAAGAGTTGCCTCCAGATTCCATGAGTCATCCGAGGCCATAGATCCCTCGATATCGGCTTTTTCAACATCTTGAGTGGTAACTCCCATCTTGGATACTCGTGATTCTTGTCTGGATAACCTGTGGGCTTGATGCGAGATGTTGGAGAATTGTTTGCTCAACTCCGAAAATTCTTTTTCGGCGGTCGTCACATCAACTCCAGTCTGAAAGGAGACATTGGCCGGCGTGTTGGAGATACGAATCTCTTCCAGCTGCCGTCCATAGCTGTTTGACTCTAAAGTATCGGCATCTGATGTGCTGCTCGTCCCCGCCATGGCCAGCTTGTGGTCCGGCTCGACGTTTGTCATTCAAGATCTTTAGGTACTCCAAGGGCCGATCTCGTTATCAAACTCTCCACAAGCACGTTCACGGGTACTGCCCAGAAGAGTGTGAAATTTTTGAATTACTTTTTGAAAAGATATAGAAAAAAAAATCAAGATAATGCCAACTTTTGAAGCCCCTGAAGCAAATCGTTAAAAGAAAAAAAGAAGCTAGAAGATAATGAAGAAGCTAAACCCGAAGGATGCTTGGCTTGAGTCAGGTAGCATCTAGACGTACCTTCAAGCCTGCTCCACCTGACGCTAACTTTTTCACAAAGATAACAAAAATAGTTATTTCGGAGTTCGGAATGAAATTGCACCCAAGAGAGTTCCCCTAAAGGGCAAACAAATGTGGGGGTTAACCCTACACGGACGGCATATTCCGCGGTGGAGGGACCCGATTCGAAGATGCCAAGCAGACGGGGTCCTAAATGGGCTTAAAGCGTAAGGGTCGATATGACTTGTTATGACTCGTGATCAGGTAGTTGTGCTTATAAATTCAATGCAAGCTTGCAGAAGATCTTGTTCTAGAGCAAAAATATCGATCTGGGGTGTGGAGAGAGCCAATTAGTGCCCTCCACTTTACGGGGTATGTACGCAGGCAACGACAGCGAATAAATATATCGAACATGGATACACCCTGGATGATAGAGAAGTCCGCGTGGAGTTTTTGCCTAATATCGTGTTGACTAGAATATAATCACTTCGTAAAGAGGACCTATATTGTACTCCGTGCATTGCGGTTTGGGATGGCCATATACCCTTCAATGTATTAACACTTAGGCAACTGAATAGTAACCTCGAAGTTTCTTTCACGACTCGAAAAAATAAAAAGAATTGGGACATGAAAAAATGTTTCTGGACCCATTACGCCAGCACTCATCTGGTTAGGTCCGGGATATCTTCGGGTGACATTATAGGCCGTTTTTCGTACCCAAAGGCCAATGTCTCGATAATATGACATGTCTTACCTTGCGGGCATTTGCTCATGATATACTCCTTACACCGTACCCCGTACCCACTTGATAGGCGAAAATAATCCATGTCTTTACTAAGTACCATCCCCACGTGCAGGAGATGCGCCACCGTGCATATTCGAGTTCGGAGTTTGTCGACCAATCAATCTGAATATTCCCCAAATCCATTCTCGCTTTATATACCGGATTTAGGCAGTGGCAATCTCCTCGTGGTTTTGCTTTACCACGCTTAGCTACTTATGTACTTGGGCATAGACATATGCTCAATCGTTGAAGGGAAAATAGCCTTTTTATCAGGTGTATCTCGTAAATCTGGCGCTAGTGACTGCAAATCTAGCTGAACCCTGTCTTTGATACCGAATTTCAAAGATTCGCTGGTGCATCTTTCCACTTGTGCGAAGGTAGATGATTTTACGGCAACGTGGCGGCAAGCGCAATACAGATCAACAAATCGCCGCTACCGAAAACCATGCGTCCTTGAGTTTAACGTGACCGCCATGTGCATGACCAAGTTCACCACCACATCGACGCCATACTTATGGAATGTCATTCGCACGTTGCCCACTTAAGACCGGGGTAGTAGGGTCGAAGGATCTATTGGGCGGAGAACGCATTAACGGTTAACCTGACCAACGGCGCAAATCATTGGAACCGGCTCTTTTCAAATAGACATGAACGCCTGGACACCCTTCAGCCAAGTAAGATATAGGGGCGGAGGCATTATAATCGCCGATTTGTCGCCGATAGAGGCTGGACTGGGTGACTTCTGACCGGGCTTCCTGCAATGGCCTAAAGAACAGATCTGGTCTGATGCTATACTGGATCATACCTGATGAAATACCCAAGGATTAACTCACCAGCGTGTGGAGGTTTCATACGGTACATGGGGATGTGCGCTTGGCAGTTGAAAGTTGCCAATCGCACAATTCGCGCAGCGGGTTCAGCCAACATAAACTAAAGCAGTTATCGCACAAATGCCGCAGGTATGAAAATGGATGGAAGAGGGAAGGGAAATACGCATTGAATTCTCTGGGAAAGACAAGTTTTGGTAACTCACCCATCGCCTCTGGTAAAAATATACACGTATATATTCCTACTGTCGTCTCCCGGTCTGTTCCCCTCCCTCTATATCCTTCTCTTTCCATAATCTCAGAAACCCACAAGCGAGACAATGTCAAGTCAACATTTTATTTTCAATGTCCAGATGGGCTGCGGCGGCTGCTCCAGCACCATTAAGGAAGCCGTTCAAGCCCTAGACGGTGAGTTTTCTAGCGCTGATTGGGTATGATCCGCTGCTTGTCATCATGGCAATCATTTTCAGAGCACTAACGTAGTCATTTATACGTTACAGGTGTGCAGAATTACTTTATTTCCCTAGAAGAGCAGACTGTTTCAGTGGTGGCCGAACCTTCTCTCTCCTACGAAACCGTGCTGGAGGCGATGAAGGCGAAGGGCAAGAACGTGCGCAGCGGGGAGGTAAACGGAGTCTCTCGGGCTGTTTAAAGCTGGGAGATTGCTGGTCATTTTTGGCTCCTAGAGAATCTCTGTGCATATTCGTACTTGTCTTATCATATAGTTCTACCCGACCTTCATGAAATTTACAATGGAAAACACGTCCACTTGGACACTGTTTCAGCAAGCCTAGCCCCGGTTCTGGTCAGCAACAATAGTCAGATGATAAGAACTAGTCTGTTTGTAAGCTAAAGTACCAGCGCCCTTGCCTTTACATATGCCATAATCTCTAAGCATGCGTGACTGATGTTCATCTCGCGAGCAAGATTCGTACTCTGTTGATATTTCATTCTATCATGATCTTGACATTCACACTATTACAATATAAAATAAATGCCCACAAATAAGCACACGACCCATCTCTGAACCAGCGACCATTAATGACAGCTGTGCTTTCCCTTGCCATCGACCTTTCCCCACCGATTCAATTGCTCCCAGGCCAGCAATCCGACACAGATCGAGATACGCCACAGCATTCTACGACTGAGTCCCTCGCGTCGCACGCCCCAGAGAAGGGTTAGAATTGAGATCGCAAGAAAAACATTTCGTAGTTTCTCGATGCCAGCCGTGGCCACCGAACCTGCAAAGAGAAAATCTAAAACAGTCTACAAATTACAAGTTAGTATATGTATCCAACAACCCGGTAACATAGAAGGGACCCTACTGGTAGCCAACAGCACGAGGATGAAAGCAATGCGGATCCCTCCGGTAGATATTTGACAATTAACTGAAATGGTCTTTGTAGGAGAGATCCATCATGGTGATGAGGCTCGCGCGATAGGTTGTCTGAGGGTTTGTCTGAGGTACAGTCGCTGCATGACATGTTGAATATATAAGAATTTGAGAGAAAATGAAACCACTACACTATGTTTTCAAGTTCATAGGTCTATAGATATATGGCTGCGTGAATTTCGCGTCAGACCCACAAGGGTCTGTTTTCCCCCTGACTAGTGCCAAGGCCCGCTAGTATGTATACAGGATAGCATGTCTTTTGAGTGCAAACAGGTCAAACAAGTCAAACAGGTCAAAGGCGTGTCACCCTTTCCCGAAGTGTCACTTGTGTACGGAGTACTCCGTACGCCTCCTTTGTCTGTTCTGTAGTCCCAGGGAAAAGGGAGAGTTCGATTTGGCAAGACATAGTGCAAACTATATTTCATGCCGTTCTGAAATTCAACACATTTGCGATCTTCTGTTCTATGGTCAACATGCTCATAAGTCTACTACCGTGGCACAATTCTGGCATCCCTAGAGTAGACCTCCGCATAGATGAATCAAAGAAACTAAAGGAACCTCGGGAAGTAGCGAATACGTCAAGCGGCTAAGACTTCCAAGATTTTGATGCAGATACAATGAAAACCTCATCCTTTGTTGTGGAAGTGACAAGGCGGACATCAAACCCCCGCGATGAGGCTCTGTCAATCACAGCCTCCCCGACGTTTTTAGGGGACCACCTACAGGTACTTAAGGAACATTTCTGTCCTTTTCTTACGTGTAAAACAACTTTTTTTTTGTAACTTCCATAAAAATGGCCCCACTCAAGATCGTGCTGGAGGGCAAATCGTCCATCACCCGCCAACCGGAGCGAGCTGCCCTCGTCTTCGTCGTCCAAACGAGTGGACCAAGCCGAGAAACCGTATCTCAGGAGGTGACTGGTACATCTAATGAGATCAATAGGCTGTTCAAAGAGCTGTCACCCAAAGCGGAGACTGGCGAAACGATTGCAGGCTCACCGGTGACCTCTTTTTCTTCCACCTCCCTACAGACACGATCTCAAGTGCCGAGAGATATGTCGGGCGAGCCTCTACCTACAGTCTACACCGCGACTATCTCGCTCAACGTACTCTTCCAGGACTTTAAGAAGCTTAACGAAATCGTCGGAAAGCTGATTTCTTACCCCAACATCGAGATCAAGTCCCTCGATTGGTGTCTCACCGAGGCGACGCAAAAATCCCTGAATTCTGAGTCACGCGAAGAGGCAATGCGCGACGCCGTTCGAAAAGCAAACGACTACGCTAGGGTCATTGCAAGAGAAGTCATTGCGGTGGAAATCACCGAGTTGGGGGGTGGAGGACAGTTTGAAATGAGAGCTGGGCAATACAATTCATATATGCATATGCAGCCAATGCAGCAAATGCAGCAACAACAGATGGCTCAGGCAGGAATACGTTACTCGTCTTTGGTTGATTCCCCTGCCCTCAACTCGAATGCCCATTTAGGTGCTTCCTCGGGCCTTGATTTGAGTCCGCAGTTAATTCGGTACAAGAATTCCGTGCAGGTTGAATTTCAGGGCATAGACATTTGAGATATGTCTACATACTTCAAGAAATTTTCAAGCTACATTTACTTTCGTCATCTTAAATTCCACTCATGACTCTGCATCAGCTGCATTGTAATTGGAAGAATACTAGAAGCAACCGAAGCATTCAAGTGTTGCGATTTTCACATCGAGACGGCGATCATGCACGAAGGCCAGTCATTCCATATCTTTAGTGAGGCCAAAAGCGAAAGTCGAAACAGTCGCACCAGTTTCGAGTGTATACGTAAGTGCACGTGTGAATCCTAGACACTACCTAGGTACCTACATAGGTAACCGCCAAGACCTCCAACTTGTGTTCTTCTATTATTTGGTCCTATTATTTGGTCCTCAAAAAGCGCTGGAAAGGCACTAAAAAGGAATCGAAATGCCATCTCCCACTGCCTACATCCAGTGCAAATGTACTAGTGTCTAAGTCCAGGTCGATCTTGGACGATGATGATGGTGACCCGTATCTTATGCGCGGTGTCTATGGTGCAATGCCAATTGATACATCTACTGATATAGAGTCATTGTAGTTTCTATTCGTGAATCATAAATTACACTGATACAATTCCTCGAGTATAATGAGGAGGATGGACTCCACTTCGAGATTCTCGGAAACTACCGATGCATTAAGGTAAAGTGCAAAGCGCAAAGCGTCTATACGGAGATCTCCTTAATCTGCGTCTCGAGTTTCTTCATGTCACCACCAACAACGCGGTTGACCTCCTTGCCATCCTTGAACACCACAAAGGTGGGCATAGCGTTCACGCCCAGTTCCTTCGCGACGCCTTGCAGCTTGTCCACATCGACCTGAATGAAACGAACATTTTGGTACTGCTCGCTCAGCTTTCCGACAACGGGGGCGACAGCCTTGCAAGGTCCACACCAAGTTGCGAAGAAGTCAACGACGACGGGGCCGGAGGAGGTGAGGGCTTTGAAGATGACTTGGCTGTTGGGCGGATATTAGAATTTAATAGCTTCGAGCGCAGAATCAGGAATTACTTACTTGTCGATCTCGGTGACCTTTCCGTGAGACATGATGGTTGCTGAGCCTGAGTTGCGAGACTTAAAGAAGAGGCGAATAGCTTATGAGGGGTTAGTAATTGGTTGTTTATGTTGCATGTAGCCCAAAGATATCGTTGGATGTGGGCAAATGTCGCGGGAGATCTTGCATGGTCGTACTTACCAATATATAGCGCAGCGAGAATTGCAACAGTCGTGTACTCCATCTTCAGGTGTCGCGGTTCCCAGGTTCTTTGGGTGGAGCGGCGTGTTATTTGGCATGGCACGTGACGTGGAACTATGCCCTATCTAGAGGTACGGGATCACGACATTTGAGAAATATTGATTGGTCTCAAAGAGGTCCCAGTAAATGTCTTGCTACAATTAAGCTGGATCTGGGCGTCCGGGTTCGGGAAGTTTAATGCCACTGCCAACAAAGGCTTCTGCCACAACCTCTAGACCAGCGACCATCTATTCCTGGCAGGACTTTATATAACTTGTGTCTTCTGAAATCTTAAAATTGGAAATCAACGAATTGATATTTCCTATAGACGTCAGATTACATAGCACGAATCTGACCAGACGAATAGTGATACGCTACTTTTATATGTACGGTGTACTCCGTAGTCCATGAAGCTAAAAAGGTAGTGGATATATAAATGAAGTGGGTCCAGGCCTACATACCTCATTTTCTCGATAACAAGCTTCGCTGGTCTGGGGGAGCTTTAACTTGGCAAGTTTTTCCACGTTGGTGCGTCGCTATGACCTGTAACTCTCGCAGGATAGAGGATTTTATCTCTCATCTTGATATTTCAATAGCGTGATTCAATTGTCATCCTCGAGCATATGGTGACAAATACCTTGAATGCAACCTTGAAAACAATAAAATCTCGAGATATTTTTTATACTTTGAGAGTAACATTATTTATGCTACGGAGTACGGAGCACATATGATAAAACTTATATTCAGACTCAACCTAGATATGAGCTCACTAGGCCTCTCAACGCGAGGATATTGAACTTGAGAATGTGTCCCGACTGTAGATTCTCGATTTACTACTGCATTTTCGCCACGATTATTGTACTCCGTAGTCTATCGCATATCATCGATGTAAATATATTTTTCTATCCATATCTCAGGGCTGAAGACTCTAGATTTGCGCATATGATGTCTCACATTCTTTCCGATCAGTCGCGTACATATGTATGTTTCAGCACCGGAATGTAGTATCAAGGAGCACCAGCAAGGGTTCGATATATACTTCTCCTGTCGGTCTATGCCTTTTTTGCCATTGACCATGAGATGGACCCAGAAAGCAAAGATATTTTTCTCTCTACTCAGAATTCACTCAGCATGAATTTGCGAGACCCGGCCCCCAAGATAGAGCCAGAGTCCAGTCCCAATGACATGCTCACTAGATCCACTACCCACCAGGTTACGACAAACAAGGTACCGAGCACAACGGGGTCCATGTTACGCCTGACATTATGGGTGTCATTTGCCGCATGGATCTCGAACTTCGACAATGGCTACGCCGGCACAGTCTTGATCATGCCTTCTTACAAACGATCATTTGGAAGCTGCGAGCAGGTCATAGACCCGAACACATATGAAAATATACAGCATTGCTCGTTGACGCCACTGCAACAGTCCCTTATCAGCCTCAACTTCTTGTTCGTTGCCATTGGAGGCGGGATTTCAGGTGTGGCCGGTCAATACGTCGGACGCAGGGCATCAATTCAGGTTGGATGTGCATTGGCTATTATTGGTGCCGCTGGAATGCTTGGCACCAGTGGGAGCTTCCTTCGCTACATGGTGTGCAGATCGATCAGTGCCGTGGGGATTGGACAATTGATGGCAGCCAGTCTCACTTATGGCTCTGAATGCATCGTCGCCAGCAAGCGCGGGCTGTCCCTAGGGTTGTATAATGTTGGACTTGCTAGTGGAAATGTTGCTGCGTTCGCGGTATGTGCAGGTTCTGCTCGTTTGGAGTCAACCAACAATTGGCAGTGGAAGACACCTATTCTATGCCAAATACCCCTGGGAATTATTCTAGGTGCTGGAATTCTGATGCTTCCCGAGTCACCGCGCTGGCTCATGGGACATGGCCGAGAGGAAGAAGCACGGAACTCCTTTGGCGTGTTATACTGCCAAAGTCCATATTCGCCCGAAATCACCGCGCAAATTGACGATATAAGGACCAACCTTGTAAATGAGCGTGCTGGCCTTGAATCTGTCTCCTGGCTTGATATTTATCGCAGGAAGCATGTCGGTCGCACCTTGATATCTGCCATGATCATGGTTGGTGTAGCCATTACTGGTATCCAATTCGTCCAACCATACGCTACGCTATTTCTCAAAGGTGTTGGAATCAGTGATCCGTATTTGATCAATGTCATCATTGGCTTGTGTATTTTAGGAGGATCTCTTTTTGGCCCTTTCATTGTGGAATATGGCGGAAGAAGAGCTGCAATGCTCTCGGGATACCTTGTCATGGGTCTCTGCATGCTCACTCTTTCCTCTGTGAGCACTGCTCTTGAGATGAATGAAAGTGCCGAGATAGTGATAGTTGTTCTTCTGTGCTTCTGGGCTTTTGTCTTTGGTGGGACGATTGCTGCAAGTGTTAACCTATCAGCAGTGGAGGTGCACAGCGTCTCGCTTCGCACCTTCGGACAGGCCAACACAACAGCATTCTACGGGATATTTGCCTTTGGTGCCACATTCTGGACACCTTACATGTTGAGCGCAGATTACGGGAATATGGGCCCAAATGTGGGCTATTTCTATGCAGGCATTACTGCCGTCATCGGAGTTTTGACCTTCTTCCTCGTACCAGAGACTGCTGGAATCACTCTGGAACAGATTGATGAGGGTTTCAATTCGGGAATCAAAGCATGGAAAACGTCACTGGCGAAAAATAAAGCCATTGCTTCCATTCACAAACAGAACACGACGAGCAGAAACTTTGGGGCTTAATGAATGATGTCAGGCTTTAGTTAATGATCTATGAATATGATATAGCTCCAATGTACATATTAGATTTAGGGGTTTGAATCATCAGGTGTCATCAGTGAAACTATGAGTAATAAGCACGAACAGAACCCCCTAAATCAGAACCACCTAAATCGGATAGGTGATGAGCCTGGGAGAATATGGATGAATCTGATAGAATGCGGAGGAGTCAAGAATAGAGACACGCCATGAACCGCAATCATACTATGGTATGTGCAAGGCATCAGGCTATCATTGGATAATGCTACCTTAGATCTCTCTTTTCTTTGCTGTGTCAGTGATTCTATCTTGAAAGACGATAGTATAGCATTACGCATGTGCACGTGACCTTCTGGCCCTAATGCACACATGAAGGCGTGTTCCTCTCCACGACATACACCCACTCGAAAGTGCCGGTCAGATAAATAGAATCTCAGCAAATTTTGAGATGAATATCGAGAAATATCAGCTTTGATAGACCTCCAGATCAGGATTGCATTGTGTCGTAGCTCGGAGTGATCGCGGTATGGAGCAAGAGAGAGGATATTCCGCGACATGGGTGCCAGTATATTATTAGCTGAAGTCACATGAATCAAATTCTTCTTCACTACTGAAACTTTCAAGACAGAAATTTCTTCGGGGTTAAGGAGGGAAAGGATGTTTGACCTATCGCAGATGAACTTTGCAAAATGAGACTATTAGACTTGACTTATGCCGATCTAAGCGTTTATGTTATGTTGACTCTGCTCAGTCGCGATTGCCAAACTTGTGCCCTTCCTGCACTTCAGATGAAGCATTTAAGTTGACTTCTTCCCTACTCTTCTTCTGCTTTTCCTTTCTCTCGCATCCACCCGAACATCTTTTCAGTCGGAAAAAGGTACAGGCTTGATCGCAAAGCGCCAGCTAGAGTGAGTTGATGATACATCATCCGCCAGAAAACCAGCACTTACTAACAATCTCTTCCTTGAAGCATTAAAGAACACTCATCACACTCATCTTTGCCACTGCTTCACCGTATCCAGCTACCATGTCGTTCTTTACAAATACCCCTCGCCGCGGTAGACGTGATGCCGACTCCGAGCTCTATTCCCGGCCGCGCACACAGGCCACCGATCTGCCCAAAGAATCTTCTGTGACTCTTCTGAATATCATGAAGCTCAATTCAGGGTCTAGCCTTACGGTCTGGGGCAATGAGATCCTTCATGTCTTGCGACCTCTCAAGCTCGATGCACTCGTAGCCAGTGATCTTCCAAGGCCCCTCCCAGGAGACGCCGACTACAGCAAATGGAAGTTCTGGACTCTTGTCGTTGCTGAATGGCTGTTCAATCAGGTGGATAAATTGCTTCAATACAAAGTGAAGGCACACTCAAACGAACTTGCTTTCGCCGATGAAATATTCAATGCAATCAAGCTTCTGAGCCTGCACAGCCAGTCCGCTTTTCTTGCAAACGAGTTGAAGCGGTGGGAAGACCTCAACCGAGATGATTTCTCTACGTCCGCGGATTTCATCATGGCCTATCAAAACCAGTACAATCGTCTGAAAACAGAGAACCATGCGCCTTCTTGTGATTTCGCACTTGGTAGACTTCTGCAAGAGCTGCACGGAGAAGTGATGAAGGTCCCGTTCATTCAGGAAGAGGTGAAAGATTTGGGGCGACCTGTGGACTACCAACTCTTCATTTACTACTGCAAAGTGTTGATCGACGAGTCCCGCAAGCTGAATGTCTCGGCCGGTCCTTCTGCGTCTGAAGATGCCAGTGTGGGTGTTTATGGAGAATTTAGAGCCCGAAGCCCAAGCCGTGGACGTGACATCTCCTACCGCAGCTGGAGAAAAAGCACCAAGGGACGCGGCCCGGCATGGGAGTAAGTGATTTGATGTGCACAGTGCCGTGATCTTGGAAATGATAAGGTCATGAAAATCGGCATTGATGGTCGAGCAATTCAAGGAATCTCTTATGCGCTCATTCAAAAAGAAAAACAAAAGCTACATGAAAAAATCTTCATGGCTACAGATTCCTGAATAAGCAAGACGGGCTTTCTTCAAACAAGGTCAGCAGCAATTGAAACAGGACATAGCAATGGAACACATTTTCCCTCTCATAATTCCACTTGACTAGATTGTATGAGGGTAAAATCTCAAACTTCCACTTATCTTTCTTTTCTAGTCTGATGCTCATCTGAAAGATCGGCCAGTTTGATACCAATTACTTTGAAATTGGAAATTAGTCAAATACCTCTGAAGTACGAAGTATAAGATTTTGTTTGCGATATCCTAGAGCAGACCTCTTTGCCTGGAGCAAACATAGCAGCTGAGGCCTGTGACTTTTCTCGTTAGATATTTCTATATTCCTAATCAATTCAACACGCTAATTTACAAAAGGGCCGGTGGCTATTAACAAAGCTCTTGGTGTCCTCTCGTTGCTCAAATGACAGCTTTGAGGACTCAGTATTTGTCTATTGGTGCACGCTCTAGAGGGTAAAGCCGTTCTCCAGGGTATCAAGTATATTTGCTTGGTCTCATGGTGACTCGGAGTCTGTCTAATATTCTGTTCATTCAACAAACCAATTCATGCTGTGGAGTTTGCAGTTGGCTCATTTATGTCATAAAGATATCTATCTGGATCCGGATACAGATCCTTTTACAGGTAGTAGATTAGCTGAACAAGGGTTTTCTTCGGAAGTCTTTTTAGCGTTTATTGCTATGTTCGTAGGAGTTACCTGGGTAACTATTCTCATCGAATGATTAAAGCACGTAAATCAATCCAAGACCAATAGACTAAAAAGAGTGCTAATCAAACGCAAGACAATAGGGCTTACAAGTTGACAACTACAAAGATACTCCTCTCGAAAGCAACCTGAGAAGGATATGCTAGAGACAGCAACATGGAAGACCGCTGTGTGTAAGGATGATGAAGAGACCAGTTTGAAATATCGTATGATAGAGGTCAGGCGGAATCTAATAGCGGACTAGAATTGACATAATAATTGGAGAGAGATATGAATGTACATTAGTTTCGGGGAATACATGCATTGCGGCCCAATTACTGACTCTGTCATGGTGGCTTGCATGACGGGGATGTACCCACTTGCATTTGTTGTCTCCATTCAATATGCACGTATTCAAGCCTTCTTTAACGCCATAGAAACGGCGACCGACGACATTGGCAGGGAATGTGAGATTGGCGAGAAAAGCGCAGGCAAGGAATAAGCTGGCACTTGTGTCCTACTGATGCCAATCTCGACGCAGACGAATACGAGGCTGATGCATGACGCTAACGCTCATGTGCCCAACCAAGCTGCTGACAAAGAGCCTCATGTTGATGAAATACCACGATGCCTTAAATAGCTCGGACTGAGGCCAATGTCGGAATAACAAGACCGCCAAAATATCAAGATGATTGCAATAGAACCGCAAGAGAAATCGATTGGGCCAACAATAACAATAGTGACGATTGAGCCGAGGTCGATCCCCATAACCGACATCAAGTCAGAGACCAAGAGCAAGACCAAACTCGATAAGCCAACATCGGACACAAAGAGGAAGCCCAAAGCGGAGACAAAGACGAAGGCAGCGCCCAAAGCAAAGAGCAAGTCAGACACAAAGAGCAAACCCAAGACAGAGACAAAACCCAAGACGGAAACGAAGAACAAATCGGAGACAGAAACAAAAACAAAGCCAGATGCGAAGACAAAAGTCGAGCCGAAGAAAAAGACAAATCCAGGGAAAAGGATGATCAACCTGGGAACGGCGACGAAGATTCTACTGGGATAACGCTGGCTACAATGGAGTTGACGCCTGATAAGGGGCTTATAATGAAGATTCCCAAGATGATCAAAAAGACGAAGCTAGCAAGGATGAAGATAAATCGGCATCCGATGGCGATACCTACATGTCACTCAAGGGTGCATCATGCGTTTTCCCCATTATCATCTTTTCTCCCACTGCGTGGGCAACGAGAACATCACTTTCTGCGATTGGGTTTCCACCTGTAGATCTGTAGATTAAAGGTATATTTGAAGGACTCCTGAGCGAGAGGAAATTGGTGTATACCCTAAAATCAAGCTTTCCATTCTTGACTTTGATAACTTCCTTTTGTCTCCCTCTCACATATCTCTGTTGTGAATTGGATAGATGGATCGGCCTGCAGAGTCCAATTTTGCACTGGATTGGCTCATCGAGCTGGGAATTCAGAAAACCTCCAAGCACAGCCGGGTCTCAAGTGGAAGAATATGAGATATTTGGCAGTGAAAGGTGGATTAGAAAGGAGTTGTTGACCTGCCACGTAATCAACAGGGAAGTATAGGTAGTCCCAGTATAAGAAATATCGTTGAATGGAATAGATTGGATCGAAATGCAATAGATTTTACAGCGCTACATCTATAGAAAGAACGAAAATCAGTTTGTAAATGGCGTGGTGACATTGTTGGAAACTTACATAGAAGACTTGCCAACTGGTTACCTTTGCTCAAAACATCACGGCGCAAGACATTCTCATGAGATATGGAAATTCAGCCCTTGGATGACTATATAACAATATAATAATTAAACTCACTCTCTATGAGACTAGCATACGTATGGGCGTAGTGGGCGTGGATTGAAACATCCTTCGTCTATAGGTGGTCTCATCCTAAGATACATGGGGTTTCATGAGATATCTCATTCATCCAATAGGTATTCCAAGATTACGAATGCAAACGGTTGTCAGACATAGCCTGAAATTGAGATGTAAATCACACAGCATCAGCTAAAGGTATTCACAGAGAAGCCCAATTGGGCAAAGAGAACGAAGCACAGAGTTATACTCCAGAAGACACCCCATGTATCGCATATGTGCTGAGTGGGATGATCTTCAGAGGTAAAGTGCCACCCTCATAGAGCAAAAGAAAAAGAAAAAATAGGTAGCACGCTCAGATGAACAATCAGCAAGAAGAGTAAGAAAACCGAGACCGGTAGCTTGTAGACCGGTAGAGACAAGATAGTTGGCGCTCATGTACATGCAAGGAAAATCTGCTCCATGTATCAAAGGATATAGGGAGGGAGAGTTGGGATAGCGACTGTGGGGGTTTAGAATGAATGTGAGGGATATCAACAGCAAGGGAACAGCTCTGCTTGTTCCGATGGCTCCCAGATAAAGGCTGCCAAGTGATGGAAAATAAAGTAAGTTGTAATGACAAGGAAATAGATTTTGTGTCGTGTTGGGAAAGGAAAATTGGAGGCTTGTCTAGCAAGAGACAAGTTTAGAAAGGAGAGAGGATAAGCACGGAGCTTGGTGGTTTTTATGTTTCATGTGCAAGAAAGGACAATCATTGATGTCCATCACAATTCGGACTTGACTGAGTCGTCGACTTTCCATTGGGCTTGGCGTTTGCCCATCATCTCTTCAAGAACTTCGAGACGTTGGCGTGTGGTACGGAGGGCATGGTTCATCTCACGATCAGAGACCTTCTCTTCCTGAAGCCGCTCAGCGAGCTCACGCTCATCACTTGCACTGAATCCATATGACCTGCGACTTGTGTGTGGCTCAGGCGATCGGTAGACATTTGGAAAGACCATTCCGTCCATGCCAACTCGGTCTTCCAGCCAATTCCAGAGCTCAGTTTCTTCACGACGCCACATTTCCTCGTATGCGGCCAGTCTCTGAGGCAAGCCGTGACCAGGACAGCCAGCTTCATGTGAGACCATGGAAGAAGACGGAGAACGGAGGAACGCGATGTAGAATAAGACTCCGATGATTAGAATAGCGAGGTTGCTACTCCAGAGTGGACTCAGAATGCTGGTAAAGGGCTCCAGGAGGGGGCGAACTGGCTCGAAAAGGCCCCATGATTCTTGCTTTGCGGATTTGGAATCCACACTAACCTTCGACGAAGCAGCTGCAGTTGACTCCCGCCCTGCGCCATCGCCCTTCTTGCGCTTTCCTTTGCCTCGTCCAGCGCCATTGGAACGCCCACGGGGAACAACTCCGACTTGCAGGGCTTTGAGAAGATCGGTACCAAAGGTCGTTTGCCCATCAATTGCGCCTTTCTCGATAGGACCCTTGAGCCAACTCTTGCCTGACCACTCGATGGTGCAGGTCATGAGGAAGCGAGTTTGGTTACCAGCAGCCCATGTAAAGAGATACTTGGTCTTGGTAGCAAAAACGTTCCCACTTGGCACATCGGGTGTTTGGGTGCTCAGCGTGACAAGAACGGCCTTTTCAAGGTCTAAGAAGTCCAGGGTCTCGGTACTAATGCATTTTGTCTGCTTCGGACCAATGGAACCATTGAGGGGTTTGATGTAGGAGTATTTCCTGGTTGGGACTTCCATCGTCAAACCCTTTGCTGTTCCCTCGAACTGTAGTTCTCCGCATTTCTGATTGTCGGCAAGAAACTTGGTCATGAAATCGCCAGACGCTGGACCAAAAACCAAAGAAAAAACCTTGCCGAGCGGTGCCGGAATAACTTCATCTTTGATGACCTTTTCGTACTGCCCATCGGCGTTAACGTATTCAGTAGGTGCATGGGTAGCCGGGCCTGGGAAATCAGGGGGTGCATCTTTGGTAGCGCCTTTGTCGCCGTTCTTCTTATCGCCACTCTTTTTGTCGCCATTTCCATTTGTGCTGGCCGCAGGAATGGCTGCATTCGCAGATAGACTTGAAGCTTTGCGGCTCAAACCTGGTCGTGGCACGGACACTGCACTGGCGTTCGCACTGCCACCGGCCTCAAAGAAGCTATCGGCGTTGTCCCCTTCTTCGTCCTCGTCGTATATCTCATCTTCATCGCTGAGATCGGTCTCGGACTCGCTCTCCTCCTCCCCGACCTTCTCTGTCTTATCACCCGTACCATTGGTCACACGGGTTCCATTCACAGAGCTCTTGATGGTGGGGTGGTTGATCTTCCAGATGTTGACCATTAGGTCGTATGTGGACTCGCGACTAAGCAGACTGCGGAAAGTATGACGCGCATGGAGTGTCTGAATCGCAATAGCATTGGGGAACACCATAGCTGTATTCTCCTTTTCAATGGCAACAATCTCATCGAAGCTGATCACTAGGGTTGTGACCCATCCCAGGATGTTACTGGAGAAACAAATGTGCCCTTCTGAGATATAGATGCGGCCGGCAAGAATGATCTCACGTTGTAGGGCGCAGCTATAATCTTCAATTAAATAATCGTCTTCGGGCACACTCCGGAATAATTGGTGGAAATCTCGATTGCGCTTTTTACTGGCAACCGCAAAGCCTGTCAATCGAGGTACACTAGAATTGATGCCAGGAGCTCCAAGCGCAATGGCGTTGACGCCAATCGCTCCGATTGTCGAGGCTGTGGCCCCAGACGAGCCCCGGTGACGCCGGGCAAGTCTGCTGCGCACACTGCCAGTGCGTCTGAGCCCCCCCACTCAGGTCACCGTCAAGGACACTGCCACTAGGGGGAGTCTGATCACCCATGAGTATGGTATCTTTTGGAAGCGAGGCCGTAGACTGAATTTCCAAGGCATCTTCTAGATCCGAGGGCTTTTCGTATGCTACTTGAACAGCGCGCGCTGCGCGTTTATCTTCAAGCTTGGCAGCTTCCTCGTCTCGTCGGGAAACAGCTGTGTTGTTCCGCTTGTCAACGGGGCTCCCTGGCTTTGTAATCACCACACCGTCGGCAGTCGTGATTGACTCACCTGGTCGTGCGTCAATGTCCAAATGACTGAAGTTAAGGTCCCCTGCCCCAAGAGTCTCTACAGCAGATGGTCTCCCGTCCGCAATCTTGCTGCCGTTTTCTGATGATCTTTCGCTCTCCCCGGAGGCGGATCCAACGAGAGGTTTATCACCGTCAACGGGAGCAGATTGGGGATTCGGTCGATTCTTTTGTTGTACGTTGATGCTGTTGCTGAAGGAGGTGGCAGCATTTTGCGCAACTGAAAACACCGAAGAGAAGAAGCCGCTTTGCTGGTTTGAAGGCGGACTCTTTGCGCTTGGTGGCTTTTCTTCAAGTGGTGTCAATGCAACAGACATTGAGTTGGAGAGTTTGCTTGGGCCATGTGCTGCAGAAGCGGACCGCACCCGGCGGTGGGAGATCATGTTTCCAGAGGGACTCACGGTGGTGATTCCGGAAGGTGGGGAGTTTCCAGATTGCATGGACTCAGGTGAATCAGTAACATTGCTGGACAGTATTTGCGCACTGAGGGGGCGGTAGTCAGTTGGAGTGGGGGGTGTTACAGTTGTCGCTGGCGCAGGTATGGCGGTATGAGGTGGGGTGTTCGGCATAGGGCTCGCCTCGAGGGAACGAGGCTTGTCGTTCGTTAGATCAGTACGAATAGGCGCAGGCAGAGGCGGAACATCATCAGGGGCTGCCTGTACTCGGTTCGATGAAAGACTGCTCCGTCGGCTGCCTCCAAACAGACCCCGCCCGCTTTTCTGGCCCCCGGGCTTGCTTGATGAACCCTCGGGGTTGTCATTGGTCCCTTTTTTATCCGAGGTAAAAGCCTCTTTCAACCGTCTTCCAGGGGACGCACTGCGTTTCTTGCTAAGTTGATCCGTGGGGACGTCCAATGCCATGCCCGATGTTGCGCGTCGGGACATTCTTTCGCCTGGATTTGATTCTGACCCGGTGGCACTTAGACCACTCACAGCTGACTCGGCATCAGCATAGGAGCTTTCTGTGTCTGCGGCGTCCGCCGATGTGGTCTTGAACAATGGGGAGGAGGAGGTGTAGAATCCAGTATGGGAGCTGTGTGAGGTGAGCGGCGGAGGCCTAAACAAGCCAAAAAAAAAGTACAGCTAGTTAGAAGAAGTCCAAGACAATAATAAGGTCAGCTGCCCAACTTACCCGTCCGGCTCGTCATCATCAGTCAACAGATGATTACCTTCACTATCCGGCGCAAAGCTCTCTGCGATTGACGACGGGGCTGCGGAGGTCCTATCCCGAGATTCGTTGGACCGACTTTCATGGAGGTCGTGTTCCACAACTACAGTCGGCACCGCCGGCTCATCTGTCTGTTGTTGATTCTTTCTCTTATTCTGCTTCCGCCTCCGACGCGCATCAAGTAGCTTTGAGAATCCACTGGGTCCAGCCTTGTTGGGATCCGCTACTTCTCCGCCCTGCGTTTTCGGTCTCTCGAGGGTGGAATCATGGGATGACCGACCATTGCTCTCGATTGCACTTGATTCTGCAGATATTGTCCAGGAGCGACGCGATCTGTTTTCGCCCTTCAAGCTTGAAGACGAAGAGTCGGCCATGATTGAAAGAGGGTCGGGGAATCGGTAGGGTTGGTGCGGGCAGACCAGGAGACTCCAGGGGAAGTTGTCATGAGGTGTATGTATTGAAGACTTTCTTTCTCTCTACCCTTTTTGTGGGAGTACTTCCGTACATGGGAAAGCAAGGTAAAGTGAGAGAAGTGCCAAAGTGTTGAATTGTCCGACTCCCCTGGAGCTCCGCAACTTAGTCACCCGCCAAGTACCTAAGACTGAGAGAGAGTTGTTTTGTATTTTTGTGTTCAATTGATTTATTTGGAATTGGTATAATTAGAAGTAATATATGCCTTTGGTTTCTCTGGTCTTTGCTATTTTCCTGATTCCACTTAGATTCAGATGGTATATAGTAGCTAGGTAGCCTGACAGAATACCTAGAAAGCCTCTAGTACTCCGCTTCTCCACTGTGTAGAATGTGGATGTGACACTTTGCTGTTTTCAGTCGGATTGAATAGATTTGTTCTAGAACTTTAGGGGTAAGTAATGTCTCATAAGGGTGACGGCTGTGTATCTCATCCTCGTGTGATGTACTCTGTACTTGGTGTTGTTCAAATCCCCCGTTCAACACATAACGTCACTTCTCCAACATTCCCTGGATAAAATCTCATCAAAGGAATGTCTCTGATTTTTTCTCCTTTAACTTATACAGTTGGTCTTTCTTCACGATGGAAGTAGCTCCTTTGGCCTTGGTAAGACCTCAGCCCTCAATTTCAGGATAATCTGACAACTTGCCAGGCCCACACCCATGCGCGAAATGCAGTGCTAGAAACTCGCAAGGCTAATCCAGTAGCTGCCAGCGAGGAGCATGATCTAGCTGCTGGTGAGTTTGCAGCAGCTGCACAGAGCAGCTCTGACCATGAGGTGAGTCTTGATTGCGTCGAAGATCTACCCCCGCTCGGCTCTGAGCTAACGCGTCATACCAAGGCCCTACGGACTCTACGATTACTCGAGACTCACCACAAGAAACTCGCTGAGATTCTTCGATTCCAGCATGAAAATCCACCCACCGTCTCTATAGAAGCAGTATCTGCGAATGCCTCCCCTATATCAGCGACCCAGCAGACCGCAGCCGATCTCGGGGGCACAAAAAGCGCAAGCGCGAACCAGGATGCACAACTACCACCCAGATTAGTGGGCAACGCTCGTCTGCCAAGTCGAGATAAATCCTCTATTGCTAATAACTTGGCTTCCGCCCGAGGGATTCCGTCGCACCCTCGGCGTGGATCACCAGTGTCGCCAACACTTACATCGCAACATGTCGCAGCAAAGATGACCGAAACACCACCGAGGGCTAAAGCTAGCGAAACAAGGCCACACAACGAACCGACTAAGAATCGACACAATCGTATTTCTGCACCTAGACAACCATGGTCTCCTCCCACGACCAGTTCGACTGAGGTGACTGCTCAGCAAACTGTACATCCCAGTGCAACTAAACCCGGAGGATTGAAAGATAAGTCTGCAATCACCGACGAAGCATTCAACCGCTTTTACTCAGCCTTCGGGGGTCTGGTCTCCAAAGTGTCGGGGCCTTTGGCATTCGCAGGGATTCAAATGGGATCTGCGGGTCCACCCAGCGCCGAACAAAGCCGCAAGTCCTCAGCCGAGGTGAAGTTGGACCGTGAGCATGCTGTTCTAGACCGGTCCATGACTGCCGGTGAGCCTGATGTGAACAAAATCTTCTCTCGAGCCGCGTTGCGATCGATCCGGGACGGCTCTGGGGCAGGTCCCGGGAACCCAGCAGAGTCCTTCTATGTAGTCCCAACTACAGGCGGGACTATGTCCTACGCCGGAATTCTCACCCGAGCTGAAAAGCAGGCGCGCAGGAATAGCATGGAGGATGGTGATGACGACTTTGTGGATGCCCGAGAGACACCCTCATCTCCTGAAATGCGGCATAGTGCCAGTAGTTCGCGCATATGGGCGGGACGCCGCGGCGCAGCCGATAAGCTTACAACTCCGCAGACACAGAAGACAATGGAAGAAATGCAGGTGGAGAATGAGACCCTGAGGAACTTGACTGATTCGCTCGCGACAAGATTGCACATGTGGGAGGTGAGCGCACAATCCTCGTCGATGGCGCTGCAGCAATCAATCCGAATGATGCACCGCCAGAGCGCTGGGACGCCTGATTATCTCCAGCCCACAACAGCCACTACTTCACCTGTCGCTACGCTGACTTCGCCGCCAGCTGCGGCTGATACTGACGCACGGATCAAAGAACTCGAGGAGCAAGTTCGACGTAGTGAGCAGAAACTTGAAACTGCTTCTCACGAGAACGACAAGCTGAAGAATGTTCTTGGGCGATATCGAGACCGATGGGAGAAATTGAAAGAAGGTGCCAAAACTCGGAGAGCGGAGGGTCGCTCTGGTGACAGTCAGAGCAACACCCCTACGAGTGCTACCAAGCCATCGGAATTCTCGGCCTCTCCAGACCCCGGTCGAGGCCCCTCTGCTGGTCAAGCAGGGTCTCGTGCAGCAGGTGATAATGAAGCATAGTCTTGCAACGTTCATTCTTGGTGGTTGGAAACGGCGTTCGGTCCTAAGGCTTGATCCCCTTTTATGAGATATGCCCATAGCAGTTTTTATGAAGCTTTTGATTCAATTGATTCTTATTTATTTGATCGGGTGGTCTACCAACTAGTAACGCACAGGCTCCACATTTGGTCCTATCCTAATACCTAATACCCAAAGGGGATAGATAAGTTTAGACGAAGAGATGATAGTGGCATTGTGTCCAAATTAATCTAGAGAACAGAAGAAGTAGTGAAAAGAATCTTGGAAATTAACAATTCTGAAATCTTTCATTTTCCAATTTCACGCAAGATATATACAACCAACAATCTGACACGCACTAAAAAACATGCACATCGAAATATATACTAAATACTAATTTCCCTCCAATAGAAACATTTTAGTGTTCACGAACAACAAACGTGGCGTTACCACGAATATCCTCGGAGCTGCTACCCACAAGGGCAGTGAAGGTACCGGGCTCAACAACATACTTCATGCGACTGTTCCAGAGACCGATGTTTTCAACTTTGATGGGAATCTTGACAGTCTTGGTCTTTCCAGCAGGAATAACAACCTTCTGGAAGCCCTTGAGCGCGCGGTTAGGAACAACAACAGAGGCGATGTCGTCCTGGATATAGACCTGCACAACCTCTGTACCCTCACGAGTGGCATGGGTGTTGGTCACATCAACGCTGACAGTGACAGTCTTCTCAGATGCAGAGATGGTCTTCTTGTCAACCTTGACAGTTCCATACTTGAAGGTGGAGTAACTCTTGCCATAGCCGAAGGGGTACCACGGCGAGGCGTCACCGAGAACGTAAGAGTGGCCGAAGACGAGAGTTCCGTTCTCATACTTGTGGCCGACGTCGCCCATGGAGCGGCCGGAGTTGAGGTAATCATAGAAGACGGGGAGATTGCCCACGTAGCGGGGGAAACTGACGGAGAGCTTGCCGGAGGGGTTGTAGTCGCCGAAGAGGACGTCAGCAAGGGCGTTACCACCCTGCTCGGAGGGGTAGAATTGTTGCAGGAGGGCAGCGGTGGAGTTGGAGATCCAGGTGTCGGTGATGGGCTTTCCGCTTGACAGGACGACGATGGTGGGCACGCCGGTGTCGGCAATGGCCTTGATCAGGGGTCCCTGGGCGCCGACAAGGGACAGGTCATCAGCATCGACGTGCTCACCGGTACTGACAGATATGTTTTTTTAGTATTTACATTATGAGGTATATCTTGAAAGAGGCTTGGTTTACTCACGTTGCGTTCAGGCCTGTCCAGAGTTCTCCCTGATCGCGAGACCAGGTTCCGACGACAACAACAGCCACATCAGACTTCTTCGCGGCTTCAATTGCCTCTGCGAAGCCTGATTGGTCATTGCTATCGCGGTTGCATCCCTTGGCGTAGTGGACCTGAGACTTGTCCTTGACTGCAGCCTTGATACCTTCGAGGGGAGTGACACCGCGGTATTGACTCTTGTAGACAACGTAATCACCGTACTAAATACGTCGTTAGGAATCCTGGTAGCAAGGGGAATAGAAATGCTGACTCACATTCATGAGGTCAGCAGCCATAGGTCCAATGACCGCAACCTTGCTCGACTTCTTCAGGGGCAGAACATTTTCGTGGTTCTCAAGCAGAACGATAGACTCCTTGTCCAACTCTCTGGCAAGCTTCACAGCCTTGGGGCCGTTGATGAGCTTGGGCCACTGCTTCTGAGGAGCAGCAGGGTACGGGTTCTCAAAGAGACCCATCTCGAACTTGACCCGGAGCAATCTAGAGACAGCAGTGTTCACAAGCTCAATGTCGAGCTTGCCGGACTCGACAAGCTCAGGGATCTTCTGGAAGTTGCTATTCGATGGTCAGTGTCTGTGGCTGCACCGTGCGGCTTTCAATAGCGCTTACTATGAGCCACCACCCATCTCAACGTCGGTTCCCGCATTCAGCAGCTGCGTGGTAACCGCTTTGCTATCGATGGGGTCGCTCTCGCAAAGCTTGAAGTAGGAGCATACTCTGTCACTGCCACCGGCGTCGGTCATGACAAAGTATTCATATCCCCATTCTCCGCGTAGGATCTCGGTGAGAGTGTGGTAGTCAGCGACGGCTGGGATTCCGTCCCATCTAAAAACGGATGTCAGAATGGCAACATAAATCAAATAGGACCAGACTGGACTTACGAGTGGTACGCAGCCATGATGGAATAAGCGCCGCCATCGATGATAGCACGCTTGAAAGGAGGCAACCAGCTATGCAATGGTTAGTCAACTTCTTAGTTTATAATCTTGAGGCTGACGTACGTGGTGCGCAACTCTCTTTCACCACCGTGAACTGGGCCAGTATTTAGTCCCTGCTCGGGGTTGCTGACACCTGCAAAGTGCTTGACCATAGCCGACACACCCTTGCCCTGCACTCCCTTGACGAAGCTGTAACCGATTTCGCCGGCGAGGTAAGGGTCTTCGGAATAGGTTTCTTCGACCTGTTGCCTCTGTTGTTAGCTTCATCTCGCCGAATTCAACAACACATAGATGAAACTCACACGACCGAATCGAAGTTCACGAGCGAGATCAACAACAGGGGCGAAGAGCTGGTTGACACCAAGTGCTTTGGCTTCCTGTGCGGTGATTTCCGCCATCTTTTCGATAAGCTGCGCAGGAATGTGTTAGATTGCAAGAACCGTATGTATGACAGTGCAGGTATGATAGCCGCTTACATCTGTGTTCCACGAGCATCCGTATCCAATGGGCGAATTGAAGATGGTGGCATTACCAATCAGGAATCCGTGAATACCTGGTACAAGAAATGTCATGAGCTCGGAATTCAACATAGGTAGATAATGTATCCTTGAAGTACATACCCTCACTCTGGACAATTGCTGGAATTCCCAGAGTAGTGTTTTGGACGAGGTAATCCTGTGCTCTCTTGATATTCTCAGAGAGCCAGTCCCAAGGAACGGCCTGTCCGGCTGCAAACTGTTAGGATTCGTATTTATGCGGACTGATGGGAAACGACCCAACAGCTTAGGAGAGGACTTCCTACCATAGAACATGCCTGCCCTCTGCTCCATGTTGGTGACCAGGCCGGTGTAGTTGAATTCTCCCGAGGTTTGGTTCATCCAATTGGAAAGATCACCTGTACAAAAATGCATCAGCAATTAGAACCACCCTTTGCAGCGAAGATAAAACCATACCCTGGATCAACTGGGACATCTTGTCCTCAATAGTCATCCGGCCCAACAAATCCTTGACTCGCTTTTCCACCGGAGCCTTGGGATCCTTGTAGAGAGGGGTGTTGCTCGGTTTTCCCAAAGCTAGGGCAGCAAAGAGCTGCATGAGCAACAGCCCATTGGAAAGCAAATTGGCCACCATCTTGATGACAAGACAATCTCTTTTCCAAATTCAATGGATAAGGACTGTTGTCGACTGACTAGCGTGAGACTGGAAAGAAAAATAAATTCCTGGGGAAGCTCGTGGCTATAAGTTCATGCAGACAGGCAATGGACATACCTGCACTGTGGATACAGGCAATTAGGCTAGAGACTAGTTGCATCGCATGACACGATCTAATGATCCTGCTAGCTGAAGTGGATTGAAAAAGGCAGGTAGCTCACACCATTATGCAGCGGAAGTGAAGCCTTTCAGCACCAGAACGGATCAAGCTAGTTCAACGGCTGCACTAGTGTGCCACTTGGCGTCGTTTTGAACGGCGCTAGCACAATCAGGAAACGGAGCAATATCCCCGCCTCCACACTAGCATGGCGTTCTGGGGATGAGGGGAGATAGTTCTCGGCTGTCCGGTTAAATTCATTTGAAAAGTGGAGGATAAGGAAGACATCTGGGGTAGGTGACTGGACCTCCTAAGAGGTGGCATGTGTTGCCAGCATTTTCCACCTATTAGGGCTGCCCTTTTCATCCGGGAGATGAGACCAAGGGGCTGCAGAAATATGTGTGACAGGTCATTTTGGATAAATTGAAGGGATAAAGAGGCTAAAAGTGAGATTAGTGGCTAATAACGTTCAGAGCTCCTCCATGGATGAAAGCATACAGTGTACACAGAAATAATACATTGACAAATGCTTAAAAGATATACCCGAATGCAATATCAATTACAAGAATGTACCGATAGAAGTCTACCAGAAAAAGCGCCAAGGAGAGGAAGGAAAGAGGAAAAGATGGGGGATGGAGAGTTCAAGTGAGAGGACCACTTGAACGAACTGCGCTAATGCATCAGAGCTAGGAAATTCCGGGGTAGTTATCGCCGAGCTTCGGTCTCGGTTTCAAAATCATCGGCGTTGTAGTTTGGCCCAGGTCGCTCATTTTCTGGTGTTGGCGTTCCTGTAGCAGCCACACTGTCAGCTGTTTTGGTGTTCTGCGTTTTGCGGAGAGCACCACCCAGCCACGCAAGCCTACCACTCCACGAATCACTCAAGCTACGGAGACGGGTTACATCTTCGTTGGTGAGTTGAGCTGGCATGGTATTTATGTCTGCCTCGGTATTCATGTCCGTCGCGAGGGCTGACATCGAATGGCCAGCAGCCTCCGCTGGTACGTCCGTTGGGTGAGTGGCGGACTGGAGCCGGGCAGTTGCGAGTGAAAGCGCCGTGTCATTATTTCCTTCAACAAGCGACGGATCCGCGAAAGCACCATCAAGCTGACGACGACGTCCCAATCTCCGCCTTGGCCGATCTTTGAGAGGGCTGCCATCGCCACGCCGGATAGAATCAGCGACCACTGCACTGAAGCCACCAGAAAGTGTGGGAAGCAGGGGCCCAGGGGAGAAGCGATGAGAGATAGAGCTTCGCAAAGCACGCCGCGATGGTGTTTCAAGGGGAGTCTCATTGTGAATAGCGTGGCCGGTTTGGTTTAACAGTGTGGGGGTCGAAGCACGTCGTACGGTACCAGCGCTTCCATTGGTCCCTGCTTCTTCAAGGCCAGGTGCAGGAGGGAACCGTAAAAGGACAGTTGAGGACTGTATCGTCTCATCTTCCTGTCCGGGGGGAGTAACGGGACGGATATCGGACTCCGATGTCACGACGGTCTGATCCTGAATGTCTGCCCATGGGTTGGACATACGAGATGGAGGCCGCAATGGTGAAATGTGGTCAAACGACGGAGCAGAAAGAGGGGATGCATCGATAAAAGATGCACGAGGCGACGAGGGCGCGGCGGAAAGGATACCTCTAGGAGTAGACTGATCATCATCTAGTTCATCGGTGCCTTGGCTCAATATAGACCCTCTCGGAGACTGTGGGACGTCATATTGTGCTTCTGTGGAAACATCAGATGTCTTCGGCAATTGGTGACCAGGTGGAGACAGGTCGATTCTGTCATGATATCTTTCGCCATTGAGCAAACCGATGGATTCTTCCTCGTCTTCCGCTGAAAACGACGACTCGTCATCGCCGCGGACTCTGCCGCTCGTGATGAAGTAAACCCCAAGGAAAGTCAATAGACATCCACCAACAAACTTCGTCGCGCGATCAGCCGTTATCGATTCAAAATCACGGTAAAGGACCGCACTTCCAATGATGACAGCGAGAGTGAAGAGAACAAACTGCGTCGGAATCACCTGGGTAGAATCAAAGCGTTGCAGAGCACGATTGATGTAACGGACTTGCATCAATGCGCTGAAGACAAGAACGAAGACAAGCAGATAGGTAATAGGGAATGTGATAACATGCCACAATGTGCCAGACAGAAGCGAGGATACACCCTTCGTAGAAAGAGCCGTGTATCCGCCTGTGTTGGATGAGTCAGTAACAACATAAAAGGTAGGTGCCCCAAAACTAGAAATTACTATATGAAAACTTACCAAACAAAGCAACCAGCCCGACGTCGATAAGAATTGATCTCGGGCCATACCGACGGCTTGCCCACATGAGACCGATAATCAATGAAGTGGTCAACCCTAGATAGAGCTGGAATTCCCATCGCGTTATGTTCACCCAAATTTCATGAGGGCCAATTTGTTCTTCGGACGATTTGGCACTGAGAACCACAATGACGGCACCAGCAATAGAGACAAGCACGCCCCAGAGATCTCGTTTGCGGAATTGTTCCTTGAGCAAGCATGGCGCAATGATGCAATTCGATATTAAAGCCACAACGCCCAAAGGCGAGACAATCGACGCCGGTGCAAATCCGTAGGCCATGAAATTGCCCATCTCTCCCACAACCATGAGCACGATTCCAACCCACCAGTACGGAGACTTGAGGTAGGATTTGCGATTGCCGTCAGCGCTATCCTTGCTTCCAGTGCTGTTGTTCCGCGAGCTTGAGCCACTGTTCCTCCCCTCGGTGTCGGCGTCGTCGCGATAAGGTTCAAAAGCATTCTGTTCAGAGTCGCGGTATTGGTCTCGAAATCGTCCCCTCGATCCGACGCGTGTTCCGTTGGTTCCAGTTTCCTCGTTGCGATTCTTGTCCTGCTCCCATTCTCTTGCGATCCGAATATGTGCGTAGCGTTGGATGTTAAGGGCCAGTGAGATTAGAACGTTGCCGCATAGAGCCGTGATAATGCCGATCAGCGATGACCATTCATGCATGCTTCCCCCGTTACCCCCATCATGGTCATGAGGAGTTCCCGAAGTGGAGTTTGATGGCGCGACGAAGAGTTGGTGGATAGAAGAGGCCGCAAGTGTGGATGATCTCGCGGGGGAAACGGCTGAAGAAAGAAGACCAGGTAGCAGGCTTGCTACCAACGATGACTGGAAGGATGCCATCGGTTCGTCTGAGATAATGCGATCTTAATCTTCGAGTACTGCTTATCGCACGCTGTACCGGGAAAGGCTTCCTGATTGTCAAGGACTCCTAACACACCCCAGCTCTTCGGCAGTACAGCCGATCAAAACGAGCCCCCCTAATTCAACGGTGGGCATTTGGTCTCAAGCTGCAAGATACCTCATTCTGTTCCGGATGATCCGACTTTCTCGCGCGTGGGAATATGACCACAAATGAGGTTAGTAATGAGTATGAAGAGGTTTGGGTAGGCGGCAATCACCGAGCGGAGGCGCGGCGATAAATGATATGTCAGCACCAAAACCCCCGGGGCCCGGGGCCAAAGCTTTCAAGGTCCTGTGTGGCCACTGGGGCCTATGCGGTAATTTAATGTTTCACAGCGCAGATACGAATTGAAACAAAGCCAAAGATGATCTTTGCGCGAGGCCAGAGCCCATGTGTTTGTTCTGATAGCTATCATTGGTTGGGTGGGCAGTTGGGGATCGTCGCTCTTGGGGGACGTCATGGAGCAACAAAGAGAGGACAACGCAGACCGAAAGTAAGGAGTTTCGTCTGATTATGTTCTAAATTTGGGATTCCTAAGTAACTAAAAGTTGTACTAAATGAAATATACTGCAGTTGCCGCTAGATTTGAGTCAATGCACGCTTTTGATGTCAAAATCATAATCAATATATACATGGTACATTTCCAAGCGATTCATCGCTTTGCTTTCTTCTTTTCTGGTCCTTGTTCTTCTCCATCACTAAGTTCCGCGTAAATGGCATTCGGTTGTGTCTCCTTGTATGCCTTGGTGAATATAGGCTCCTTTTCCGCCTGGTCGGCATATTTCAAGAGTGCTTCGCGTGGATCCTCGTCTCGCATGGAGCTCAGCGGAATATGTTCGAGGATGTGTTTCTCATCTGGAGTATTTTTGGCAAACGGAGTCTGCAGCGGCATATACGGTCGGCGAGGATCCCGAGAGCGACCAGAGGCTGTAAAGCCAACTGTAGGATGACGAGCAGACCTAGTTGCCGAGCTGTAATGCGGAACACCGTTGGAACCGACGACCACCGAATCACCTGCCAATCCCTGGTTCAAGTCCGGAGCGATGACAATGTCATCAACGTGGCGGATCTTTGGTGCCTTGGACATAACCGTCGCTGCGCCCTTTGTGGACATGGTCGGGTTATAGAGGACATGAGTCTCGGCATTGGCGGAGCCCGTCATGATTTGATTGAGCTTTTCGTGCCATAAGACAGTTATCAAAGGTGATCCAGGTGTCACAGGTGTGGTGAGCTCTGGCTTGAGAGTAGCGGGGTTGAGGATATACAGATGGCCGGTTTCAGAGCCTGTGATAATATTGGCAGACGAAGGAGAGAACTGGATGTTGGATGTCGGGTAGCGGGAAGATGTGGAGGTATGTGTGACAGTTGTGACTGGGGTCTTGAACTTTCTGGTATCCCAAAGCTTGATCGTATCATCACCACCTCTGGTGACAACAAGTCTTCCATCAGAACTGATATCGAGACCACTTGTCCATGTATCTTTAACATGAGCGTCCCGAATTTCTGCACTGGGTCTTGTGTATGGGCCCTTTCCACTCCACATAACTAGGCTGCCATCGAGGCCCGCTCCTACAAGAATGTCTGCGCCTCCTTGTTTCGGGGAGCCCCATGCGAGGGCAGTCATTTTGGTCCGGCCTGCGGACCCAGCCGCCCGTGACTTGTGCACGATCACCTCCTTCTGTGAGCGGCCAACATTGGCATCCCAGATACGAATTGTGCTGTCAGTTCCAGCAGTGGCGCACATATTAGGGTCAGATGGGCTCCAGGCACCACACGTAACCTCGGACACATGTCCTTTGGTATGGTGCAAATCTCGCAGATACATGTCGCCCTTCACAAATTCTGTGAGTATCTCACCATCACGACTGAGTATTCGTGGCTGTGGAGTGGCAGTCACAGCTAGAACGTAACTCGGGGAGAGCGGATTGAATGCAGCGTAGTGCACGGCGTGGGTATCCTGGGCCGCCGTCGCTTTTTTGGCGGAAGGATCGACGGACTTAAATGCACGGAGCGTGGATGGAGTCATCGAGGCAAAATCAAATAGTTTCAATGTGCAATCGGTAGAACCTGTGATTAGTCGCGCCCCCGAAGGGTCCACGGTCATGGTGGTGACAGCACGCTCATGAGCCTTGAGAACGAGCTCATGCGACACAGGAAATTCATCCTCGTCGTCATCTGAATCGTCAGAGTCTTCGTCACTATTACCATCACTGTCTTTTTCTTCACTATCACTCCGTCTTGCTTCTGCGCTAAAGGGTTTCATGCCAGTGCTTAGTTCATTGCCCTCGGGTTTCGGTGCCGAAACAGCGACACGCTTGGATCGGTCGATCTGGGACTCAACGTCAACTGATTTCGCCTGCTTCCCAAAGCTGGAGGGAAAGAACTTGTTGAATGCTTCTTCGTCGAATTCATCCATGATTGAGTGTGGGAGGAACTTTTTGACAGATGAAGAGAGGCGCAGACCTGATAGCTAGCTTGTTTGCAGTGTTTGCAACCCGCGACTGATAAGCCGAAGTGCTTGGCGCAATCTCTTGCGTGTAGCTAGGTGCTCCGTATATATCCACACATGCCCTACATCAGGCGAAATATGTACTTTGAATATATTTTTATGGTTCATTTAAAGAAATTTCTGGGCAGTGCACCCTTGAGATTCGTACGTCACTTGATTATTACAGTACACAAGGGACCTAGCTGCATATAGGTCTCCAATGCAAGCTCTCCAGCACTCTACCATCAAAAATATTGTCAGCGCTTACAAGTACAGACCCTCGACAGGACCGCCGTCCTGCTTGGTCTTCATGATACGCTCACGAGCAGCCCGGAAATCGTCCATCTGCACCCTCATGCGTCGCTCTCTCAGTGCCATCAAACCAGCTTCGGTGCAGATTGCGCGGATGTCGGCACCAGAAAGATCATCTTTCTGATTGATGAACTCCTCAAGGTCCACGTCGTCACCGAGAGACATCTTCGATGTGTGCAGAGTGAAAATCTTCTTCTTGGTGTTTTCTAGAAATTATTAATAAGCCGCAATGAGTAGCAACAGACATCAGGGCATTACTTACGGTCTGGATTCTCAAAGAGAATCTTACGGTCAATACGACCAGGTCGGATCAAAGCCGGGTCCAGCGTCTCGATCTTGTTGGTGGCCATGATGACCTTCACGTCACCACGATCATCGAATCCATCAAGCTGGTTCAGAAGCTCCAGCATAGTTCGCTGGATTTCTCGCTCACCGCCAGATTGTGATTCGTATCGCTTTGTACCGATAGCATCAATCTCATCAATGAACACAATTGATGGAGCATGTTCAGCAGCGACCGAGAAGATCTGGCGAACCAGGCGAGGGCCATCACCCAGATACTTCTGAATCAGCTCACTGCCAACAATGCGGAGGAAAGTCGCGCTGGTCTGGTTGGCAACAGCCTTGGCAAGTAGCGTCTTTCCGGTACCTGGGGCACCGTAGAGAATCACGCCCTTGGGGGGCTTGATTCCCATCTCCTCATACAGCTCGGGGTGTAGCAGGGGCAGCTCCACGGATTCTCGAACTTCCTGGATTTGTTGCTCCAAGCCACCAATATCAGCATATGATTCTGTCGGCGCCTTGTCCAACTTCATCACCGAGACAAGAGGGTCAGATTCCTCCGTCAGTACACCGACGACAGACACTGACTTGTGGTGTAGAAGAATACTGGCACCCGGCTCCAGGAGATCTTTATCGACGAAAGACATGATTGAAACGTAGTACTCGGGGCCAGTGGCGCTTGAGACAATAGCATGATCATCATCAATCAACTCTTCTAAGTTGCCGACCCCCATCGGGCTGCCTCGCATGTCATCGACTCGACTCCGCTCATCGGCGTTCCGGTCCGTTACATCCAAGTCACCGCCTCGGCTGGCAGGGTCCTGGGAGGCTTGGGCCTTAGCCTTACGCATCCGTTCCATATTCTCAACATACTCTTCTTCTAACAGCAGGTGGTCGTGAACACGCTGCATGCGAAGGTATCGTAGCTTGCATCGCGATGTAGGGTAGATATCGGGGAGCTTAGAGGCAGTGCTTGGGCCTGCGGCCTTGCGCTTCTTCTTTCCAAGACGAGTCGTAGGTGGTGGGGGAGGTTCGTATTTGGGCTTGTCCTTCTGATGAAAGATGGTCTCAGCACGACTCGTGTAGCAGAGGAAACGAGTTTGAACATACCTTCTTATCCTTGTCATCACGTCCATCGCCTCCAGGGCCTCCGCCCAAGTTAGACTGCTGTTGACCCTAGTTTTGAGTATTAGAATGTAAACTGAGATGGTCTCCCAGAGGCTGGGAAGATTGGGGCGCTTACCATGTTTGTCAGCCACCGAGAGGGAGACAGTCAGAATCCCTGGTGTGAAGTTGCAAAGAAAATCAATGTAGAGGAGATCCAGAGCCTGTAATGGTACTGAATGATGGGAAAGACGAGTCGAAAGGGATGGGTTGTCAATGCAGATGTGGTATATCCGGAGGTTAGACGCTGGGCGAGCTGGAAGCTGTTAGGTCTACACGTGACCCTTTAGGCCTCAGGCCGCCAATGCGTCATTCACGCATTGTTGCCTTAACGCCTTGTCTTATCGGCACCTTGCTTGTACCTCCGACATTCTCGAGGACAATCAAAGAAATTCTTTTTTCTCTCGAGGCTTTATACTGAGATTACCTTACGATTACAGTCTTAAGAGCTGTGTTCTTTTTCGGGGTCTTTATATCAGGTGCACATATCAGGTGACAGGTGTTTGAGCTCATCACTCATACTGAATTCTCATATAGTTCCCAAGGTTCCCCTCCATTTGGTGAGATCCTCGTTTCTCTTGAGTTCCTTCCAATTCCCTAGCGAGCTTTGTGCTTTGTGCTTTGGGTGTGATAGTTTCCACTTGATCTGAAAGCTTTCTAACACCCCTCTCCTACAGTTAGCCCCATTCCGTCTTCCTCCCCACAGCCGTTTCCACGCTCTGTGCGGTCTTTGACACGACGACAATAGATCTATTTCACTCCACAATTTACGCATAAGCGGTCTCATCTTTCAACATCTCTTGTTTAACCTCTTTCTGAAAGGATTTCTCGAATCATCATGGCTAGCAATCGTATGCGTCGCATTGGAAAGGAAATTACGGACATTCACGCCGATGCCCACTCTCAAATCAAGGTCGAGCCATTTGGCAACCAGGACGATGTCACCCACCTAAGGGGGTCATTTCCAGGGCCACCCGGAACCCCTTATGAAGGTGGTACCTACAATATTGATATCAAAATCCCCACCGACTACCCTTTCCGCCCACCTACCATGAAGTTTGAGACCAAAGTGTGGCATCCGAATGTCAGCAGCCAAACGGTTGGTGCCCTCTCCTTGATACGCATATGATAAAACTTTGATCCTGATCGCCATTATAGGGTGCAATCTGCCTTGACACGCTTTCTAGTGCTTGGTCGCCAGTTCTGACTATCAAGTCCGCTTTGCTTTCGCTGCAATCTTTGCTTAGCACACCCGAACCCAAAGACCCTCAAGACGCTGAAGTGGCTAATATGCTTCTCAAGACACCTAAGGAGTTTGAGCGCGTTGCGCGCGACTGGGCTGTTGTGTATGCTGGAGCTCCCGTGCGTAGTGCTGACAACGGAGACGGATCAAGGCTAGATGACGCCCGACAAGCAGCTGTCGAAGACAGTCTTGCAAAGTGAGTCATTGTCCTACCATTGATTACCCCGGTGAGTATGATTGCTGATCATGACCTATAGATATGACGGATACAACAAGAATTTGGTCGACCGTTTTGGCAGCATGGGCTTTGACGTTGAGCGCGTTGTGGCTGCTTTCCGCTTTGCCGGTGTTGAACGAAGAGGAGGTCAAGACTATGAATTAGAAGAAGGTCGTATGGGCGATATTGCTGCCCGACTTCTTGGTGAGTGATGTATATTCTGGTGTTTGCGGTGAACATGGGATGAAATGCGACAAAAAATGCATGGAACATGAACGGATTGCATTGGGTGGCTTATGTATGTCGGATATTCGTTACATAACTTTTAATTGATATTGAAGTCAATAAAATAACACCAGGAAATCAACATAATGATTTGATGTCTGAGCAGAACTATCTACACAAGTAACTATACGTAACATGTTTCCTCTGCCAGATGGGGCTTTCCTATCTTAGCTGCCGAGGGCGCTCAGAGTCAGGCTCACTAGGTAAACTTCAGTTCGGGCTTAGACTCAGTGAGCTGCTCAAAGACATCACGCGGTAAAGCCGTGAAGCCCAACGAGCGCTCACTGATTGCTGACTGATTACTCAGACTGATCAGAGGCATCTATTGAGCACTCAGCCCACGCTCAGTCTATACCCGAAGGGGCACTTTACCCCCACAATATTGTTTATTTGCGACCACTTTTTGATGGCCCTCACTTCTCACCATGCCCTGATGTTCTGAAGTCCACGGTCTACTATGTAGTCTCGTTCCTCTCTCAAAAATCAATGCACTAATACACGATGACGCAACATTGGAAGGCACCGACCTCATCCATAACGGGGCAACGCAAGAGCAAGATCTTAGGTTATCCCCAGTTCCTGATTTATAAATTAGAACTATTCCCCTGCTTTAAACCTGCAAGATAGCTTTTTCGGTTTGCTACCTCATCCTTTTGGCTGTTCGACTTTCTTGACATTGTGTGGACTTCATCAAGCTATGGGTGAAAACTGGATCCAGAGGCTGGTTGTGGCTGTGAATTTCTATTTGAACTGGTAAAGATGTAGCATTCTGCTAGCCAAGCAAAAAAGAGAAATAGCTCAGACAGGGAGATCGCGAATGATTCCAGCTTTCTTCTGTGCAACAAACAGGTGGGCATTTCCGGGCGCAGTGGCAAAAAATAAATAGTTACGCATAGCTGATCCTGAGAGACGTGTATCTCCTGGGCTATTTGCTTTCACAATAGCAGACTCTTCAAACCATAGGGTAAGGGGCACAAAGGCAGACGTAAGAATTTGCATCTCAACAAACATCAGGGTCTAGAGAGCCCAGCCATTGGCAATGTTTATTTGGATTGAGCCTTATACGGCTTGAAGGTGAAGTGTCATATCGAAGCGAAGCGCTAACAGATCAGACGTGAAAATGGTAAGGATATTGCTGCCTGTATCATTGCAAACTAAGATAGGATGAGTCAAGTTTGCATCCGCCATACTGGGGGGAATTCTGGTCCGGGCATAGAGCTATCTTATGTTAGTAAAGAAGCTTAAGTGATCGTTGATATAGCTGAGGTTGACATACCTGGTGCATTTGGAACTCATTCGAAAACGAGAGGGATTCTGACACAGATTGGACCATTTGTTGGGGCTAATAGTAAGAAAAAAAACACGATAATGACTTAGCTCGAGCTCTTCATAACATCATACACTCAAGGGCGCCTAGGGGAGGCCCGAGAAGGGTTATATGATATTTGCCTGGTACGTAGTTTGCTGGGTCAATTGCTGGTAGAACAACGTCTTAAAGCTGTTATTAGTATAAGGCAGAATACCATGGGTACTAAATAATATACCTCACAGCACCTCAATGCGTGAGCTGGCACCGATTTATCTTTCCATGGGTCCTTTTCAACGCGAACTCCATCAACCAGGAAAACAGGGGGATCAGTTCGCTGGCGTGGTCCAAGCTCGCCAATCTCGTATAGGTGAATAAGGGCTTCGATATTCACTCTCTGAACTTTTCCGAGATCCGTGTCTAGAATGGTTTGCAGTTGTTTCACTCGCTCTTCGGGTTGGAGGATATACGGGATTGGACACGCGGGGCTGAACTCGGGAAGCGGATTAGGCATGTTGATAAGTGGTAGATGTCCACGGGTGGTTAGTGGATAACGTGAAATAAGTGGAGCGCTAGCCCTGGAGGTAAATGCTCACCTGGGCAACGCGTGAGGGCGATTATGTAATACTGATGTGGCTCAGTTTTACTGAGCAAAAAGCGGCGAGGTCTGAGCACTAAAACGGAAAGGGAACGCCAAGAAAGTGGCAGAAAATCAAATACATAGCCCTGGTCATCAAAGCGTGGGTTCGCGTTATCGATAAGCACACCTAGCTCTGACTTGCCCAGGTGCAGTGTTCTCTTGGATCCCAAGTCGATTCATTGCTGGGCACATTGATAATTGTCGAATACTTATTGCCATATTCAAAATAACTCTGCAATTTCCACTTGTTCATGCTCTACATACCTATCTTGTGATACTCTAAACAGCGTACCGACATTCCCAGCCAAGAATAAAGGTTTCCAGCTTTTGATTCTTCCAACAATTCAAAAGAGAGCACCGGCGTCATGATTGAAGACGACATTTATCGTGCCTCGTCCCAATATCGACTGTGGTCATACACGGAGCCATCTCTGGAATCTCTCAGGGCCTCTACCAATGCTGTTGCCAGCGAGCGCGTGCGCGCCGCTTTGCGCAGATCCCGCGAAACTCATCAGTCAACCGCATCCTCAGCGGCGGGAACACCACCACCAGAAAGCCATGTGGACCTCAAGAACAAAGATGAAAATGACGTTGAATGTTTGACACCAGAGGAGGAACTCATTCTTGTGCGGTATTACTGCGAAAAAACACTAGAGCTCGGAGAGACATACAAGCCACCAATTCCGACAATGGTCCGGGTACGTTAAGCTCCGAAAGACTTTATACTCCCCTTACTAGTCAACCTTAAGAAAAAGCTTGGGAAGCTGACTTTCTTCGTTTTGGGCACACAGGCCACCGCGATCCAATACCTTCGCCGCTTCTACCTAACCAATTCACCCATGACATACCATCCAAAGTCCATCATGGCGTGTGCGCTCTTCGTCGCGACCAAAACCGACAATTACTATATCTCTCTCCGGCAATTTGCAGACGGAATTCCCGGTGACACTTCAACAGAGGACGTTATCGCACCGGAATTCCTGCTCATGCAGGGACTTCGTTTCACTTTTGATGTACGGCATCCATTCCGGGGACTTGAAGGCGGCGTCATGGAACTACAAGCCATCGCACAAGGTCAAGGCCAGCCAGCGCCTCATCTACCACATGAGACCGCGGAAGATCTTCAACAAGGACTGCTGTCCATCGCACCGCCTCCCGTTCCATCGTCCTCAATGTCAGATCGAATCGCTCGGGCCCACGGCACAACTCGTGAGCTGCTGAAATCCGCTGCACAGATGACAGATGCCTACTTCTTGTACACGCCTTCCCAGATCTGGTTTTCTGCCTTTTTGCTGGCGGATCGTCCGCTAGCCGAGTTTTTGCTGGATGTCAAACTTGGTGGTCCTGTCACAGCCACAATCCCTGCCCCCGAAACAGATGATAACGGGCTCGTGAACCCTTTATATGAAATCCGCTCCAAGTTGCATCACGTTTTGACTGAATGCTCTGCTCTTCTCCAATCCTACACACCTCTCTCCTCGGACCCTGCGCAAATGAAGAGTCTGAAGCGCATTGCAAAGAAGTTATATCATTGTCAGAACCCCGAGAAGGTGAATCTTGCTGCTGCTCGAAAGCGGGATTCCGCCCAGCCATCTACCGTCGTTCAAAGTGACACTGGCATTGTCACTTCTGAAAGCGAAACAGAACGCTTAGCGAAAAAGCGGAAATTGGAACAAGAACAGCTCGTTCGTCAAGATGGTGATGTTTTCGGCCCGGAGTTGGTCACCCAGCGAACCAAGCAGCCATGATAATGCAAGTCATTCAATCTACATTCACAAATAATTTAATATCAAATACCAGAACGGACACACTTCGAGATGCAGCAAAAATAAAACTCGATTATGCACTTCCAATTTTCCACGTCTTCGGTGTAGCTACCCTGACCTCTCGGTCTTTACAGACCTAAAATCTGAAATTCAAAGTCGACAGAGGAAATGGATGCATCCCTGTCATCATCGGGACAAAAGCAGTTTTACTTTGATCTGATCCAGCATGGGGACCAAATTGAATCTATCCGATGCAATGTTAATGTTTTGTTTGATTTCCGATGGCCCCCTCTAGATACTCAAAGTAGACTATGCCCAAAAGCGCTACTTTACAACTCCATGACCACAAAACAAGCCTCACATGTTAGAAGAGGAACAATTGGTTTGCACGTCCTCAGCCGTTCTACGGCCGAAATCTAAGTGTTCATAGGGGGAAAGAACATCTGCAAAAGTCGATCACATTGGGGAAACATCCGAAAATACATCTAGAAAGACTATCCAAAAGACTCAACAAGACTGCACAAGCAGCCTAATATTCCTGTTCAACATGCATTTAAAAAGGCAACACGTCCAAAATCCCTATCAGTAAATCCGCAAGTATCAGCGAATCTCCGTCCCTAGCAAGTTCCTCTATGAGAACAGTCAGTTCCCACTTAATCTCAAAGCAAACCTCCTTAATAGGAAGCGGACCCCAACGCGCACGCACGCGGTTATCAGCCCGTACACCAAATCCGCCAATCTCGCCCATGAACCCAATCTGAACGATGCGTTCGCGCAGCTCCTCCAACCGTGTTGCGACGTCCTCTATATCAGGACTGGGAGATGAACTCAGGAGAACGAATACTTGGCATTGAAGCTTGTGGGTGAAGGTTTCGCAGGCTTTTGTATAGATCTCCTTGAAGTTTCCGGGCTGTATGCGAGACCCGTCCATTGTGCTGATGGCAGGGGTATGTATATATCTGGAGATGTTTCTGGTGTAAGTGAGTTAATATGTGTCAGAACTTACCTCGATCTGGCTCTGGGTGAGAAAAAAGTAGGTGGATGGGATGGGTCTGTGTTTATATATGTCCTGTTGGCGATGACTTGGATTTGGTCCTTTGAGAAAGACGAGACAATGGGAACTACTATAGCCATTGTTGATGTTCTTTGTTTCTTGGTATCGTCACGGTGTGTACTACTGGTGTTTGAATGAGACTAGGAAGAAAGAGAAGAAGGCCAAATCTCGAAGCATTAGGCTGATGCTAGGGGTCATGAGAGCATTCATGATGAGAAAGATTGTTTACATAGACAACATAATTGACATAGTATCAATATAAACAAAGCGCAAATCATACAAGTAACGTCATATGTGAAGACGGAGAATAGGGTCTATCCTTTGAGGACCAAGCAGATATAATTCAGCGTAAATGGCATCCCTTATATTCACCTCGGAGAGGACTAGATACTCTATCAAGGACGCATGATAAGACAAGAAAAAAAAAACAGATCGAATCAAGTCCAATCGAAAAGGGGTAGTTCATAGCAATAAAGCGCAAAAGTCCAATCCTCCACCCAAAATCTATTCGGAAAGGAGGGAAGGACAAACGATCTAACGGACAAAAAGAAAATAAATGAAAACCATCCCAACCCAAGGAACTTTTTGTTGTGTCCCTGCGGGAACCAAACTTTTAGTGCCATGTGGGCATTTGTATTCCTTCAGTTCTCGTCTAGCATTTCGTCATCAAAAGGGGAAAAAAAGGAAGTTGAACAAAGTTGAAACATGAAGAAAGCCCTTAAACGGCACCAGAAGACAACATCTTGTTACGGAGGTAGTTCTTGTAGTCACCGATGGAACCGTCCCAGCGGCGGATGGTCTTGTCCTCACAGACCATGATGTCCTTGGCAATCTTGTCGAGGAGACGGAAATCGTGAGAGACGACGACAACACCACCGCTGTAGGCGTTGATGGCATCGGCCAAAGAGTCAATGGTGGGGATGTCGAGACCGTTGGTAGGCTCGTCAAGGAGAATCATGTTGGGGGACTCAATGGCAAGCAGGGCGAAAACGATACGAGACTTCTGACCCTCGGACAAGGTACCCATGAGGGCAGTCTGGCCCTCACCGCTCAGACCGTAGCGGCCGAGCTGCTGACGCCAGTACTGGTAGTCCTGGGACTTCTCGGGGAAACGGTCACGGACGAACTCAAGAGAAGACTTGGTGAGATCAAGCTGCTCAGAAGAGTGCTGACTGTAAACACCAAGCTTCAAGTGAGTGTGACGAGAGACACGGCCACCAATGGGGCTGAGCTTGCCGGTCATGAGACGGAGCAGAGTAGACTTGCCGACACCATTGGGGCCGACGAGAGCGGTACGGGAATCCATGTCGACACCAAGATCGAGGTGCTCGTACAGGGTGTCCTCCCAGTTACCGGAGTAGGAGAAACTGACATCATCGAAGGACAGAACTGGGGGAGGAAGCTTCTCGACATCGGCGAAGCGGAAGGTGAAGACACGGTCGGCTACGACGGGCTGGATGAAGCCATCGGCCTCCATCTTGTCAAGAATCTTCTGGCGAGACTTGGCTTGACGCACCAAGTTAGCATATGTACCAGCGGAAGCAATGAACTTCTTGATGTGCTGAATTTCTTCCTGCTGCTTGGTGTAGGCCTTGGTCTGGTTGGTCTCCTGCTCACTACGGGTCTTGTGGTAAGAATCGTAGTTACCTCCGTAGTAGAGGAGCTTTTGGCCACGCATGTCAATCATATTGGTGCAGACACCGTTCAGGAAATCCATGGAGTGAGAAACCAGGATCAAAGTACGATCCCACTTCTTGAGGTACTCCTCGAGCCACACGCAAGCTTCCAAGTCCAAATGGGCAGTGGGGTCATCAAGCAAGAGCAAAGAGGGCTTGACGAATAGGGCCTTGGCGAGGGCAACACGCATACGCCAACCACCGGACATATCCTTGGTCTTCTTGTTGATGGTGTGCTTGTTGAAGCCGAGACCGGTCAAAATAAGGGAGGCACGAACGTGGAAAGTGGAAGGGTCCATCTTGTCCATGCGCTGTGTAGATAGTTAGCACCGGTTTGCAGCCACAAAGAGTAAAATTCGAAAAATACGTACGTCATATAGGTCCTCAAGGATAGGGCTATCAGGGCCTTCATTCTCAAGAACCTCCTCGGCCTTCTTCTCCATATCTTCCAACTGACGCTCGGCCTCGCGAACAACCCAGTCAAGGGCACCGAATTCGGTGGGGGGCGCACCCTCGTTCAAAAGGTAGATATCGATGTGCTCGGGAACGGGGTACTCGCGGGCAGCAATGGACTTGAGGATAGTGGACTTTCCGCAACCGTTTTCACCGAGGAGACCGTAACGACGACCGAAGTTCAACTCGAGGGTGGAATCGGTGACGAGGACCTTTCCGTGGAACACAAGGGAGCAAGAGGTAATCTTAACGTCGCGAGAGGCGGGCAAAGATGACAGCACACCGGTGGTGACACGATCGGACAGACCGTGCTTATCCATCTGGGCTGTGAGCTTATCAACGGCGGACTGATCCTTGGTGGCAGGCGCGTCATTGACGATGGGGTTTCCGTGGCCATCGAGTTCGACCTTAGCGTCCTTCTTGGGCTTCTTCTCGTCGGCACGCTTGGCCATGCGGGCAGCCTTGGAGGCGGAAACCATGGTTGCGGGTGTGACGGTATAGAAAAAAAAGTGAGGGTTTAAAAAGAAAAGTAAGGGACGGAAGGCAAAGGGGAGGGGGAAAAAGGATGACAATGCGAAAAGAGATTGAAGAGAAAAGCAAAAAGACTGAGTGGATCGCCTGGCGGGGCGGACAGGGAAATCGAGGGGCGTAGAGCAGTGGAGTTGGTGGTTTGCCCTTATCGATAGAATCCTATCGATTATAAGTTTGAGAGAAATGGAAGACTTGAGAATCGAGCATACCTTTCTCTTATAAATTTCTTCCTATTTACCTGTGTGTGTTGGCAAGTTAGTCAAGAAATTTGAACAAAAAAAAAAATCCATCAGTGGGCCGTTAGACATAAGTGGATGCTGATTGGGAGAGACGTCACCGCATGGAATGCCTGAGGTGTCAATTCGCCACTTTGATTTGTGTGATGCGCGACTGGACGATAAAGGTACAGAAGAAAAGGGGGGCTATATTTGGAGAGATAACATGCTAATATTTAATACATCTCAAAGTCTTTCACTGATTCTCTCCAATACTTCTTGCTCCTCAGCAGAAAGTATGATCCCATCTGGCACTGAAATATCACCACGTTCTATTACCAACCGCCGAGGAACATCAGTCAGACTATCCTCATAATGACTAGGAACACTTGGTGTTTCTTTCAAACTAGACTTTTCAACATCCCCCCGAGATCGCGACAATGGATGTGACGTCCACCAGTATAGCGGATATCGACGCTGCACATTGTTAATGATCACAGCCGCAGCCTGCATAAGCCCGAGTCCAAGCAACATGACTGGGAAAAGAAACCAGCCCAAAGCAACAGTCTGAGGGTGTGTTACTGCTAGAACAGCAGTTGCACCCGCAGGTGGGTGTGTAGTGTTGGTGAGAATCATGACAGCCGTGGTAAGACCACAAGCAAGAGCACCCCCAAACTCCGTATACGCTTCAGCATGAGGATCCAAGGCGAACAATTTCGATATTCCGACACCGAAGAAACAGGCGATGAGCTGGCTCAGGACCGCATTGCGTGGTTGTGCGAAAGGTGATTCGATTGCACCGAATTCAATAACTGCCGCTGCACCCTATCATCAAAGAAACATAGAGTCAGCCCTATGTTTTCTTTCCAGCCTATTTTTGCATCAGGTCTCAGATCGATACAACTTACAAAACTACCAATAATAACCGGTGCATCATGCGCTTCAAAAGAAGGTACCCGTTTCGAAACGGATGCCACCAAAGCCACGCCGCAGAATGCTCCAACCAACGACCACAATGCGATCAGGATGTTGCCTATTGGCTTGGGTGGCTTATCTCGATGCCCCAGCATATAGGCGATAGGTCGTGGTATGAGATGCCATCGTGGTGCCGGCACGAATGGATTCACATACCGATCAATGTCGAAATTCCAGGTTGTTGGATGGGACAGCGTCACCGGTCCATGCGGCGATAGTGCCATGCTGGAACTATGTTGCACTGAGCAGATATTATGTATGCTCTAGGCTCTGTAGGCTCCTTAGGTTCTTAATGATCTCACGAGTCTCACGCACACCTGTGGAAGTTCAACCCTATCGGGAATATAAAGGAAGAACCTCCATCAGCCGTATAGCCGTGGACCGAGACTTGGTGAGCAAAACCTCATGTGTACCGTTAAAGGCGCAACTCTGCTCTCTTTCTCCGCGGATGTCAACTCTCGGATGTAGGGCTTTTGATGCCAGGGCCGACTTCTTCAGGTTGTCCACTCAGCGGATTTGCATTTGGTAACATAAACTACAATTCGGGACTAGCGGCTTGGCATAGCGTCATTGTCCGAACCATTTGACGTGCGGATGTTTCCTATTTCATCCATGTCTACTCCGTACGACATATACTCCGTATGTCAGTGTCTACACCATATACTGGCATATATATTATTTTCGATTCAAAAAAGGAGGTTGATCATCACAACTCGATCTGCCAATTATTGGCTACGGTGATTGATGTCTGGTCACTAACAAAGCTCCCATCCATACTAAAGAACAAACAAGTCAAATCTCATACCCAACATCCCTCAAACACTCCTCCCCCTTCCCAATAACCAATGGCAGCCCGACACACCAAGCGCGCGGATATTCCATCCCCCATTTTGCCATAAGCGCCCTAAGATCCGCCTCATGGCTAGGGACAACATTAACAAAAACCCGATCTCCATGCGATCGCGGCTCAGAATGCATCGCGCCCTCGTCCTCGCCAACTCGGAAGAAAACACACTCCCCCGCTGATGCCTGAACAATACTATGTCCGCCCAGCTCAACGGCTAGCTGTGCTCGCACCGACTCCGCCGCCATGGCGCAGCCAACACAGCGCACGGAGACGCATATGTGGTCCGGGTCCGCGGCGCGGGCGGCGGTTTTGGCGGCGTGTTGTGTGGCGCGCGCTAGGCTGTTTATGGCGGTTGGAATGAACAGGGTTCCTGGGCCTAGGAGGGTGGTTGTGAGTTTCCAGTTTGTTGGGTTCGAGCTTGTAGAGGGGATTTGGGCAGATGGAGTTGTAGGCGGGTGGTGAAACTGCTTGGTTTCGGGGTGAGATGGTGAGCTTTGGGTTGCGAGCTCTTGGCTTTTCGGTCCTGTCCAGGTGGATTTGAGTAGATTAGTGATTGGTGAGAAGAGTGATTGACGCCTTGCGTGGTTTATTGGTGGTTGAAGGGGAGAGAAGAATAAATCATCTGTGTGCCAGCGCGGGGTGTCGAATTCGTCCGAGCCTTTGCTTGCTCTGATTGTGAGCCAGTAGTGGGATTGGTTGTTTTTAGTCAAGAAGTCGTGGACGTATGCTAAGAAGGAGAATAAAGAGGGCATTATTGAGCCGCTGACTGTGGCTTCCGCCCAGGTGTTAAAAGAGGATGGCAGGGTACATGATTCGAGGGTCAAGAGGGGTCCGCAATAAGTCCATGAGGACGAAGTGTTGAGTGTGATAGGATTATCTGTTGGCAATAGTTCTTGAGACTCGACATGTGGATATTTGACTCGATACGGAAAGAATCGGAAATCTGGTAGCGATTTGACATCCATCACAGTTGTCTCTATGGTGAAGAAATTATTCCTGGGGGCTTGGGGGACAATATGAAAGGCTCCTGGACCTCGTATTTACAGATGAACGTCTCTCCACGTCCATTTCAGTGCCCGCCTCTTGCCGCTTTTTGGCCACTGAGTAAAACTGAGCATGCCCTCTGAGCACAGTTTACTGTTTTTCTCGGCTGATTTGCTCACTTCCTCATTTCAATCTTCTGACAAAAAGGAACTGGTGTCAATGTCACTATTAATCCTAGACTCATTCCTAGCTAAATGAACAAAAAAAACATAAAACTTATAAGCAGTTTTTCAACATTGTGTGGGTATTAGAAACGAACACGGATATATCTTGAAGATCTTACATATTCTCTTGTGGACATCAGATACCATTGGTTCCATTTTGTCTACTGCGCACGCACTTCTTCACTTTAGCTCTGGTAAATTGACTTAAATCAGACATAAGTATATTGACATACAACTACATACATAGGCAAAGATTTCGATACTAGGAAGATTGCACCGAGGGCCAGAAAAGTTAGAACAATGAGAAATCTCAGAAGTATACGGAGGCCCAGAGCTGCGATGCCTAAAGGTCTACCATACAAAGAGTGTCATACGATAATCAGAGGGTGCATAAAGAGTGACAAAAATCCAAAGCGGTTCTCTGGAACATGTTCAACTAGAAAGATGTTGACCTGTAGTCTGGATTTGGGACATCGGTACTCAGAACGGAGCCATTGCTGAAAATGGTTCCGTTACAGAAAATCTCCACACGGCCTGGGTGCAAAGTGGGCGGAGGGTTATCGAGCTTGATGCCATTGGCGAAGATAATCCCATCCCAGGGGTTTGCTGAAAGAAGGCTCATGCGGGCGGTGGATGGTTTGGTCGATGGAAGCAAAGGGGATCGATATTTACCGACGGCACAGATTTCACCAATTATATACAGATTCAATCCGATGCATAGAGTTTATAATTCGGTGCCTAGTGAGTCCCGGTCGAATTCATTTTCGACTATAATCCCGACGTAGTCGACCTGAATGACGTTCGGCCAGTGTTCCAGGCTCATTCCATTGATACCTGCCCAATATAGTGTCGGATCTGTGGACTTGATAGCGAGGTTCTGCACACCGTATTTTTTTCGTGGTTAGTATATCGACAGTGACCATTCACTGGCTGATAAAGAACTGTTGTCGTGTGTCCTCTGCCCTTCGGGGGAGAGCTTGCCAGTCTTTGATTTGGTCGTTCGCCATTTTCTCGGTGTTGGCTAAGTTAGACCAATTGTCATTGAGATTCATCACGTTCTGATCATAGATACCCGCATCTTTGTCATAATGTCGAACATCGTCCGGTAGATTGGCCGTATTCAGGAGGAAGATCGTAAGTCGAGGGTATCGGTCTGTTTATGTGACCATATCCCCTGTCCCCTTCTCCTCCACGCTCCAGGCTCTTCCACATACCCAGTCTCCAATTTCCAGTAGCTTGGTGAGTAGGATCCGGAGGCCCGCCTTCTACTCTCAATCGTGTGGTGGGATGCCACTCATTGTCCGGCGCGCTCCAATGAGAGCCTTGGTTTCATTTCGCTTATTTACTACAATGCAGGGGTCATTTGGCATCATGCGGCTCCAACCTATCAATATCCTCGCTAGAAGGAAAAGCGTGGCTTTGATAGAAGTACGTGATTGTCTGGGTAACTGGCACGAGTGCTAGCATCAGACCGCATGAATCGGTTAGTTGGGATGTAGGCAGCTGGGCTTAGACTTATTGTAACTTTGATAAAATCCTTGCCACAAAGAATTTGGTTTCGTTTTGAGAATGAAAAGTAGGGTCTCGATGAACCGAGGCAGATTCAAATCGCTCACTCACACCGTCAACAGGACAGAAGTTATTTTAACGGGGATTATAGCTAGCAGTAGAAGTTTCCAAACTCCCTTCCAGTCTTGGAAAAGATAATTTCATGGCCTTTCACCCAGAAATTAACAAGCTCGATTATGTGGCAATTGTCTACAATTGTCACGGAGTCCATTTGAGCAGGATCAAATTTCTTCTAGTGTCTAGTGGCCAAGAATTTGACATAAAACTCAGCCAGTCATTAGCTAGTATAATGTCCGCCGTTGACCCTTGATATATACTAAAGCTGGGCATTGTAACCTATTGCAAGGGTACGGGGTAGTTCTCTATATATTCATATAGGCACATGCACTGCGCTTAGTCTAAGCTACATGCTAGCGTTGGGCTTTGGCCCCTGGACCCCTTTTCTTTTAGACAAGTCCTAATTTAGGCTCGCCTATAATCTCCTCGTGTGTCTTTGCCTTGCAATGGAATCCCCCCGCAATCTTGATAACTTTTATATGCACTCATGTCCTCCCAAGATCCACATAAATCAATATCAACTTCATGAATGTATCCACCAAGTCTTTTTTTATGTATTAGATACAAAGATATCAGATACAAAGATTACCTACCCGAGTGAAATTACCATCTCATGTCTTCCACTTTCTTAGCACCGTCAACAGTCACACGAATCGCCGACAAGGCACTGACAACTCCTTTTGTGCAAACAGGCCGCTGCGAGTCTCTTTATGACCTGGTTACTATACCTATCTTTGAGTCAGCAAGCAATGGGCCGTCCACGATTTCCTCTGCCGCTTTCTTGATCTCTGATGTTGCCAATCGTCACTTTTCTGCTTGCCAGCCCAACGGCTGGGATAACCAGGATCCGGCGAGCCAATTCCACTTCAGTCCAGCCGTATGTACTAGCTATTGGACATACTATGAAATGATGCGCACATCCACTGACTTTGGAAATGGAACCCTTGCACCTTACTCCACAGCGTATTGCTGTGCTAGGTTTGTACATAAACATCAGTCGTCATTTTAAAAACAGATCACTAAGCCTATCTACTCATTCTAGCGACTATCGACTATGGGAAAGATATCAGTCTTCCCCTATAACTAGCTTGACAGCGCCCTGTTATCGATACATCGACGCCGGCTGGACCTCAACCACGGTAACAGTATGGTCAACTGGAACCAAGACAACAAAAGTCTTTTCAGAAGGATATATGGCCCACGCAGCATGGGAAATATCATGGGCGGCCTCGGATACTGCGAGCATGTCTCCAACTCCACCGTCGCTTGATTCGGGGGAGTACTTTTCGACCTGGGTGCCAGGACAGGCTCTCATTACCCCTACTCCAGAACCAACGAAGCATCAGACTGACAAATCACTTACGAAGTTGCTAAACTTTTACATGATTGGCCTTCCCCTAATCGGCGTCGCGGTCATTGCATGCGGCATTTGGTGTTGTTGCATGGTCCGACGAGCAAAGCGCCGGGAGACGTTCCAATTGGAACAATGGCGATTGGAGCATCCAACTAGCATATCCCAGACTGCTCAAAATCCAAGCAGAACTCCTGATGACCCGAGCAAATCGCCGGGAGGTGCCCTAGTCGGAGCAGTGGCAAGTGGAGCACCCAACTAGCATATTCAGATACTAGCTAGCCTGTCAAGTGCTTAGTATATATTTGTAATAATAGCATTCTTCTTCCTTCCCTTTGTGCTCAAGGATTCTTGCCAGATGGAACCAACACCCATATGCGTTGGGCTTGAATCTTGATAGACGCGTGACTGATCTGAACCGCCCATGCTGACATCTACCTAACGAGCCCCCAGGGCCTCACAAAAGCGGCGACGATTTGGGGCACCTTGTTAGGCAGCAATATGGAAACTAACTCCACGTATCTATTCTAATTTAGTAGAAAGAAGATAATTTGTCAATCGTTTTGGTGTAATAACGCCGATTGTTTCCCTTGTATACTTGCCAACTGCAAAGGTATTTACTATATTTATCTGAACATACCTAGGAGCAAACATTTCATTCAAGGCTACAATATCTATGGCCTTTATCTAGTATATCATAATCATTATTGCATTTACATACCCAGTCTTAGACGTCCAAAGTACGTCCAGTGCGGGAACTCTCACGAGCCAGCTCAATCAAACGAATGACCTCACGAGCCTCCACACCACTAGCAGGCAGCTCACCCTCGCCATTGAGAGCACGGACAAGCTTGCGGTAGTACTCGGTGTAGGTGGGGGGCTCCACGGTAGGAACAACCTCCTTGACGGGCTTTCCGTTCTGGAAAGTAGTCAGAGTTCCGTAACGCTCGCTGGGCTCACGACCGTAGCCCTTATCCTGGGGCATGATGCCAGCCTTAAGCTGATCTTCTTGAATATCCAGGTGGTACTATAAATTTGATCAGTTTCCGTTTTTCTTAATATCGCAAGGATTGTGTAAGTAGATTCTCTTACCTTCTTAAAGCTGCCCTTGTCACCGCGCACCCAGAAGCGCAGCTGTTCGTCCTCGGGGCTGACAACGGTCGCCTTGGCGGTGACCATAGAACCATCGGCATAGTGCAGGAGAACGGTGAACGAGTCTTCATATGAAAACGAGGTGACACCGCGGGCGGAGCCAATAAAACCGGTCACCCGCTTGGGTAGCCCGAGAAGGTGCACGGCCTGATCTAGAAGGTGGGTTCCAAGGTCATAGATCGCAGAGCCACCGGGAATGACCTTGTTCTTCCACTTGTGAGAGTCGGCGGCCGGCACCTCGGGACGGTGGCGGTCGAAGTGAGTTTCATACTCGGAGATGCGGCCGAGTGAGCCGTTCTTGACGAGCTTAGAAAGAGTCACGAAGTCGGCATCCCAACGGCGATCTAAATCATGCATAAGTAGCCGTTTTGATAAGGGGGGTGAGAAGACATACTCTGGAACACGGCAAGCTGTTTGTTGTTCTTCTCCGAAATGGCGATTAGGTCATCAGCTTCCTGAGTAGTGGGGGTAAAGGGCTTCTCGCAGACAACTGATATGTTCCACATTAGTTTATCTACATAAAACGATATTTGGGACTTATAGACACTTACCGTGCTTGCCAGCCTCCAGCGCAAGCTTGGATAGCTCGAAGTGAGAATCGGGTGCAGTAGTAATGATCACCACATCGACCGCGGGGTCCTTCACCATCTCCTCGGCGGTACGGAAAGACTTCACGCCAGGATGGTCCTTCTCGGCATCATCATCCTGCTTTGGAGTACGCTGAACAATTGCGTAGAGCTTGAGCTCGGGCACTTCCTTCACGAAGGGAATGTGGAAGATCTTCGCACTGAAGCCGTAGCCAACAACGCCAACATTGTAAGTCTTGCTAGCCATGATGAGAGATTTGAGATTTATGGAAGAAATCGACGGTGGGAGGGACTGTTTTTATATGGTTCCGGAAACCATTTAGCGGGGGAGCGAATATGGGAAGGTCCTGGCGACGGCAACGTTCGGGTGGGTCCAAAAGCCGAGTCGGGTTCCCGAAGTGGCAACCTTCGACTCTACAACACGGAGTACTTTATGTTCTATGTTCTATGCCTGATTGATAATCATGTATGAGCACTGTATGTGATTCTTCTTTCTTGTCTCGGGTTACGTCGGCCTACAGCCCCACTTGGTTTGGCCATTCGCCATCTATGCCTCCTGCACCCCCACGCACCTCGTAACCTCGATGGCATCCTGCCAATTGTTAGCGAAGATCTCATTCGCGGGACATAATTTAACTTACCCGCAATCCTTCAGGCTGGCATAGCTGGCTCTGGTACACCAAGTTCGGATTTCCGATAAAATTGAAAGTGGGCACATCATCTTTACCCACAAAGGACTGCACTGTTCTTTCAGCCATCCCGGTAGTGTCATACGCCTTCGACGGTCCAGCCTGAGCAGCTTCAATCTTCTGCTCCACGGTGCTACGAACATATGCCAGATATGGCGGGTTGCCAGGGTAAAGGACGTTGTCGGCGGCCAGTACTGAGCCAGGGACAATAGCCCCGAGCTGTTCGCACAGCTTGACATCAGTGGTGTACGCTGGTTTGTAATGATCGATGAAGAGTAGTTCCACTTTTTTCACCTCGCCCGTGGTGATTAATTTGTGTAGCGACTCATCGCTTCGACCGACGATGATGTGTACAAAGTCGCGCAATCCAGCTAGCTCAACGAGCATATTGGCAACTGCAGCAAACTCTGGATTCAACTCTAGACTTAAGTAGCGTTCACCGCCGTTTCGACGGACTGCGTCGCCGAATAGGATCGCCGAGTAGCCCACGTAGCAGCCGAGCTCGATCATGGTCTTTGGCTTGAGTTCATCAATGAGTTGGGTGATGATTTCACCCTTTTCAGGGCCGACATTTATCAAACGGTAGCCTTTCTCAAATTCATGAATCAGATCGATCACTTTTTGGGGATGTCCACGAATTTCATCGAGGTTTGGCTGCCCATAGATGTAATGTAGGAGCTTCAGCTCCTTGCCAGCGTCGTTCTATAGTAAAGGTTAGGGTCACTTCTCATAATCAAAGGGTCAGAATGTAATTCCCACCGAAGATGGTGCAGACATGACGTATATTCAGAGCAAGGGAGCCGGATAAATGATCCAATTCCATATGGACATGCGAACATGCGAAATTATATATGGTCTCGGGGATAATAAAGCTTGGGAATACTTCGGATAAAGACAGTAAATCCGAGTCCGACTAACCACTCATCATTCATCAGTAGATGGCGTTATCAACATTCCAATTCCTTCAGGTAATCATTGCCGAGAGTACACCTCGGAAACCTGATCCCATGTGTGAATTGCCGGGAATTTCCACTGATGAGATCCAGAATAAATTAGCGCTGCAGTACGGAGTGATTTTCTCAGAGATCTTGTCATCTTGATCTTTCCAGAATAGAGGTGCATTGTCACACCGAACTAGATCTGCAGGCCAAGCCCCCCCTCCATGACATCCAGCCACCCCAACTCACATTTTCACTCCTTGTAAAAATGTCCTATCTTCTAGCCTGTACTCCTTGCGAGGCTCATCATTAACTACAGTCATATGAGCAGACATATCAATCCGCTCATTGCGGGGCTCATTGCGGTCAGACACAGACTCAGCATGTCGGTCAAATCCGCCAAAGCGTCAGTCTCATCGGGGACTTCGTCACAAGTATTCTGGCATCTCGTTCGAATATGCCTTTCATTCTCGCTGTTGTTTGTCGATAACACCATTCTTGTGGTCGCGGGCTTTTTATCCTATCTCCAGCCAACGGTCCATCGGCGCCGAGCGACACAACGGAACGTGCCGTTTTACCCTAAAACAGTCCTCATTACGGGCGTAGGTACAGTGCATGGCCTGACTCTGGCAAGGTCATGGGCTCAAGAAGGCCACCACGTGGTTGGGGCCGATGTTACAGACCTGGATCTGCCCGTGCGCTCCGGTGGGAGCATGTCAAAGGCCCTAGTGGCATTCTACCGGATTCCCAAGGATCACTATCTTTCCCGGCTGCTCGACGTTATCCACCGTGAGAAGGTCGACCTGTGGATTCCATGCTCACCCAAGGCATCCTGCATTGAAGATGCCACGGCCCGGCAGGTTGTTGAGAGTCGCACTAACTGCAAGTGCATCACTTTCGACACTGAGTTGGCAGCTTGCTTCGCCCACCCTGATTCTTTCAGACAGTATGTGACAGAGAGAGGTCTTCCTGTGCTTGAGTATCATAGGGTCCAATCCCGCGACTCTGTGCACAAGATCTTGAACCGATCGCCCGCCAAGACCTACCAGATCTCTCGAGCGACCCCATCTGCGAATGAAAAGGCTTTGCTCTTGCCAAGGCGTACACCGAGCAAGACATACACGAAGATCAGCGAGATCCAGATTTCTGAGGACCGGCCTTGGATTTTACAGCAACAATCTCGTCTTGGAGAGCTATTCGCTGATCTACTCGTTGTGCGTGGTCACGTCCAAGCCATTAACGTTCGGCTTTCGGATTCTGGCTCCTCTATGTGGGGTACTTCGCGTCTAGATGAAGCTCTGGCCGCTTCGGTTCATAGGCTCATGCAGACATTAGCAGCCAAAGGTGGTGCTCGCTTGACCGGCCATCTCTCGGTCAGACTCTCGGTTGATGAAGAATTCGACGCGCATTCTGTCCGACACACTGTCTACATCGCTGGGTGTACACCTGGTGCTAGAGCTTTCGACAATATGCTGTATAATGGACCTTCCCCCATTGCAGGCTATCTATCTGTGTTCACTTTCAATCAAGTCGAAACAGCCAAGATCGCAGTGACACTATCATCAACCCGTAAAACGCCCCCATTTGCCCAACCTGCTATTCTTCCCGCTGCTTTCTTGCAGTTTTCTTTGTTTCACTTTGCACTGATAGCTCTTGAAGTTGCAGAGGCAGAACTAGTGAGGCTGTTGTTTTGGAAAAATCCTCTCTTTTCTTGTCTTGATCCGCTTCCTTGGTGGTGGCAAGTACATGTCTATCAACCCTTGCGAGAGATCTGGGTGTTGATGAAACAAACGCGAGAAGCGGGATTAACTTCCCTTTGACTATGTATGTTAACATGAGTATACGAGAAATGAGACTATGATGTAAAGTGACAGGCATACGCCAAGCAAATGTGTGGCGGAGTTCCCGAAATAGTAACGGGCTGTCGCCTGGGCAGCGGATGTGGAGGACATACGTATGCCCCGAAACAAGAGGTTTAAGGCAGATACACAAATCCTATTGAACATTGAACGATTCGTCTTACATCTCTCTAGAGAGACCGTTGTGATCTTAATAATTGCAAGGGTTTGAAATTGCGAAATTGCGACCAAAAACAAAACAAAACAAACCGACACTTTTCTCCACGGAGCCTTAGACTGGCCAAGATCCCCCCAGTCTCATTTTACAGGTCTCGACTCCGTTCTTGTCTCATTTCTTATTTTTTTGGGGTGTCCCGTATGACTTCACGATAGACTATCCTCATTTCGAGACCAACCTCTCCCATCCCTCTGGTTGAATACAGAAAGCGCAACACCCTTGCAGCGCTCCTACACACAAAATCATGTTTCAAATGCCGCGGCCTTCAGGCGGAAGCCTCGGACGAACGAAAAACATCTTACATTTCATACAAGGATTCAGCATCTTCCTCGCATGGGCCATAACAATCGGCATCTGGACCAAAGGAGGCAGCGCAATCGATGGACGCACAGGCTGGTACTGGGGTCTGGTGAGTTGGACATTTCTAGGTTGATGATACAAAAAAGAGCTTTCTTATTCTGACATGCGATCATATGACAGTGCTGGTTGAGTATTCCAGGCCTGGTCTACCTAGTGGCAGTGCCGATGTGGCCTCGAGCCCGACGCTTCGGTAATGTCTATGCTTTCGCCTGTGTTGATGTCCTCTATTCGATTCTCTGGCTCAGTGCCTGGATCTGTCTCGCTTCCTACGTCGCCGAAGGAAAGTCCAAGGGAGCGAGCAAGGATGATGACAAGAAGTCCACCGACACTAAATCCACCACCAGAAGGGCCGAGGAGGAGAAGAAGAAGGAGAAGACTGGATGCGATAATTGGGCATACGGAAGCGCTACTAAGTGCAAGCTCAGCACGGCAACCACAATCATCGGTGTTATCATCTTGTACGTAAATTGTTTCAAAGTCCAAGACAAAACTCCTTGAATGAAGCTAACATAGAAAAGCGTCCTCTTCGCCATCACCGCCTGGATGTCCTTCCGCAACGTGATGCACTTCCGCCGCACCGGCACCCTCCCCGATGCGGTCTCCGATCCCACCTTCGCCGCACAGAGCAAAGCTGCTTTCTCGTCGAACCCAGCCCACGACTTCGAAGACGACGAGGATAACTTCCGTTCCGGCCGAGGCGGCGGCATGGGCGCCTCGTCCCGCGGCGATCAGGACGAGGACTATGCCCTCCTGCACCAGAGCGAGGTGGATGACCTGGGCAACGCACACGGCCGGACCGCGATGCAAGGCTCCTACGACCCCACCGCTCCTGCGCCCGGAGCTATCCTTCATGATTACAACAGCACCGGCTACGGTGGTGCGCATGGCCAACACTACGCGGAGCCATCTACTCAATACAATCCTTCCGATTACACCCCGTCTGAGTACACTGTTCCCACTGGGTTTGGTGGCTCTTCGGTGAGTGGGTACGGAAGAAGGCCGAGTTAAGAGAAAACTTGTTGTCAGTGTTGATGGATGAATTGCTCAGTGAAATACCCGGAGGATTGATGAATCGTCTTGCTTTTTTTGCGTCTTGAACATTGACCATTGAGCGGTGTTGGGCGCACCGCTGTTTACTCTGGGCTGATGCCCTTGTTTTTCCCATGTTTCTTCAGGATCTTTTGGACCTGGGATTACGACTGTATGTCCTGTTTGGATTTCAATGAATCTAGCAAAATATAGATGTGTGCATTGTAAAATGACATGTTTTGGTGGTGTTTTGTATGTAGCGTAGAATACATTAGTAGCCGTTTATATCATACCTTGAAGGCGGAAATATCATCAATCAATTGAAAACGACGTCCTTGAAGAGTGCGAAGCCATAATATACTGCTTGCCATCACCGAGGTCTCACCTTGGTCAAGGAGAGATATAGATAGGACAAGGTACCAGAATTCTGCCACCGCTTCCCATATCAGTGGGTTTATGGACAGCTTGCCCTCTTGCCATCATCATCGTTTGACCAGTCCAATCCCGAATATTGACCTCAAAGTGAACCGCGCTTTGTTGGACACTTAGCAAGAACATTCTAAACTGTATCTTGTATGAATCAACCCACTCCCCCATCATACCTTACCATTCCAACCTCCAAACACCCGCCCCGTCACACCGCAGCGCATATACTAACAACTTCAAGAAGCAACGCCGACCTTACAACGCTAAATCTGAGACCTACGGTCTCCACAGCCCCAAACATGGCTAGCGAAATTGACCTCTACAACCAATATCCATTGTACATGGACCCAAGCACTCAAACACTCTCACTCACGCACTCATCCGGCCAAACACCCTCCCAAACAGCCGCACTCAACACCGAACTTGAAGAACTCAATCAACTACACCGCTCCCTACTCACCCTCGATCCACCGAACATCCCCCCGGCACCCCTCCCTGTAAACCCCAAGCGCAGCGCACAGATCTCCAAACTCCGCGACAGCGCCAACGCCGCCCACCGCAAATCAAACTATGAGGAGGCGATCAAGTTGTATTCCTACGCCATTGACATGGGCCTCAGCCGGCCGGGATGGGAGCCTGTAGGCGTTGCGCGCGAGGAATTGTCCGGGCTTTATGCGAATCGTGCACAGGCGCAGATGGCTCTGCAGGCTTGGCCCGAGGCGCTGGTTGATGCTAAAGCTAGTGTTGACTCGAAGCCTGTTGGAAATGTTAAGGCTTGGTGGCGGATTGCCAAGTGTCTTGCAGAGATGAGTCGCTATGAGGAGGCGCGCAAGTTCTTGCATAAGTCGCTTGATATTGAAGGGAAGGATTCGGAGGGCGGGAAGGAGCTGTTTGCGTTGCTCGGAGAGGTCGATAGGGCTTTGTTGCGGGGGTTGTCGGCGTAGATTTGCTCTTTCGTGTCTTGTTTCTTCTGCACAGCTGCCATTTTTGTTTCTGCGTGTTGGCTAGACACTTTGTCGAGGCTCTTATGGTTATTTGGTTCTGACTACATGATTCCCTTCCTGCTGGGATGTTTCTCGGCGTTTATGCGTTGTTGACGAGGTTTACACTCTGATATGTACACCTTTGGTTTTACATGCTCCCCAATCAAAAGACAATACAACGTACGACTTTTCTTCTCATTTCTTTTTACTTTTTGGTGTGAATGGAGTTCAAAACGATGGACTATCATCGAGGAGCTAGGAAAAGGCTGACCTAGTGACTAACAACTACGCCATATACAGAATAGGTAGCTTTATAACTTTGCCCACAACTATTGCTAGATTCAAGGATCGCGAATTATAAAGTCGATCAAGAGTCGATAATCTGTTTCATTCGCCAAAACAAGTGTAACTTATATACAAGAAGTGCACGCTGAGAAAATCCGTAACCGAGAGCAATGCCTAATAGTCTTGTCAAATCAAACCAACACGCTAGACCCGTCACTCTTCTTGCAGGCACATGCGCCCGCATTAGCAGCCACCTGAGTCGGTGTACGTGCAAAGCTAGGAGGCACATCAAGGACTGGGTTGCGATCAAAGAAGTTTCGCGGGCGCAGAAGAAGTGTCATTGGCTCCGCAGGCATAATCGGGTAATCTTCCGGCGCAGGGAAGTGCGTCAGACCGAAGGTGTGCCAAAGCACGACGTCAGTGTTATCAATAGAGCAGCTGGGACCGGCTGCTTCAATCCATGCTGGTAGGCCCTCTGAGGGCTCGCCAGACGTCTGTGGGACGTGCCGGCCAGCTGGGTGGACTTGGTCATCGTCGTCTGGAGAACTGGGTTAGAAACGGAACACAACACAAGAAGACGGAAATGAGATAACTCACATTTAGTGACATGCACGGCATGACGTGCAAATCCTGCTCGCTTCCAGACTAGTCCACCCGCTTTGGGGAGTAGAGGAGGAACATCACGGCTGACTAGCTTGTAGCTCACGGGCTTCTTGCTGTATGGGTTGAGCTTGTTGGTATTGGCCATATCCCAGGTACGGCTAGTAGATCCGTCATAGTCGGACATTGCCTCTAGAGGGGTGGAGAACTTTGTCTTCTTGGCGTAGAAGGCGTTGCCGTACTTGTTCTCAGCGCTGCCAACTTCACCGGGTCCTTGAACTGCATCTACCTGGAAGACAGTATTGCTGGGCCCGTCGATATTGGGATCCACACGCAGACAGAACAGGTGCTGGTGGTTGTGAGCATTGACACCGGGGTACACCTCAGTTCCCCAGCCCTTGGTGTCCTCGCCTGGGTTCATGGCGTAGGTGTTCAGGATGCCGGTCAGCTTGATCTCGAGCTGGACTGTGCCGTCCTGGTGGAATATCCAGTACACGCAGTACTCATAGTTTGCCGCAGTGAAGATCTGCGAAATGATGAGCTTTCGGCCGCGGGTTACGACCATTGACTCGTCGCGGAAATCGGTGTGCTTGAATAAGATGCCGGCGTCTTCTTCGTGGATGCAGATAGCGTTCTTGATGATTGTGCTGGCACCTGCTCTGTTGACGAATGCTGCGTCCATGTAGTGGATTGCACCCTTGCAGTCGCATCCCAGTGTCAGGCTGTTGGTCATGTATCCGCCGCCGTACTCACCCAGGTCAAATGCGTGCTTGCGTTGGTGGGGATGCTCTGGGTTGCCGTATGGCACAACCATCTCGGCCAGTGAAAGACGCCAGAAGATAGGTCGCACGTTGCCCTTGTCGTTGAATGTGATGTTGTTCAAGACAATACCTTCCCGGTAGTTGAAGCCGACGTGGATGTTCCAGTTCTGCCATTCGATTGTTCGGCCCTTGACCTCAAATGACACACCATCTGGCTGGGTGATGTGAATTGGCTTGATGTCCGTTCGGTATCCACCTTCTTTCTCAACTGCGGCCGGGTGGTAGTTGTTGGGGAGTGCT